ACAACCCCTCAAGATTTCAACAGAGCTTCGCCGAAGCCTCTTCGACCGACGGGGATGCCGCCCAGGCCAGGAGGCGGAATCTACATATTATCCACCTAGGGCTCCAAGACTTCGCGAGCCGCCATTGCCCCAAGGTCGAGCCCCTTATCCCCTATGTCGACTTCCAAGCAATAGCCAAGGAGCCTACCAAGGCCGACATGCTCGAGATACTGGTTCTTTTCGTGTCAGCCGCCTGCTTCCGCGATGATGACAACTCGCAGTACATCACTCTCGTGATGCAGCTGGAGCCGAAACTCCAGCAGGGCATTTTCCAGATCCTCAAAGAGGTCGAGGATAAGGTAGACAAGGCTGGTGATAGCGACCTCGAGCACGGCCACACCCCTGAAAGCTACGACGATGAGCTGGCACGAGAAGCCGAAATTTCGCAGCTGCAGCGGGACCTGGAAGACGCGAGAAGGCAAGCCGGCGGGTTAAAGCTGCGTTTGGACCGTCTCCAAGACAATTACGATGAATTGATAAGGAAGCACGAAGAACTCCAGGACGAGAATGAGCTGCTGCAGAAGCAGATCGAGTCCGAGGCCGGCAACTTCGACAAGCACCGCCTCCAGCGCCAGCTCAAAGAGAACGAGTCACTGATTGCGAACTTGGAGAATGAGAGGAATGCCCTGGTCGACGAAAGGGCGCGTCTCTTGAAAGATAAGGCTCGCCTAGAATTGGTGGCGCAGAAGAACGAAGCCTTGATCGACGAGAACCAGGAACTCCGGTCGAAAAATGAGGATCTCTCCAAGAAGGCTAACATGGCAGATAACCTGAGGAAGAAGCTCGAGTCCATGAAGTTAGTAGAAGCCGATCTGAAGTCGCTGCAGAACGAGCGGGTCGACGCGGCGAAGCTGATGGAGCAGCTTGAGACTGCCACGAGGAGAGTCGAGACGCTGAAGCGCGAAGCCGAAGCCTACGCCAAGAAGATGCAGGGATACGAGATAGACATCGCCAATTTTAACAGCCAGAAGAACATGTACGCGTCAGAGAATAACGAATTAAGGCTACGCCTCGAGGATTTCCAGGCCCGGAGCCAGATAGACGAGGCGGTTGTGCGGGATCTCCAGGAGAAGGTCATGATGCTGGATCCGTCTGCTGTTCCGAGCACCCCTCTAGGCCCTCCTCCGACCTCCCTCGAAGACGAACTGAGCGGATCCACCACCGTCATGTCGATCAAGAACCTCGAGGTACAACGTCTCCAGGCGGAGAATGCCGTGCTTAAGAGCAGCCTCGGCACAGAGACGGAGAAGAGTCAGCTTGTCCAAGAGATGGAGGATCTCCGCATCTCCCGACAAGCCCTACAGGATAGGTTCAACGACATATTCGAAAAGTATACTGTTGGTCAGCACCAGCTCGACGTGCTGATCCAGAACAAGAGCAAAAATGGGTTAGTCAAGACCATTCAAGCATGCCATGACCTCTCACCGGGCACGCAGCGGCTGACGTCGGACTACTGTAGAGAAGAAGCATACTCCAATCTGCGGGCTCAAGTCCTGAGCGAGCAAAGCAACAGCAAGCAGCTTCAGGCGCAACTCGCTGCAGCGAAGGAGGAGCTCGCGGACAAGGAGCGAGCCCTGCTGGAGGCGCGAGGCGATTGTAAGATTCTGTCCCAGCAGCTCGCGTCGCATCGGAAAGATACTGACACTCCATCTCAAGTTAACGCTGTGGAGAAGTCGAGCCTGGAGGCCCTTGCGGAGCTGAAGAAGACGGATGGGATGCTTGCTGCTTCCCTTCGTACGGAGCTCGGCGCGGAGAGGAGGAAGTACAAGTTGTTGAAGGATGAGTTTGAGGCTCAGCGGACGCAGCTTCTAAAGGCGCTTATCGACAAGGACGAGCTTCGGCGCGAGGCTGAGACCGCTAACCGCGAACTGCAGAGGGCTGCGGACGGGCAGACTACCAGTACCGAACACGCCAAGCAATCCGAAAAGATGGAGAAGCTTCGGACGAGGTACAAGCAACTGCAACAGGTGAGTCAATCTCCTCATTCTTCTGGCGCCGTGCCTGTGAGCAGTGATCGCGAAGAAGACAACGGCGATGACGACGATGTGGACGTGGTCGCAGTCAATGTCAAGCAACAATCGTTGTGGGATGCTTTCTGGCCCCTTTTTAGCCGTCGTCGGGGACCGCCTGAGAATGGCTTTTACCCTTACTTGGTGAACCAAGACGGTTCTTTCAGCATACCCCCCCGTCCGGTTTCGAAGATACTACTTCGTGGTGGTGATATCAACCCACGCTTTAGCTCTGGCTCTCGGAGCAGCACGGCGATAAGTTCAGCGGTGTCTTCTGTCGCGTATCCAAGTGGCTGGGCTGAACGACCGGACGCTGCGGGGGTGTCTTCGGAGACTCTCACTTTCTGTTAATTGACACTGTTCAAGGGTTGGAATACTAACAATCCGTGCCTGAAATATAGCAACAGGAGCAGTCGGAGCTGAAGAATCGCGAGCTCGAGCGGACCCTGAAGGCTGTCCGGGCCGGATCCGAGGCCGGAGCGCAGAAGGTACGTGATGCCTTGGCTAATTTTATTGACATCTGGCGGCCGCCGACTACGTCGGACTCGGGCGACGGTCCCATAGCTCGCAGTTTGAAATTGATGGTTTACTGTTTGATTGTTTTACCCTGTCACCCCCTTCTCCATTATGCTATGATCACGTATATGAGCTCCATGACTAACCACGGCTCTCATCTCGTGAAAAATATGACGACGTTCCTAATGAGAATTTGCAGGCCCAAACCGACCAGATCATCAAGAACTTGCAAAGAGAGAATGCCATGATCACGACGGCCTGGTACGACCTGACGAGCAGGTTGCAGAGCAATCACGTCGTGCTCCAGCGGCGCCAGGACGTTCCCAAGAGCTGGTTGAACAAGCAGAGGCAGATGGTGAATGGTTAGTGTGACCTGACGCGAAGGGATTCACGTAACCCCCCCTTTCGCTCCCCCCACCCGTAGATTGCTGGGATGTCCATAGTCGCAACGTATGTGTGTGCGCGTATGCTAACCGGCCTGATACAGCCACACCGCGGAAGTAGGACCACCGGGCGTTGTACGAGCTCTGGGTGCGAGCGTGGGGCAGCCTGGGGATGAGCTCGCGCTTTTTGCTTCTCTGCCTCGCGGCGGCGCCCGCAATTTTTAAGAGGCTCGGTTTTCTCCTAGGACAAGGTGACGACTGGATGCTTCCGTCGTATTCGTCGTATTCGTTGTCGTCGTCGTCGTCGTCGTCGTCGCCGTCGTCGACGGTCATCTTCGTCACTCGATACACATGATATGTTCATGCTAAATTTCGGGTCTCTTTGGTCGGCTCGTTTTTTGGCAGTCTGTCGCCTCACATCATACTTTGGAACGATACCTCCCACGCCTTTATCCCTATCCTCTCTTCCCCTTCTGCCATTGGGGGGCCCCCTTTCTTTTTATCTGATTCGAGAGCCCTCGACGGAGCCTGTTTTCGATTCTCGGAGGCATTTTGGGGGGGCTAGACGATCGCTTATGGATTGAGCGAGTGACGATTCGGACGGGGACTTGGACTTGGACCGGGGCGGGCTAGCGAGGAGGAGGCAAATGCTGGGCTGAGGCAGGGCAGGGCCAGGGCACGACGAAGCGAAGGGAGGAAGTGATGAAGGAACGAAGGAAAGGCTGGGCTGGCCAGGACCGCACTAGGCAGAGCGGTATGGAGCGGTGGTAGATCATATATGTATCTGTCTGTCTGTCTTGGTTGCCGCATAGCTAGAGCTCTTTTTTTTTTATTAAAGAAAAACACGCCCCGTCGCGATGCGCTGCGCGCGGATCATAGCGCCGTTCTTATACGGATCCGGCACCATATTACACGGCATAACTTTTCTTCCGTACGTTATTAGGCGGCCTACCTTGGGGTTTCCGCTACGTTCCCGCAACGCAACCCGCGTGCGATGTGGTGGTGGTGGTGGTGGGGGTGTGTGCGGTGCGGTGGTAGTTCGGTTTGCGTCGCTTTTTCTTGTCAATGCCTTTTCACCCTCGCTTTCGCTCTTTTTCTACTTGCGCCATTACAATCTTTCCCTTACTTACTTGTGGCGTCAGCGGATCGATTCGCCAGACGGTGCGCGGTCCCGACAAGCACAGTCATTCCGGATACTTTCCCTCTCTCTCTCTCTCCCTCTCTCTCCCTCTCTCTCTCTCTCTCCCTCCCCCCCCCCCCTCTCTCTGTGTGTGTGTGTTTCTGCGGATACGAGTGAGTCCGCCTTCCTCTCTCGCGCGCGCCGCTTGGGGGAGGAGGGCGCCGCGCGCGTGACAGGGCGATGAGGGGAGGCGAGATGAGACGGGGGGAGGGGTGTGATGTGGTGTGGCGCTGCGCGGGCAGGGTAGGTAAGGGTGTAGCGGCCCGAGACAGATTCGTCCTGCGCCGGAGTTGCGTCCGAGGAGGCGCGCGCGCGCAACCCGGGGTTATTTCGCGGCGCATGCCCTGCTCGTGGTGCGTACCGTCCATTACATACGTATACCTCTTTTGTGATATCGGCACCTAGGTCGAGGGGCAGATACAGGTAGGTAGTGGGTTCGTGCCGACGGCGTCGAGATGGGGGACGTTTCCACGTAAAATTGATAGGTAATAGGAGAACACCCCTAATTCGTCAGACCCAAAGTCTGTGGTTGGCTAGTTTCACGATTTCCTCCGCGAAAGGAGACCCGAGGGGCTTCAATTCTGTCAGCATTTCGCGGCTACATGCACGTCGTACGTAGGTATGGATGTATGTAGGTATGGTAGACAAGCCGCATTGAGCCTCCAGGCCGGTTCCGTCTCTCTGCATCGCGTCGCTCGTGTTACGTGCCTCGAGTTGTGCTGACGCCCCGGCTCGCCCTCCATCACAGCTCGTCCGTCTGTCCGTCCGCCCGTCCACCGCCGACCGGCCGGTATTTCAAACCCACTTATCTAAGCCGCGTGCACGCAAGGACGGCGGCACTCTCTTATTACAGGTACACACAGTGCGGTCGCTTCCCCCCTTCATGCTTGTTGAATAATTCATCGTCAGTCGTCTTCTGCCGACAGTTTGATTCTCCGGTCCCCTAGTTGACCGAGTCTTGAGGAACCAGCTCTAGGAGTACAAAGGGAAAAAAGGCAGGGGGTTCGTTAAAAGAAGGGGAAAAAAAAAAACTAGTCCTATTAATGGCGGCGGGCCGGCTCATTGGCCCGTCAGCTTGCTAAAGAGCGAGTTGCCGGCGCCCGTCTTCTTGTCTTCGAAGATCTTTAATAAGCTGCTCCAGACCTGGCCGGGCTCTTGGCTAGCGTCGATGCCCTTCCAGATGCCCGTGTTCTTGTAGTAGCCGGCGACCGGGACGGTCTGGGCGTGGTAGGTGACTAGGCGCTTCTTAAGGGCCTCGGCATTGTCGTCGGATCGCTGGGTCAGGGGCTCGCCCGTGATGTCGTCCGTCATGGCGACCTTGGGCGGGTTGAAGATGGTGTGGTAGCTGCGGCCGGAGGCGGGGTGGATCAGGCGGCCGGTGATGCGCGCGACAAGGAGGGCGTCGTCGATCTGAAGCTCGACGGCGTGCTGCAGCTTCTGCTGCTTGTCGGAAAGCATCTTGTCGAGCCCCTCAGCCTGCGCGACGGTGCGAGGGAAGCCGTCCAGGATAAAGCTGCGGCATTATTAGGCTAATCCGTAGCTGTGAAGAGGGAGGGAGGGGAGGGGGAGGGGCCGGCGCGCGTCGCTACTACGGTGCCGGGGAGCGAGACATACCCGCCCTTGCATTCCTTGTTGTTCTCGAGCTCCTCCTTGATCATGCCGATCATGATGTCGTCACTGACCAAGCCGCCGGCGTCCATGATCTTCTTGGCCTCCCGACCGAGCGGTGTCTTCTTAGCGACCTGGGATCGGAGCATGTCACCGGTGGCCTTGCGCGCGGGGTGTTAGCCTTCGCGTGGCGCTTGTCAAAAATATCGCACGGGGAGGCGGTGTGAAGCCTACCAGGTGGCAGCACGAGAACTTCTCCTTGATCCTGGGGGCCTGCGTTCCCTTGCCTGGCAAGACGACGGGCAGAAAGGTCAGCGCATCCGCAAAAAATTGGGGGGGGGGGGGGGGGGGGGGGCATTTGCCCACCCCAAGACACCGGGTCCAGCGAGTTTCGACGACGTACCGGCTCCGGGAGGGCCCATGAGGACCATGCGCAGGCCGTCGGGTGCGGGTTCGCCGGAATGGCGGAACTCGAGGCTCTTGACGCGTTCCTCCAGCTTGGACACAACGTCCTGCAGGCGCTTCATCTCATCGTCGATAATACCCATCTTGAAGAGCTCTGGCGAATCAATTGGGCCGGACCGAGGCGACTCTTGCAAGGAAACAAAAGAGCGGAAGAAGGGAAAAAGAGGGAAGAGGAGGAGGGGAGATTCGCCGGCTAGGACTACGGGACGAGGAAAACGTGCAACCGCAGAGAGGAAGAGAGGAGAGGAGGAGGAGGAGGAGGAAAAGAAGAAGGGAAGAGAGGAGAGTTGTGGTGTAGCGTGGTTGTTAAGTGCGCGAAGGTAGCGTGGTAGTGTAGCAGTGTAAATGGCAGTGGTAGAGGCAGAGGTGTGTGTGTGTGTGTTCTAATAGTAAGAGCACAAGAGCACAAGCTGGCCTGTCCGTCCAATTGCGGCAGAGGCGCCCCAGGGCTCAAAACTTAGGCGCTGGCACTGCGAAGTCGGGGGGGGTTTCGGAGATCGGGGGATCCTCTCTTTTTCCTCTTTTTTCCTCTTCTTTTTTTTTTCTTTTCCCCTAGCTACCTAGGTAGGTAGGTACCTTCTTTGCTTCCTTCTTTGCTTTCTTTCCCTCGCTTTCTATTAGTCGGCTTCGCCTTGGACGGGGTGGGTGACGATGTACCTCGGACGTCAGCGCTTCTCTCTCTGCTCTCCCAGGAACAGGGTGGTAGGTGTGAGGTACGGGCGTCTGCAGGTACTGGTACCTCGCTGCTGGCTCGGCTGGGACAGCTACGTGTAATCGCCACGCGCAGCAGCGGGAAGAATGAGGTACCTGAGGTACTGAATCGCCGTGGTGGGGTGGCCTATAAACCCCTCCGTTATCCCTCCCCCCGCCGCCCCTTTCCCCCGTATCCCCGCTATTGCCTAGCGGTGTGCCACGCTAGAACGACTGCGCTGTCTGGGTGTACACAGGTAACCAACACGCGCGACATTGATAAGCTACATGCCCCACCATTCCCACCTTGCAATCCGCCCTTCCGCCCTCCGCTCTACCTTCAGTTCATCTATATTTCCTACCTACAGGTAGGCACCTATACCTGTATTCCTGCGTACGCGCCCCCGAGAACATCATCAACACGCTCTCGATGAAGCACCTTAGGTATCTCTGAGGAGGTCAGGAGGCACGCGAGGCCCCTAGGTAGGTAGCTTACCTAAAGGAACAAACCGGCTTAGGCACAAGCCACAAGCTTTCCAGCACATCGCACGCCGAGGATGTGGGCGACGTAGGAAAGCAGAGGTGCCGTGCCCGGCTCGTGGTCGGCCTTACCAATCCGAGTCAAGCGGCCCTTAGGGACTCGGCTATTTTTCTACCATCTCGCCCGGCCAAGACGAGCCCTTTTCCGTTGGGCCGCCCATCGAGGCTCAACGCGACAGACGCAGCGCCCGGCTTACCTCCCTACTTAGGCTATGCACCTACCCAGGCCCGTCGTCACCGCGCCGTGCTAGGTGAGGTACTTATATGTGGCTAAGACCCTGAGAGATGCGACAGGATCAGACCATCATTCCTGTCTAGGGGGACTGACCGGGTTCTACCTAAAAAAAAAAAAAATCCTGGAGGCCGTGACGACGGACGAGCCGGTCAAGCGGATGGATCCCGCGCCATTTTGCCATCCCTACCCGATCCCCAGGATCTAAAAAGATTCGACGTTCCGCATCCTCGTCATTTCCTTATACCTACCAATATATACTATGCCTACTACTTACTCTCTTGGTAGGCATGCTGGAGACGTCAACTCCTATGTGTTAAGTAGGTAGGGTACCTCAGCTATCGGTATGCCTCGCGAGCATAGACGACTAGGCACCCACCTTCAGAATCCGCAGCGACCGACCGAGTAGGCAAGAGACATACATATGTCTACGCATGTAGGCACCTGCCTACATGATACATGCATATATGCCTCAGTCCCTTGGGGCCGGCTCGGCGTATTTACAATGACCTTCCGCCGCCTGTAGCGATTGCACAGTAAGATCATAAGATCCAGACGGAGAGTTTCATGGGACCGCGCAGCACTGCTTGCACATGGCCTCGAGAAGGATAAGATGGCTGCCTGTATCCACCTGAACACCCACACCCCATATCGGATTGTCAGCTGCCTACACGCCGCTGTCGTACTGCCTCATGCAGCGCTTCCAGCCTTATGGCCGAGTTTCTCTACCGGAAACGAGGAGCGCTGGGCTGGCATTAAGCCGTAACCGCGGCCCGCGCCAGCAGCCACGGCATCAGCCATAATCCCCAGCCACATACCTTACCTAACCCAGCGATAAGGTTGGGGTACGTGCCTGCAAGTAATTCCGGGGGAGTGCAAATAAGAATGGACCTCGCCTGACGCATTACGTTAGCAGGCAGACCTGTGGTGGGCTAGTGCAAGGTAAGAGCCTACTCGAGCTAAGAAGTACCTTAGGTACCTGTGCTGCTGGTAGATGTATCCGGGTACATCGATTAGGTATTTATCTCATTACGCACATAATTCAAACCCTTACCTAAGGTTACGTACTGGGAAGTGCGACCGGGGAGGTACCTACCTCACCTAAGCGCCCAATCAATCAAGCACGAAGCTACATCCAAGGCAGCCTCACCACATACGACAGCCTTCCCTTGCCATCTAGCAGCTCCTCCATCACCCATCCCATCGTCGCGGCAAAGCTCCATCACTCCCTTTTCCCATTCTCCGAGCTCACCCCCTCCCCCGACGCTCAACTCCCGCCGCGTTTCCCACTTCTACGCTTCCCTACCCCTCATCATCATGCCTGCCACCACCGCCGAGACCCTGTCCTTCGTCAATAAGAATGTCACCGTCGCCCCCCTCGTCCTGCTCTCCGTCGTCGACCACTTCAACCGTGTAGCTAAGGGCACACGGAAGCGGGTGGTTGGCGTCTTACTCGGCCAGAATGACGGCAAGAATGTCCGGGTGTCTAACAGTTTTGCGGGTTAGTTCTATATTTTTTCTTCTTTTCCTACGCACATCCGCATCCACCATTACTAACCTTGGGTTGACCGGAGACAGTCCCGTTCGAGGAGGATAACGATGACCCCTCGGTCTGGTTCCTAGATCACAACTACGTCGAGAACATGAACGACATGTTCAAGAAGGTCAACGCCCGGGAAAAGTTAATAGGCTGGTACCACTCGGGCCCCAAGCTGCGCGCCTCCGACCTCGAGATCAACGAACTATTCAAGCGATACACACCAAACCCCCTCCTGGTCATTATTGATGTCCAGCCGAAGGAGTCTGGCGTGCCGACAGACGCTTACTTCGCCGTAGAGGAGATCAAAGACGTAGGTCGCCCCGCGCGAGCATGTCACAGGCGAGACTATATACGTCGACGAGACTGACCCGATCGGTGGATAGGATGGCACAACCACATCTAAGACCTTCGTGCACACACCCTCAACCATCGAGGCCGAGGAGGCGGAAGAGATCGGCGTCGAACATTTGCTCCGGGATATTCGCGACGTAGCCATCGGCACGCTATCGACGCGCATCACAAATCAACTGCAGTCGCTGCAAGGGCTGCACCTACGATTACGCGATATCCAGACCTACCTCCAGAAGGTTCAAGATGGCCAGCTGCCGGTGAACCACGGCGTGTTAGGCAACCTGCAGGATATTTTCAACTTGCTGCCCAATTTGTCAACGCCCAAGCCCGGAGACGGCGACGGTAAGAACGGCGCCAGCAACAGCAGCAATCTTGGTGAGCTGTCATACGCGATGAGCGTCAAGACCAACGACCAGCTCCTTGCCATCTACCTCAGCAGCCTAATTCGTGCCATCACCGCCTTCCACGACCTCATCGAGAACAAGATCCAGAACCGACAGCAGCAGGAGGAGAAGGAGGCCAAGAAGGAGGAGGCCGCCGCCGATAAAGAGGCGAACGCCGCCAAAGATAAAGATAAGGATGGGAAGAAGGAGGGCGGTGCTAACGGCGTGTCCAGCAGCAGCAGCGGCAGCGAGTCGCCAGACAAGAGTAGCGATAAGGAAAAGAAGAAATAGCGAACGCACCGCTAACCAGCAAATGGCCGTCGGGGAACGCAAAAAAAAAAAAGAAGGAGCATACGGGATCGTGAGGGGAAAAAATGGTCCGATAAATAGCAGCAATCGTGTTTGTACATGAATCACCCCTATCTCGACCCCTGTGTCGACTTGCTAGCCGCCTAGCTTCCGACTCCCAATCCACCTAACTCTAGGCCGGAGAGAGAGACGGAGCCATTGGAGTCGGGCTGTTGTGGATTTCCAGATTATGGAATTGGCAGTCGGTAAACCCGGCTCGCCTTTCCCTGTTTCCCTACCCCCCATGATTATGAGTAGAAGCTAGGTAATTTCATAGAAAGCAAATTCGGACTGGTCGGGTTTACCCGGTTCGTCAGTCGGATCTGCGGACGAGATCGTTATAAACACCATGATTATACACACATCCCATTAGTGCTGGGGTGAGGAAGAGAGCGGTCGCAGGCGTCGGAAAAGGTGACGAGAGATCAGATGATGTAACAAAATAAGGCGAGTGAGCACACACCCACTAAGCCATCACGTTGTAGATCGTGGAGAAAACTAGTAAGAAACAGTCCTATAGTATGATGGTGGGGCGTAGTACCTTGTCCACCCGCTCCGTAGATACTTTATGCACACACTACTTACAGATCCCGCTATACATAGCCGCAGCCCATACCGGGGATTCAGGCGGCCGGGTCTGCTGGGCACGCGACCCGCCTGCGCAGAAGGCGGTATCCGATATCATATATCGGCGACCCAGCCGGCGGCCTCGTCGGGGGCGACGCGGCGCTCGGGGACGAGGCCGGACGCGGGGGCGCCGAGGCCGCACCGCTCCGCGAGCACGCAGGCCAGGAGGTGCTTGCAGCAGGGCACGGCGGCGTCGCGCGGACCGCGGCCGGGCCTGCCGTCGGAGCTCAGCGCGCCGAACTGCCACGTCCCCTCCTCCTCTCTCTCTTCTTCTTCGTCCGGTTCCACCCCCGCTCCGCAGCCCATCCGCAGCCCGGGGTCCTCGATGACGTAGGGGCTGGGGGCGCGACGCGGGAAGGCGGCGAAGGCGAAGGCCGCGCACGTGCAGTTCCAGGCGTCGGGGCGGACGACGTAGCGCGGACCGCCGGCGGCGGCGGGGGGGTGGCGGGGTCGTCGGCGCGACGGCGGCAGGGCTGAGCGCACGATGTAGAAGCAGGGCGGGCGCGCGGCGTCGGCGTCAGCGTCAGCGCCAGCGCCGACGACGACGACGCGCGTCGCGAGCCGCCGGTCGAGCAAGTCGAGCGCCGGCAGCAGCGTCAGCGGGTACAGCGCGTAGAGCGTGGTGAGGAGCGGCCGGCACGCTGCGGGCACGCGCTGCAGCGGGTTGCCGGCCCCGGCCCCGGCCGAGGTCGAGGAGCCGGAGCCGCAGACGCTGGCCAGCGCGTCGATCACGGACGTGGTGAACTCGCGAGGCGACGGCACGGCTGACATGGTCGTCGCGTTGCGTCCGCTTTTAAAGAGGATAGCGACGGAAGTTGAACCGTTGGCGGCCTTGTGCCTATAGGTTCATGCCAACCGAGGAAGGTAAGTGAGTCGAAGTGGACGAGACGCTTATTGGACGAGCTGCGTGGGAGAGAAGAGGACCGTGTGGCACTGTGTCGGACACTGTAGATATACCCCTATATCCTGCCCAACTTGGTGCTCTGCCTTTGCTGTCTTTTGCGTTTCTGGGCTTGCGATGGGCCCAGATGTAGTGATTTAGGTATGCATAGTAATAGTCAGGTTAGGTAGTTTTCAACTAATGACGACGATAAGAGGCTGACGTAGTTTGTGTAATTCTTAGTGTAGGTAAGCCGCGAAGACGATAGACAGATTTTCACATCTAGCTCCTATTGTGTCTTTGCATAGGTAGTCTCTCTCCGCCATGCGTCAACTTGGCCGACTTGAATCATCGTCAAACGACGTAAGTAGTCATTGCTGCACTAAATTGTACATGAAAAAAGAATAGGCGCCTAAGGTATCGGGAAGAATTTATGCGCGTGTATAGGGAGTGGTTATAAAGAAGCGGCCGGCCTCTCTGAAACCTAAACAGACGTTCTTGCCTATATACCTTGGCAGCTCGTTCTTCCTGGCCACTTCCCAGTCGATCGACGCGGAGTAGAAAGCCGGGAAGGTGCTAGGTACGGGCAGATAGGCAGGCGCTCGCTCGCTTGCCCTCCTCATCCTCTCCCTCTTTCTCATATATAATACCCACGTGTGTGTGTATATATATGCCCACACCCAACTTCCAGACTACGTGGCTGAAATCTCTCCAACTCTCCCCATCCTAAGATCACAACCTCTCACGGCATCCCACCATAGCATCAGACTGCCCACTCCACAAAAGGCAACACAGAACACAGGACTACTAGGACACCGTACACGAAGCAGCCATGCGTTTTCTCCGAAGCATCCGCCCTCGTACGGTCCAGGCTACCATCGCCTGCTTGCTCACGCTCGCCCTCGTCGCCAGCGCCGAGCCCATTCCGGCTAGGTATATTAACGCCACGCTCGAGAAACGACAGTACCACAGCCACTGCTGCCGGGAGGGATGCATAGACTGCCTGTTCAGGAGGTGCGAGGAACAGAACTGCCTCCCAATCGTGAGTTCTTTTCTCTCTCTCTCTCTCTCTCTCTCCCTCTCCTCCCGCCCTCTCGGCCGGGAACAAAAGGGGGGGGGCGTGGACTTTAGAAGAACGAGGAGGAGGAGGAGGCAAAGGCGTAAAAGGAAGAGAAAAGAGCTGACCCGATTCTTGCGCATCAACAGTGGAGTTCCTGCTGCTCCGAGGGCCGACGTCGAGAGGCCGCTCTCGCGAACCCGGGGCTGACCCCTGCCATGTACGACGAGGACGGCCGGATGGTGGCTTTGGTCGACTAAGCGGCTTGCGACCGCTCGGCTTACCCAGGAGATATTCCTTGGGGATCTACCTGCGGATATGTGTCCCTGTTTTCTCCAGGCATCAATAGACGGACATCTGTCACCGAGAGTCTAGACGTAGCTCCAGGTACACGCCGAATAGTTAACCAGAGCTAGGCGAGTAATATACGTTAGGTACGGCGTCGACGCCAAACAGGGAACTGGCAGGGCTCGCCTTTGTATTAGCTTTATTGTAGAGGGCGCCAACATAATATATAATATTCCTTGCCTCGGTCATCTCATGTACTCTGTCATCCCATACTCACCCTACCCCCGTGTGCTAGAGGACCGAAGTGTGTTATTCGTTGCTCTAAGATATATTTATATATGGTCATGTCGGAGAACGCTTCCTGTGCCCTATCCTCGAGAACACACGCAAGTGGCACCTCCTGAAAAGCATCACCACTCTATCTAGCACACAAGACTGCTTCATAGGTACGCCCTAGCATCTGATACCGCTAGCACGTTGGCTGCTACCAGGAGGGGAATATGTAGGCTTGATGGCGAGTGGATGGTGCGGGTAGGCACGTGCTCTGAAAGCGTGCGGATGGAAAGAATAACATAGCTTGTCAACCAAACCCGGACACACTCAATATAGGTACCGAGAGTAGAAAAACCTCCAAGGCGGCCACAGCCCTGGAGAAGCGCTTTCCCGTCCTCGAACTGCGCTTATATGCGACTGGGCGAACCGACAGCATCTTCTCTAGATTTCCTTCTTCAGCATACTTCCTGTAGAAACGGTCTCGGCCGGCTTCTTTTCGTGCTATCTCCACCGACGCCGCCCATCGCCTAGCTTTATCCTCACTTGTATACAAATACCCACCGGACCTAGTAGCCGAACATGCCGGCGTTCTCGAGGGTGGCCTAGCGCGCCTTTTACTTGGTCGAGTACGGCATTTCCGCGCCCGAACCCCTCTGCTTTGCCTTTTTCATCCCGAACCTAGGTTGCGAACGAATAGCGCTTGGGAGGGATCCCAGGCAGGGCCTCTCTAAGGGGACCTTGTTCTGGTCGACTGAAGGACTGAAGTTAGGTCTTATAAGGAACTACGACTGCAACCTGGCGATAGAACTAAGAGAGTTGCTGTTCCTCGGACTGGTCGACCCACTAGACGTCAAGGATCCATCGTCAGCGGAGCTTACCTGGGACGCGAAACCCTCGAGTGTTGTAGAGCGATACATTGCCTCGGTGCCCTGCCCTACTCTGGACGTGAAGTTCTTGACGACTAAATACGGTGTAAGTGGCTCGGTATTGCGTGATTAGAAGAGCGGGGGGGGGGTTCGGGGAAAGTGACCAATTGACGACAATAATATCTAAGTTGTCGACATACAAGGCCGCAGATGGATAGTCGACGTGATGAGACACCTTACAAACTCACAGGTCGTTAGCCGGGAAGGCTTCGACCTCGTGAAATTACGGACGCTTCACAATTTCCCCCACTATCTCCATCAAATTTTTCAATAGAAGGAGAGGAAAGATAGGCACTACTTGGACCTGGCTTGCAGCACGGCGAAGCCTCACCACGATGATATACCTACCTACTTCAACTCCGGCAGGGGTGGGAGGAACCTGCTTATGAACTCACCGGTGTCGTCGAGTCTAGCCGGTGTTTGCCGCGATCCCCGCCACTCATTTGATGTCCTCATCAGCCGCAACACACTCCTATTAACTAGCGACCGCTCCCACGACGAGCCAGGAGCGGCTGAGGGTGTCTCCTTGTGCGAAGCGTTGTATTTTGGTACTTAGCGGGATGATTCTGGAAAGAGGCTGTCGCGATATTAAATAAGTAGTTTTTTATTGGATATCAATAGCACGCCGTGGTGCTTGACGAGCGAAAGAAAAATTTCTGAAGTAACTTCCGGGGAGCGGCGGAGAAAGAATATTCCTAGAGGCTACCTGCATGGCGGGAATGTCGTCCCGTGTCCTTCTGGCAAGCCGACTGATATCTAGGTACTAGCATTCTAACTCGAGCTGACACGACTAGGAAGAAGCACAGTTGGCATGAATATAATCAAGACAGCGCCGCATTGAATCCAACTCGGTCAGGCTGTTTCCCTTGTCAAGGCAGAGTTGAGGTTGATATAGAGGTAGATAGAGGTAAGTTCTCTTGCAGGTGTGCGTCGGTAGTGGGCAAGTGGCAGTGACGCAAAGCGGGTTGCAAGGCCAGGGGGGCATGTGACCTGCCTCTCTCAGTGGCCCGGGAAAGTGGGGTGGGGGCGACAGACTGCTTGACCCAAGCTGCGGGCGTGTCCATGTTACCAGCATGACAGGCAGGTATATGCGACTTGAATGTGCCGAGCCTCGCTCTCATACAGGAGGTAGGTAGCTAAAGTACCGTGTACTTTACGAATCCGTAAGGTGCTTGGCACCCGCGTGGGATTTGGCCGGACCAGGCTCCTCCTGTGTCTTTATTTTTATTTTTTATTTTTTCAAGTCAACAAATCCCGAGTTGCTTGCGATCGCGAGGAACAGAGAGAGACCAGACCATCTCTGACCTACGCCGAGAGACCTGCGAAACACTGGCCGGCACCATGGCGCCCGGGCAGAAGATGTACCCCAGGGCAACGGTGAAGAAGATCGTCAAAGCCCATTCCAAGTGCAATGTGAGCAAGAACGTCGATGTCATGGTGAGAGCCGTCCCCGGGATCCCATTGTCGTGTTTTGGGACGCGTCGGCGGAGGCGTGGGGGCTAACAACCGGACGTGCCACCGCCACAGATCTTCCTCGACTACGTACTCTTCATGCAAACGTAGGGTTGGGCCCCGTCTGCGGAGACGCGGATTCGCACGCAAGATGGGAGCAGAGGACTGACGAGATGCAGGCTGATGAAGGAGGCGGCCATCGACGCGAAACAAGCCGGCGAGAGGGGTATAGGAGCCAGAAGCGTCAAGAAAGCCACCGCAGTGGGTTTTCCCTCCTCTTCTCTCCTCGGCGTCTGGGTTCCCCGTGCGACGCTGAGCTGCGGCTGACCGACCGACACGGCGACGCAGGACACTCTGGCTAAATTCAAGGGATGAAACATGCTTGCCTCCATACCTACATGACGGCGCAGGGCCTCGACTGTAGCGCCCGCACTGCGCATATGCGGCTTGCTTACCACTGCTCGAGTGAGGGGCGGAGGTATTTGGGGTTGTGGCCGTATTGATCCTAGTGCATCGTCGTGCTCTTAGCATAGAATAGGACAAGCAAGGCACATCGGGTTTAGGGGTGGGTGGCCGTATGTATGTCAGCGGAGGGGATTCGACCGGTCGTGTCAAGCATACCACAGAGGCATAGATACGAGGAAGAGGAGGGACTGCTTACGGTTCTTCTCGTTGGGCGATGGATAAGATACGAAGGGGATCGAATCGAGGGGAAGACTATAAATCTTGACCGGCCTGCCTACCTACCTGGGTGCCTTACCTGGCGGATAGGTCTTGGTAGCCTTGGGATGTGCCTGGGTTAGGTACCCAAGGTTGGGTACCTAACCTACTATCAACATCCGCAAGCCATCTCCTACCTATAAGGTTGGGTGCATTACCGTGGGCATCCGTATGGGAGTCATGGCGTATGCATACCATCCCAGGTATAGCAAATTCTCATACACGTATATGCTTGTCTGATGCGAGGTTTCTGGGCGCGTTATGGGTAAGGTTCCAGTTGAGAGGGCGTCAGGTACCTGTATCGCGACTCAGGTTAGGCGATACCTCTGGATACCCGTGGGAAACGCCGAGTCTCTACTCCAACCCCAAGGCTACATCTTTATAGGTATGTGCAATAGGCACCGGCATGGGTCTTTTCTCCTCCTCTATAGATACCTAGGTAGGTACCCGTAGGCATCTGTTCCTTGGAGTTCCGCACGTTTCTCTGGTGCTGCGGGTACCCGACAGGTACCCTCCAACACCGGCCCCCTTTGGAGATGTACCCGACCTGCCTAGCCTGCATAGGCTAGCGCGCGTCGACATAGGTACTACTCATAAGGTTGAGGCCCTGGAGTTGACGCTACGGAGCGGGCCTCAGGGGCTGTTAGGGGACCCTCTGGTAGCAGCCATTGGGACCTAACGGCAAGCACTGAAGGCTGCTGACTGACTAAGGCTTAAACCCTCTGAAAAAAGGGAGGGGAAAAAAAAAAGAAGGAAAAAAGTGATGTCGATGGTCCCTTTTTTTGCAGTGGTGAACCCGCGCCAGCAGGAAAAATCCAACATCCCGCATCTGCATCCAAACAACACCAGCCCGACACAGCATCCCTTTACGGCATTATATCTCTTAGATTCGCTCGCCTACTACGCTCAGGCAGAGTCGAGAGTCCCAACATCCAAAGAAACATCATACGGTCTACAGCCGAACCCAAGACGCCCACGCCCACACGCACACACACATATAACACACCACTCCCCCCCCGGCAACACCCACCATCCATCATTGTCACCCCTGCCATCGCAATCAACCCACTACCTGATATCTCTTCAAATATTCTCACGCCCACCCCCATCTTTCTTGCGAACCAGCCAGCCACCTAGCCAGTTAGCTAACCCGACCGGCATCCCATCGTGTTTACCTCTTCCAGGTCAAGCGGCCGAACCCCTCGTCCTAGGAAGCCCACCACTCTCCTCCTGTCGCCGCGAGCACCAGCATCCCCTCCGAGTACACGCACGCGACACACCACAGCGGCCGGTTGATTCCCGTCACGATGACTTCCCCCGCTGCCCAGAACCCGCCTGCACAGGCCGAGCCCAAGGTCTCCAGCAAGAAGAAGAAGGCCGTAGCTGGTCGGACCGAGTCCCCCGTCCCCTCGGTTTCCCCTGCTCCCGAGAAGACCATCTCGGTCACCGGTCAAGACGGCCAGGATGACAGCCTCGAGAGCTCCCACATCCGTGAACTCCAGAAGTCAGTGCCGCCCCCCCTCTCTCTCTACCTCTTTTTTCTCATGTTTTTCCTGTATCCCTCCGTCTCAGACTCTCGCTAATCTTGCCGCCAGGTCCATCCGCAATGTCACTAAGAAGATTGTAGGTTGCCCCGCACCACCCTCTCCCATCTTGGGCTGGATTCGTGGCTTACACTGCCGGCCCTCCTCTCTAGACCAATGCCTCCAAGACCGATTCCATAATCGAGCAGCACAAGGGAAAATCCCTAGACGAGCTCGTCGAGGAAAAGTTAATCAACCCTGACCAGCGGGCTCAGCGCCTGAAGAAGCCCCAGCTTGAGGCCCAACTCGCCCAGCTCGAGGAACAGTTGGCTCAGTACAAGAAGGTCGATGAGGAATACCGAACCCGTATTGCTGCCGAGAAGGCCGGCTTGGAGAAGTCTCTGGCGGATAAGTTCGAAAAGGAGAAGGCCGACGCCGTCAACGAGGCCAAGGAGCAAGCTGCCGCAGACGCCAAGAGTACGCAACATGACAACCTGCTGGTTCTGTCTCAATTCCTCCGCCTGGCTGCTGCCCGACGGTCTGAAGATGTCGATGCTACCCTCGACGAGAATATGGCCCTGGAGGGCGTCCTCTTGAACGTGTACTCGGGAGACGAAAACGCCGTCTCTACGATGCTTAAATTCATCGAGGGCTCCGACGAGAGGACTGTCAGCGTCAGCGGGGACGAGCTTCAGACTACCTGTACGTGTCTACGCCGTGCCGTCTCCTGCCCCTTCCCTTCTTACTAACTCCTACCGCAGATGCCCAGGTCAAGGCTGCTGCTATTGCTCATGTGGTCACTTATGCCGTCCCCGACGCGGCGGCTGAGCCCACCGAGGCGCCCGTCGAGGCCGTGGAAGCCAACGGCGCCGACACAGTCTCCGCTGACGCCGGTTTGCCTGAGACTGATGCCGCCGGCGCTGCTCCCGCCCAGTTGACTAACGGCCACACCGAGATCGCAGCCGAGTCCGGCCTTCCTGACAATGCCGACGTCGTCGATGGCGCGGCTGGTGCTGTTGCCGAGCCCCAATGGGACCCTACTACTGACCTGAGCGCTTCTCAGGAAGGATGGGTAAAGGTCCCTCGAGAGTCTGCCGAGACTGAGGCCGCCCCCGCCGCCGCCCCCGCCGCCGCACCTACCACCGTGCCTGCTACCGCGCCTGCCCCCGTCCCCGAGGCCGCCCCTGAGACCAACGGCAATCCTCAACAATCTTGGGCCGACGAACAGCCCGATAACCCTCCTCAGGTTCGTTGATGCTTAATATTACTCTTGACATCGTGAGATTTGCTAATTACATGTATATAGGCGGTTGCGGCTACGGAGGTAAATGACGGATTCCACCAGGTCCAACGCAACCGACCGCGCGGCCAGGATCGTGAGGGCGGTTGGAGAGGACGCGGCCGAGGAGACTACCGTGGAGGTTACCGGGGACACGGAGAGGGACGCGGTCGCGGTCGCGGCCGTGGCCGCGGCTTGGGAAATCGTGGCGGCCGACCGCGGAACAACGACGAACCGTAAAGAGACTCAGGACCGCGCCAATGCCGACCGATTCTTCCATCGCATCCCCCCTCCCCTCCCCGCCCCCCCCCCCCCGGATTCAGCACGTGTCTCGAAGGTCATGGCGCTGTTGATCTACCCCGTCCCCTCGTCTACCTCCAGACTCTCTGCCCAACCCCCCCACAAGGAAAATTGTCGATAAGGTAGACAGACACCCTAGGTTGTTAGTATATCTGCGTGCACGTGTTGCCTTTATTCATCATCATCGCGAGGGATTGTAAAATCAAGGATATCGGCGGGGCTATCAGAGCAAAAAGGAAAGGAAAAACGGAAAGGAGGGAAGGAGAGCATCGCATCCGAGCCTCTTCATCTTGTTCTTTTTTTTTTATTAATTAAAACATGGGGAACACAAATAGGTGTAAGGCACAAAAACTGGCGTCGGCTATTCTCTCTCTCTTCTCGTCCCGCTCCTCCTACCCCCGCTTCCTAATGTTTTTACTGTCCCTCCCCCCTACGACGGCGGCAGAGGAGTAGCATTCGGGGGGAGAGGACGGTGGGAAAGAACGGAGGAAGGGCGATGATGACGACGACGACGACGACGACGACGACGGTGGCGGCCCCCTTTTTTGTCTGTACCAACAAATACCACTTTTACTACTACTACTACAGTTACATAGCATTTACGCGAGAGACGACGAGCGCTGGCAGGAAGGGGGAGGGGGGGCATTACCGGGCGAGGGAAGGGCACAGGCACAGGCAAAGGGAGGGACGGGGGGAAGTTAAATGGTAATAATGGCATTGCGACGACGGGCGATGACGACGTGACCCGGCCGCTGGTAGATCTCTCTCTCTCTCTCTCTCTCTCTGTCTGTCTTGCCTCCCTTTCCGATACCTTCCTCCTTTCTCAACGCCGTCATGCCCTCCACGCGCTAAGTAAGTGGCGGCTACGCGTTCATGCTGGACGATGCCGGCCCACGGAGCGGTGCGGGCACCTCCGCAAGAAAGGCCACTGCCGCGTATCCCACCTTGTCTACTCCGCCCCCCGCCTGGGCCCCGGGCCGCTTGTCGCGCGCGCGTGTACAGCTGTTGCACGCCAGGCAAAGCGCACGTGCCCTGCTCCACGGGCGGAGGCAGAAGCGGGAGAAAATACAAGAGAGGGGGGAGAGGGGGGGGGGCAATAGACGAGGGGGCGCGCGGGCGCAGCCGTTCACGTAGGTATGCCGCATATCGGAATGTGCGCACCCTCATCAACTTCGTTTTTTACTCATTATTAGCTACCTATTTCACACATTAGGCGTATCTGCACCGCGCCAGCGTGCCGCTGCCACACCGCACCGGCGCCTCCCTAGATGTCGCCGTCTGCTGCTATATACACCCATCTATCTATAGGAGCCGCCTCGCGCGCACCTTTCTCCGCTTTCGCGTATTTCCCTTAGATGTGACCCTTTTTTTTATATCCGCACACGATGCATACCTAGGATATGTATGTATGTGGCATATGTGTACCTAAGGATATATTGCATTTCGGGTTCGGCATCACCTCCTTTCCCCACGGTCCCCGTCTCGACCTGAGGTACAGCCGGTTAGTTCACTCGAGATATCCGTTGGCGCCCAGCCACTCCTTGATGTTCTCGGCGTCGCGCTGGCGGTACGCGGCGCGGCCGCGGACGGCGTCCTTGACCTGCTCCAGGGTGCGGTCGAAGCCGCTCGTGTCCTTGTCGGCGAAGAAGGCCTCGATCTCGGCGATGTACTTGACGTCGACGAACTTGTTCAGCGTGAGCTTGACGAAGCGGTCCAGGACGACCGGGTTCGCCATTTTGGCCGTCAGCTTGTCCCAGTGCTCCTGGGTGTACTTCCACTGGATCGGACGCGCGACCGAGTTGTTGGCCAGGGCACCCCCCAGGGTGTGCATATCGCCTGACGGGACCGACTCCGAAGCTGGGGCGGGAGGGGACGAGTCGCAGTTGAACGGCAGGAGGCTCTTGGAGATGAGGTCGGCGTCGCGGACGTGACCTAGCGAGGCGAGGCAGACCTCTTTCCCGTCGATCGATGCTCCCGTATACCATTCTTTCTTGAGAGCCTCCACTGCCTTGGCCGGGTCCGTCTTAACACCGACACGGTACACCACGGTTCTCAGGTTCGGGTGAATGGGGGTTCCTTTGTCGGCCCATGCGTCAAACAACTCCTTCGCCTTTTCGGTAATCCTGATATTATAGGTTAGTTTTTTTGATCGACGCAAATTTCGGGCTATGTAAGTCAAGCACCCGGAAAGCGCGGCTGACCAGCGAAGGGAATATTTATGGGCGACAGGGCCACTTACGCTGGGTGGCCGTTGACTGCGGCGCTAAGCAGCAGCCTTTTACGCAGCAGACCTGTGAGGTAGTCCTCGCCTTCAGGAAATTCCCACCCGGCCTTTTCGACCGCACCGCTAACAAGCTTCAGCACAAACTTTTGCAAGCCTTTCTTGATGGTCTCGTCTTCGCCGAAGATGGTCTTGACTAGGTTAATAGAGTCGAGGACCTGGGCCCACACGAGGTTGTTCGTCTCTCCACCGAAGCCTTCGATGAAGGAGAGCAATGAGGGCGTGGTACCGTAGCCCGAAAATGCCAGGTCGGCCGCGGACCCAATGATAGCTATCTTATCTTCGTTGCTTAGGCGATCAAGTTGCGTGCTGAGCTTTGCGAGACGGGCCGGGGGGTAGTTGGTTCGATAGAACCCGGTAGCGTTGCTGTTGAGCTTATAGAAGCTGTCGTCGATGTCGCGGATGGTCGTCGTCTTCTCGGTGAGAGCTATTTTTTCAATGTCCTGCTGTCCGACCTTACCCTGCAAGGACAGCGGGACCCACCATACGGTCTGATCCTCTTCTGGTTTCACGTCGGCGGTCGACAGATACCGATTCTGCTTGATAGAAATTTGGCCAGGCTCCTCGGCGACGGTTAGCAGCGGGTGGCCAATCTTCTCGATCCAGTTGCCCATCAAGCCATTGACGTCGACGCCAGAGGCCTCGGTTAGGGCCTGCCAGAGATATTCCGTCTTGGCGTTGCCGTAAGCGTGTTTCCTCAGATATGCGCCGACGCCTTGAAGGAAGGTCTTCTCTCCGAGGTGGTTCACCAACATTCTCAAGGTAGAGCACCCCTTGAGGTAGCTGATGTGGTCAAAGATTTGGTTGACGTCCAAGGCGTCCTTCACCGGAACATGTACGGGGTGGGATGAGCGCATCCCGTCGAGTTTAAATGCCATCTCCATACCCTCGTTCACGAACTGGGCCCAGACCTGCCAGTCCGGGTGGAACTCGTTGACGGCAAACCAACCGGCCCAGGTAGCAAAAGACTCGTTCAACCAGAGCTCGTCCCACCAGTCCATGGTTACGAGGTTGCCGAACCACTGGTGGGCGAGCTCGTGGGCGACGACGTAGGCTACCCGGTTCTTATACCTAGCATCTGAGGTCTTCTCATCGAAAAGAACGGCGGTGGTCCGGTACGTCACCAAGCCCCAGTTTTCCATGGCACCGTGGGTGAACTCGTGGACGGCGAGCAAGTCCGACTTGGGGAGGGGGTAGTCGATGCCGAAACTCTCCGAGAACAGGTCGATAGTCTTGGGGGCGTGCTCCAAAGCGAAACGGCCTTGCTCCTTGAGGCCTCGGGTGGTGTAGACGCGGACGGGGATCTGCTTTCCGTCGTATTTGCGGTCCGTGTAGGCTTCTACGTATTCAAAATCACCGACAGCCCAAGCTAAAAGGTAGGTGCTCATGACCGGGGTTCGCTCGAAGGAAACAGCCACATAGCCGTCTCGGGTCTTGGTAGATTCCTTGACGGGCATGTTAGACAAGGCGACCTGGTCAGCGGGGATTTCGATTTGGAAGTCAAAGGTTGCTTTGAGCCGGGGCTCATCGAAGCAGGGGAATGCCCGGCGAGCATCGCAGGCCTCGAACTGGGTGCTGAACATGTAGTGGAAGGTCTCGTCCTTGGGCACCGAAGCCGCGGCGGGGACGACCGGCTTATACTTGCTGCGGTAAAAGCCAGCCATGTCATTGTTCAGGGCTCCTTCGAAGGCGATCTGGAGCTTGGCCTTCGGTGAGGCAGGGACCTCCGCGGCAAAAACGAGGGTTGCACGCTGCTTCTTCTCATCGTAGGTGAAAGTGGTGGTTTCCAAAGAGGTGTCTGTGCCCTGGACGGTGACCTTGGCAGTGAGCAGCTTGAGCTCGATAGAATTGATGATAATCTCCTTGGTGGGCTCTGCGACGGAAATATCAACGGCCACACTTCCCTGGTAGGACCAATTCTCGAAGTTAAGCGCCGAGATGGAGAGGTCGTAGTGGGACGGGGTGACGGTGGGAGGGAGGACGTCTCGGTCTGCCATGATGGAAGAAGGGATGATGGCCGAGCAGGGGACTCTAGGGGTTGACGAGAAGAATCGTTTGCCGGGCGGGTTCGAGATGCTAGATGCGGTTGATCTGTTGGCTGTACGCGACAGTGTATGCGCACGTGGACCAGTGGCAGTAGTAGTAGGAGTTGATGTTTTTGCCGTTGCCGCCGTTCCTCCAAGTGGCAGATGAGAGTGGTTATTGTGGTGAAGGTGAAGTTGGTGGTAGAGTCGGGAGTGGCAGGGATAGAGGCAATGGTGGGAGTCGAGGCGGGGTCTGGATCCGGGTCTAGGTCTGGGTATAGATCGCCAGTCTCGGGCTCGGATCGTGACGGAATGGGCAGGTGTCGAAGAGAGCGGTGGGGAGGGGGCGTCTGTCCTGTGACGTGGGCACAGCGGCTGAAACGAGCAATCAATCTGTGCCGCGGATATTGACGAGGTTGGCAAGGCCAGCGAGGTGGGTTGTAGCGTAGATTGCCTCTTAGATGGTGTCGTAGATTGTCTCGCGAGGGTTGCGGTCGGCAGTAGTGGTGGTGGTGGTGAAGCGGTGGTGGTGCGTATCGCCGCAGCAGACGCGGGGCAGGCCAGAGTTTGTGCGATACCCCTCCATTCGAGCCCGCCGTCATCGCTGCTTCGGCGCCTGTCGCCACCGTTGCCGCTACGACCGATGCTGCCGAATCGGGCAGGTATAGCGAGTCGGGTCAGCGGGCCAATGGCGTCCCTCGACGCCGAAGCCATCCTGCTCATCATGCTGCTCATGCTGCTCGCCCTACTCGGGGCCGGGAGCCTGGGACGACACTACGGACGGCTCATCTCGTCAGCGTACCCTAAGCTTAAGTTAGGTGTTATCAACCGACCAGGCACCGCAGTTAGGGGCTTAATAAAGGCCCATGGATCGGGACCTGAGGCACCGGGGCATACAGTAGGTATAGGTGCCTACAGGTAGATACGTGAGGTACTAGGGCGTTGGGCGGGGGGGGGGGGGGGGGGGTAAGCGAGAGGTACCTGGGACATAAACGCCGAGAGGCGCCGGGGCGGATGGCACCTACTCTCTCCCCGTACAGCCTCAAGTGCGTAACAGAGCCCCTGATAAGAGATCGAAGGATGCCATATGCGGTGCCGGAGGATGTAGGTACATATCTCTGTAGGATGTATTAGGGGTCCAGGTAGATAGGTACCTACGTAAGTATAATGCGTACACCGGGGAGTAAGGGAGAATCTCTCTCTCTATCTATCTCCTACTCTTGGTCCCTCGGCGAGCTGAACTACTGAACCGGCTTTGTTGGCTTGCTTGGTAACAACCCAATGCCAGGAGACTCAGTAACCCTCGGCCTCGGAGTTGAACGGACCTATGGTACGGGGCAGGCAACTGGGCGACTGGCTCACGCAAATGAGGGTGGGGATATCGCACAGAACAGATCAGCGGGGTAAGCGGCCAATTGAGGAGAGAAAGGCTGAGCACTATATGTTGTTTCCATATTGGGGCCGATACGCATGATAATTGAGACTACCGGGCCGTACCGCTTTACGTATCCGGAGAAGCTATCCCGAGAGGCACGCGATCGATACAGGATCGGGAGTGGTGGACGAGGCAGATAAAATATACCCACATACCTACTTCAGGTAATTATGGAAAAATCTCGACCCATATTATGATGCGCTATAGGGATACGCATCGACATAAGTGCATATATGCTATATATGCATATCGCAGCACCGGGTATCTAGGTAAATAACACTAGCCGGAAAATCAAATATACCTGGCCGTCATCGTGCATAGGTATATCCAACCTTGGAACTTCATCCTCACCTGAGGTCCATACATCCTATATACCTACCTCCTAGTATCCCCGCGCTCAGTACATATCACTGTTGCAGGCTCAAAAGACTCGAGATCCTTGCAGATCTTCCTTTCTATGCATGTTCGAAAGCTAGAGACATGGGCGCCTTCTCCGTTAACTAGGTAATAACTCGTCTTCACGAGCCTCCCAGTTTAGCTAGGCAGTCATAAGAGCTATCATAAGAGCTGTCGCAACTAACCCCTTTTACCCTTTTGCGCGGTCAACCCTTCTAGTTCTGTCACCTCGAATCAGCAATCTCGATAATGGATTCGCAACACTCCAGCCCTAGCGGCTTGGGCGGTTCACCTATAGATAATGCGACCCTCCGTCAACAGCGAGAAGACCTCCGTCGACAGCGAGAAGAGCTCCGGCGGCGGCTGATCCGGCTGGACCGTGACCGTGCCTCCCGGGGCTCCCGGGGCGGGTCTACCGAGGCAACCCCGAGCAGGGGGACCAACACCGCCAACACCACCAACACCGCCGAGTTGCTCGCTATTACTTACAACGACAGGCAAGGTATACAATGGACTTTCCAGACACCCCAAGGTCAGTGAGCCCGTGTTCTTTCCGCCTGTCTATCCCTTCGTTTCACCTATCGAACTGTCTAGAATCTCCAAATCACCTAGTCACCCATTTTCCACTCCTCCGCGCACATACACAAACAAACTTACTGTCTCCCCCATCCTCGTCAACCCCCCCCCCCCCCCCCCCCCCCTTTTCTCCCTCCCATTTCCCATTATCTTCCCTATTAGCATCGCCTCAGTATCCCCTTCACTTCTACCCATAAGCATCAGCCTAAATTGATACTGGCCCACGATGGTTCGGCCCGGACGCCAGGAGAGGGATCGATCCCTGCTTCCGTCCGAGTTAGCTCAATCGCAAGCGGACTCCAGGCATGGTGTACCTCCCCCCTGGGAAGAGCTGGGTGACGTTCCATCTGTGGCTGAGGAGGATGTGGGTTCGCAGATTTATGTTGACCCTGACGCAGCCGCCCATGATGAAGCGCAAGGGGATGGCGAAGGCGGCGATGACGGCGGGTACGAGGATGATCGAGATGTGGGCGTAGGTGGCGAGGTCGACGAGGTAGAGGACGACAAGGGAAGCGAGGATGAGCAAGAAGACGAGGCAGGATGCAACGATGATGAGCCCCAATTTGATCCCTCGGCGATGGGTTTGAAGGAAATCAGCAATCTTGCGAGCTTCACGGTCAGCAGCTATAAGCCCGGCTGTGGAGTGAAAGAGCTCCGAGACGACGATGCAAACCAATTCTGGCAGTAAGTCCGAACCGACATCCGCGTCGCGAGATGGCTAACTTGACCTTACTACCTAGGTCTGACGGACCGCAACCGCACCGCTTGAATATTCACTTCATCAAGCGCGTCGAGATACGCGCACTTCGACTCTATCTAGACTATGAGCTCGATGAGAGCTACACGCCCACCAAGATCCAAATCACGGCCGGCTTCGGGCCCAACCAGACCATCCCATTCACGACCATGGACCTGTCCATGCCAAAAGGTTGGATCGACGTGCCCATCGCCGGAGCCGGAGGCGGTGCGGATGGCAACTCTCTCTGCTGCTGGTTTGTCCGTGTCATTGTTGTTGAGAACCACCAGAACGGGAAGGACACCCATATTCGCGGTGTCAAGGTGTACGCGCTAGACGACACTGCGGATACCGCCGAGAATAATCCCGTTGACGATATGGTCGAGGCCATCGACGATTACAGCGAGAGGATGGCTGAAATGGACGTTCACGATCACGATGAGGACACCCTGAAGAAAATCGAGGAGGATAAACAACGTCGGAAGGCCAAGGCTAAGAAGTACACACCCGGCGACGGAGGACTAAGCATCCCCGACTTCATGAGAGAGCCGGAGATTCGTTAAGGCCTGTCTAGGAAGGGCAGCGCCGCCAGATGTATAGATCGAGGGTTTGGGGCGTTTCGGAAGTCATGGCTGGTCATTACGATACCCCATTATTGGTGCTCTGGATTTGGGGAAAGACATAGGGGCTACCATATGCCTATGTGAAGCCGGACGACTCGTCCAGCCACTCACGGACCAAATGGTCTTGTGGTATTTCCAAAAGCACGAGGATAGAGATTGTTTATGGGCAAAGCAAGTCTTGCGACAAAGGCCGTGCGCAACTGGAGATGACACCTAGTAAATTCGAGGCTTTCACCCTCTTTAGAGGACTAGCGAATTGTTAATCGTCATAATGAGAACTACATATGCTATCCCCCTTTCCTGGCCCCTACATAGCCCCTATACAGCCTCGATATGTAGGTTGCAGAGTAAGAAGCTAACCAATCCTCGGCACTGAGTGGACTTACCTCAGCATGATGTTACCTTAACTATGCCTTATCGCGGGTTAAACCAAGATTGTCTCCTCTAGCTTCCCCCTGTTGCTCCCCGCCTCACCCCTCCATCACAACTTGTTCCACGAAGCATCTACAGAACAGACAGATGTCTTTGTCCTCCGGAACCAGCGCCGCTCCCATGGCTCCTCGGCCACCGCTCCCTGCGAACCTCGTATCGCTCTTCGCCCAAGCTCTGCAGCGCTACCAGGCCTCCAACACGGCGTTCCGCGTCCTCTGCTCCGTAACCTCGTCCTCCGTCCCGCCCACCACAGAGGAACAGCTGCTGGCCCCGCAGTCACCGCGCGTCCTGCCGCGGACGCTCCTGATCCTCGACTCGTCCTTCAACCCGCCCACCCTCGCCCACCAGCGTATGGCGCTGACCGCCCTCGAGGACGAAGATGCCGCAAATCGTCGCGATAACGATGGCCCCAAGCCGGACGCGGAGACGCAGACGAAGCGGGGCTCCCGCGTCCTCCTCCTCCTCGCTACCAACAACGCGGACAAGGCCCCGAAGCCCGCCGCCTTCCCGCAACGCCTCGCCATGATGTACATCTTCGCGCGGGACCTGCTCGCGCGCCGCGCCGGCTCCCACTCGCCGCACCCGAAGCAGAAACAAGGAGGAGAGATAGGGGGAGGAGGCGCGGAAGATGCCGGCGACGCCGTTGACATCGGCGTCACGACGGAGCCCTACTTCCACGCGAAGAGCGGCGCGGTCGCGGCATCGGACTTTTACGGCGGAGCCGCACCGACGGAGACTGAGACGGAGACGGAAAAGAAAGGGGGAGGAAGAGGCGGGGAGGAAGGAGAGCGCGACATGACCCAGGTCTACCTCACCGGCTTCGACACGCTGATCCGCATCCTCGACCCCAAGTACTACGGGCACTCGGCGGCGGCGATGGCGGCGGTGCTCGACCCGCTGTTCGCGCGCGCGCGGCTGCGCGTGGCGAACCGGACGGACGCGGGCTGGGGCAGCGCCGCGGAGCAGGCGGCGTATCTGGAGAGGCTGCGGCGCGGCGGCGGCGGCGGGGCCGCGGGAGAGGCCGCGGCCGCCGACACGGCGCGCTGGGCGCGCCGCATCGAGATGGTGGAGGGCCGCGGCGAGGGCGACGCCGTCGTCAGCAGCACCAAGGTGCGCGACGCGGTGCACGCGCGCGACTGGCACGCGCTCAGGGCGCTCGTTAGCGAGGACGTCGCGGCGTGGATCCGCGCCCAGGGCCTGTATAGCGAGGAGGGCGGCGCCTGATGCGCGGGCGACCTGCAGGGAGGGGGACGGGCCGCACCGGCTCCTGCCGGGCGGGGGCAGGCGTCTTGTCGTCGGTGTCTGAGAGGCGGACGGGCGGTTTCTGCGCCACGGTTGTACGCATACCTAAGGTGACGAGACCCAGGTCTTATCCCCTAGGACGGCAAATTGGCTATCGAGACCGCGCCGGCGTAAGGGGCTAGGATCTCGTTCGACTTCGAGGCCTGGGAAATTTGCATTTGTGGTCTATCCCTCCCCCCCCGTACCATGGCGGTAACCTAGCGCGATTGCCCGGGCTCTCTCCGGAGAGAAACGCCGCACTACTCTGGGAAACACGGGATGCGTCCGGAGGTGGATTGCAGTTGAGATGCTAGTTACGATGCCTTACTTAAGGAGACTCTTTTCACGCCGAGCTCGGAAGTGCACTGCCTACGCGCTGCGTCTCGCAGCTCTCGGAAGCGGAATTTACCCCCTGCGGACGCCCGTCATCGCCTGGGCTGGTTTTGGCGGCGACCGTTGGTCACACTCGTTTCGCGCCTGTCTGCAGTGATAAGAGACGAGCGCCGATTTGGAAGAATACGGCACCACCCCGTTCTTCACAACCAGTAAAAGTCTAATTATTGTGTATACAAATGGGAATCCTATACTTGGTTATGGTGTAAGGACCTCCGTTAGAGGCACGTAGGTAAAAAATACCTCGAAAGGGAGAACGTCAAAGATCCCTGCAGAGGCGCAAAAATATCGAGTACGCCGATCGATATGCGGTGTTACCGCGCTCTACTATCTATTTATATATCGTCTCCATCGTATATGCCAGGTGCTTTTCCACTACTAGCGCTCGAGCGAGCCGGCGGCCATCTACGCAGCAGGCCCGAAGTCGAACTAAACGAGCCGCGGTACCCCCAAACGCCAAAAATCCACGCGCGTGTATACATGCATTCTAGCTAAAGATATCAACACGACTCTCCTTACTCATCACCCCACGCAGAATAACCACGGGAGGAGAGGGGAGGAGAGGAACGCCGACCGACCCTACTATTCTGAAGCGGTCGCGGCCTGCTTGGGCGGGGGCAGGTTCCTACGGGCCTCGTAGCGGCCCATCTGCTGCATGAGGGCGTCCATGACAACGAGGGCCGCCATAGCTTCGACGATGGGGACGGCGCGGGGCACGACGCAGGGGTCGTGGCGGCCCTTGGCCTCGAGCACGCCCTCGGCCGCGCCGTCGTACGTCGCCGTCGTCTGGGCCTGGCTGATGGTGGCGGGCGGCTTGAAGGCGACGCGGAAGTAGATGGGCGCGCCGTTGGAAATGCCGCCCTGGATGCCGCCCGAGTTGTTCGTCTTGGTGGTCAGCGTCGGGCGGGGGATGCCGGCGACGGCCGGCGCCGCCGCTCCGCCCTCAGGCGCGGGCGCGCGCACGAAAGGGTCGTTGTGGACGGACCCCGGGATCTCGCAGCCGCCGAAGCCCGAGCCGACCTCGAAGCCCTTGGTCGCGGGGATGCTGAGCATGGCGTGGGCGAGCTTCGCCTCGAGCTTGTCGAAGCAGGGCTCGCCGAGGCCGCTCGGGACGTTGCGGATGACGCAGGTGACGGTGCCGCCGATGCTGTCGTCGCGGGCCTTGAACTCGGCGATGAGCGCCTCCATGCGGCGCGCGGCGTCGGCGTCGGGGCACCGCACGGGCAGGAAGCGGTCGACGGTGGCGCGGTCGACGGTGCGCAGCAGCTCCAGGAAGGCCGGGTCGCGGCTCGGCGACGGGCGCTCCGCCGTCGGCGGGAACAGGTGCTCGGCGCCGACGGAGGTGACGAAGGCGGTGATCTCGACGCCGTAGGCGAGCCGCAGGTACTTCTCGGCGATGGCGCCGGCGGCCACGCGGCCGATGGTCTCGCGCGCGGAGCTCCGGCCGCCGCCGCTGCTCGCCTTGACGCCGTACTTCTCGAGGTAGGTCCAGTCGGCGTGGCTCGGCCGCGGGTACAGGTCCATCGTCTTATTGCCGTAGTCCTTCGGCCGCTGGTCCTCGTTGAGCACGACGAGCCCGATCGGGGTGCCGAGGGTGACGCCGAACTCGGTGCCCGACTGGATGACGACGCGGTCCTTCTCGTTGCGCGGCGTGGTGATGCTGCTCTGGCCCGGGCGGCGGCGCGTCATCTGCGGCTGGATGTCGTCCTCGGTCAGCTCCATGCCGGGCGGGCAGCCGTCGACGATGCATCCTACGGATCGGCAATGGGACTCGCCGTAGCTGCGAGGGAATTGACGGTTAGCTGCGGCCCAGAGAGACCCAATTGGGGTGTATGACTGACGTGGTGACCCGGAAGACATCGCCAAAGGTCGACATCGTCGGCCGGTGAGCATAGAAGAGAAGGGATGAAGACGAGACGGATGGGGATGGCTGTTACTATCCGGTACGCTTCCGAATGGTATGAACTAAAAGGCGAACCTGGAAGGTAGGTAATTCTTGTGTCTTCCGGCGGCTTCTCCGGGACCAGGGCACGCTGCCCCCTTTCGTTATAAAGGCGACGTGAGGCTTTGTCTGGTGAGCAGAAGAAAAAACCCCAAAAAAAAGGTCGATTGAACTAAGACTCGACTCGATTGCCGGGTTATTCTTGTCCAAGGGTCTTACGATAGTGGGGGAGTCGCTCGACCTTATCGATAGAGGGGCACGCGGAGGCTTGGCGGAAGGATCGGGGAAATCGGGGATTAGGACAGGGGTCAGAACGACACCCGCCTGCGCGGCTACAGAATCCCGTCGTTTTTTTTTCCTATCACCAGCCTTACCGACCCTTCTAGGGTATAGTTTTTCGTTGTTGTTGTGTGCCTTCTCAACAGGAGCCCGTGCCGCCGAGAGCTGACACTAATTCGGATTCGACGGAACAGAATACCTACCTAGGTTCCCATGCCTACGCAATCCCCCGAGGTGATGTGATATGGCAGAGACAAGAAAAGAGAAAAAAGCCTCCGTGATATAGCCCGGCCGCGCCCCTCGTTCTTCCTCCCCACCATCTATGGCCTCCTGGCGCCCACTGCCCACTGCCATTGCCGGTAAGCGATGCTCCAGTCTCCTCCTACCGTCGATACACCCGCCACGGCCGAATCCGTGGGTGAGCAGCCGCACAGGCAGGGTACCAACGCCGCGGCAATGTCGCTTCTTGTCCGAGGAGGCCGTCAGCGACCGCCATAACAGCGTGCAGGTCTATGTGTCACGCACTACGAACCCGTACATGAACCTAGCCATCGAGAACTTTCTGCTGGAGAGCAGCTTCACCACCTCGTTTATTCTGTTCCTCTACACGAACCGCCCCTGCGTCGTCATCGGCCGCAACCAGAACCCCTGGGCCGAGGTCGACTTCTCGGTGATGCGCGACCCGAACGCGTTGGCGGACGCGAGGCGTGCTTGCGGCGCGGACGCGGACAGCGATATGACACCCGGGGACGAGGAGGAGACGCACATACATGGCTCCGGCACCGACATCCTGCTCGTGCGCCGCCGGAGCGGCGGCGGTACCGTATTCCACGACTTGGGCAACGTCAACTACTCCGTCATCTGCCCTACCACTGGGTTCAATCGCAACACGCACGCGGCGATGGTGGTGCACGCGCTGCGCCATGGCCTCGGCATAAGCGCCCGGGTTAACGAGCGGCACGACATCGTGGTGGACGACGTTATCCCTCCGGGGCCGGGTGACAGCGATGGCAGTCCCAAGACTGAGACCTTCAAGGTCTCAGGATCGGCGTTCAAGATCATAAAAAATCGCGCGCTGCACCACGGGACATGTCTCCTGCGCTCGCCACACCTACCGCTGTTGGGGCGGCTTCTGCGGTCGCCGGCGGCGCCGTACATCTGGGGTAACGGTGTCTCGAGCGTCCCAAGCCCCGTGCGCAACTTGTTTCCCGGGCTGGAGAGGACACTACCCAATGGTGTCGACATCTATACCGCCTTCGAGCAGGCCGTCATCGCTCAGTTCACCGCCCTCTATGGCCAGCCCAATATCCACGAGGTTATCGGCGACGGCGGTACTGAGGAAAAGAAGACGCCCATCTCCTCGCTCATCCGCGAAATCGACGACATTAGGGTGAACTACGCGCTGCTCAAGGTGCGGATTTCCTACCTTCTTTTCCATTTTCCTCCCCCCGACCCTCTTGCTTTCAGCCTCGGCTCGCCTTCACTTCAAACCGCCTTTCTTCTTTTACCGTCTCCGCCACGTGTATGCACACACACACACACACAGAGAGAGAGAGAGAGAGAGACGCCGTAAGCCTGCCTAGCTAACCTCCCTTCCCTCTCTACTAGTCGTCGGCCTGGATCTTCGAGAATACGCCGTTCTTCGCCTTCAAATCGTACCGGGTACAGGAATCACCCAAGAACAGCAACGACGTCGATATGCACGGAGCCCTCTCGCAGGGGCCTCCGTCGGACCTACGCGCCTCCATAACCCTGCGGCAGGGGCGGATCCTCAGCGCCGTGTTTAGCGTCTGGGGCAAGCCCATCAATTCGCAGCAGGTCCGGCACCTGATCCGGAACGGGCTCTTCCGCATCGAGGACTGGAGACACGTCGTCGGTGACGACGCGGCCGGCGAGTGGCTCAACAGGCGCCTCGTCACCGGCTCCTTCACCGACAGCCGCGTCACCCGCAGCAGCAATCGCCCCGGCAAGCGGGTGGTCAAGTATATCAAGGAGGGAGGAGGAAAAAGGACCGGCAAGACAGGGAAGAAAAGGGATCGGATAGAAAGAGGTCGGGCGTAGGTTAAAAAAAATACTAGGAAAGATCGGTGAAAATCGGACATGCTGACGTACGTCGGGGACTACCCGTATATCTATAGCATCACCGTGCTGCATACAGGTACCAAGGATCTAGGGGAAGCGGAAGAGGTAGAGAGAGAAATAGACGAGAGAGGAAAAAGGGAGGGCGAAGAGGAAAGACGCCCTGGGTAAAACGTAGGAATAGAGGACGCCTACGCGCGGGTCGGATCGGATCGGATCGGGCATGTAGAAACACAATCGATACCCCTTGTTCCTCTCCCTTCCGTTGACAGTAACTTCTGTTTATTCTTGCCCATCTTGCGTCGCCTTGTATTTACGGTATAAGTCTGTCCATATTCCTCTGCTGGCCTTCGTCCCCATTCTCTCTCCTCTAGACGCCTCGTGAACCTCCATTAATAACCTAGCCTCGCCCGATCTCGAGCGGCAATTCCAGCATGATATCGTTCCTCGCCGGCCTCTCTGTCATCCTCGGGGCCTTGTCGCCCCCTCTCTCCACCCCCTAGCCGCACGTACTCATTCCAAGCTCCCCGCGCCCACGACCCCCTGCCCGAACCACTGCGCGACCGTCTTGAAGCGGTCGTCGCCCTTGGACAGCGCGTCGCGGAACAGGTCGTGCCGCGAGGCCCGCTCCTCCTGGCCGCGCTTCATCGCGCGCACCGCCGAGTTGCCCATCGCGCACACGGGGCACTCGAGGTCGCCGCTGCCGCCGATCCCCGCTCCGGCTCCGATCCCGATCCCCCCGCCGCCGCCGCCGCTCGCGGTGCTGTCTTCGCCGGTGCGCTTGAGGCATCGCTGGTGGAAGCTGTGCTTGCACAGGAAGTGGACGGCGGGCAGCTCGAGCGGCGCGCCGCACCCGGGGCACCGCTGGGCCTGGAAGACGGCGGGCTTCGCGCCGAGCTCGGCCGTCTCGGCGCGCTTCTGCTCCGTCTCGCGGCGGAACGACCCGATCTGCCGGCGGTTCGCCGCGATCTCGCGCCGCTCCCGCGTGATCGTCTCGTGCAGGTACGGCTTGATCATACCCATCGTCGCCACCGCGTTCGCCCCCAGCGTTTGGATCACCTGCAGCGGCGCCATCAGCCCGTCCCGGTCGATCTTGCGCAGCACGTTTGCCAATTCTTCCGGCCCCGCCTCCTCGAGGATCCGCGGGTCCGACGTGAAGTACGCCAGCGCTGCCGGATACAGCTGCGGCTCCGCCGCCCCGTATTTGCGTAACGCCTTGATCGCGCCCCGCGTGTCCTTGGCCGACGTGTAGGAGCGGAATATGTCGAACAGCAGGCCTGACTGCTCCTTAACTAGCGTCGTACCGTCTCGGAAATCAGAAAGGTGGGATAGGAGGAGGACATTCGAGTTCTCGATAGGAACCTCTTGTCCTTCGATTAGCTGCTTCGCCTTGAGCTCCCACTCCTCCCTCTGCATGCCTTTCCGCTCGCTGGCTTTGTGGAGATACATCTCGAATAATGTCGTGTATATATCTGCTTTATCCGACTCTCTGAAAGAATCCTCACGCAGGCACGCTTCGAGGAAGACGATAAATTCGTCTGGATGGTCGATGAAGGATGAGAAGGCGGTTCGAGGAGGGGGTGGGTTGTATCTCTGATGGGTGTCCGTCTCGGGATCTTCTAGGGTGGCGCCGGCGTCGCTAGCCGTTGCATAGGAGCTCCCATGTATAGTAGGCGTCGTGGCGGCAGGGGAATTGATATACGGTAATGGCAGGAGACTAGTTAGATTTTGGACGGCACTCGCAGCTCCCGCCGCTATCGCGCCGCTCGATGTGCTCGGTGCTGTTTCTTCTGGTGTCGCCTGGACTTTTCGTCTATATCTTCCCGTATAATAATCGATAAACAGCCTGGTTGTGTCTGTCGGACAATTTTCTAGAAGGACCCGGGCATACTTCATCAAACATGCATATGCCTGTGTAGAATTAGCACAGGCAGAAGGGTTGGATGACCACATTACGTACTATATCGGTATCCAGATGCCATATAAAGCCGAGCGCTTCGGCATAGTTCTTGGAGTCCTCAATTAGGATATCTACGACGAGGTCATTCTCTCCGTGTTTTGTGGCAAGGTAGGCGGCCTGGTCAAAGTAACCACCTTGTCTACACATGGTTATTGCCGTCTCCAAGTCAAACTTGAGGTCTCCCTCTGACTTGATGAATTTCTCCAGCTTCTCGACGTCTTTTAGTTTAGCGTAGCAGTTCAGTAACAGGGTTGTGTGGTCCGCGGTAGCCCTGTGGTGCTCGTGTAGCTCCTCGAGGTACTCGATAAGATTGTGTATTCTCTGGGTATCGAGGAACTAATTTTGTTAGGAGGGTGATCCTTGCCTCTGGAGAGAACGCTTACCTTTCGGATGACTTGCGAAGGCTCCGTGTGGTCGATCGCCTTGATGTACTGGGACATAGCGCTGTCGTAGTCCCCTTTTTGATAGAGGTGGTCACCGTACTTCCGGTAGATGACGTTCTGCTGCTGGAAGTCCATTCCGGACTTCTGCGCGAGATTTATCGCGAGCGGGAACAGATTCCGCTGATATAATAATTCGAGCCTCTGCTGCAAGGACTTCTCGTGGTAGCGGCTGACCTGGGCTTGGTGAGCGTACGATAGCATTTATCAACATGATGGCATACCTTACCTTTCCGTCTTGAGTTAGGATGAACAAGTCCCCCCAGATTTGGAATAATGCTTGGATTTGCGAGATGAGAGTCTCGGAATGGGCAACGATCTGTAGGGTTGGGTCCACCATTGTAAACCTGGCAGCGGCGAAGAGAGAGTCCCCGAAACGCCTCCCAAGGTTGTCGGAACTTCCATCACCCGCCATAGGAGGCGGTGTAACGAGAGCGACATAGTCCTGGAATGTCGAGACTAGTCTCGTGGCCCCGTCGTTGGCAAAACATAGCCCCCGTCCATCGACCGTATAATAGTACACTGCATCCTCCCGAACCACGATAACGTCCCCGGTTTTACTGTTCACTGTCATGCAGCCGGCCGCACATCCGGAGTCCTCGATCGTCCTCGGCGGCTGCCCTTGACCCTTCCCAGATATGACCAATTTGAGGAGTTTAGAGGTCGTGGCAACAAATAAGGTGGTGAGCTTCGGATCGGCTACAAATTCGACTCCTGTGATGGGTTCTTCTGATTCGTAAACGACCCGTTGTTTCGTTCCTCGATCGTGTATCAGGTCTCCTCGTATCGCAGTAACGGCTCCATTTGCAAAGCCTACGGCAAGCTGTGACAGGTCGTCGAGCGCGGCGAAGGCCGAGATCTGCAGCGTTTAGTTTGTGGTGATCACCGAGGCCGGATGTTTGATGGACTTACAGGAAATTGTTTCCGTCCGTTATATATACTCAGGGTGCTTAGGCACGTGGGCAGTCCCGTTTTCTTGACCGGCTTATCCAAAGCCCAGACCTTTAACACCGGTTCGTTGCTGAGGTCCTCCTATCGTCCATCGGTCAGCGCTGCCCGCAACAGTATCGTATCTGCCTCATTCGTACCGAGATAGTTACTAGGAGGCTCGTCCCCTCGACCTGGCGCATATGGGTGATACGACCGGTGTCGTGGGCCAGGAAGCTCCGGACGACCTTCCAACTGGGGCCGACGATGCGCACGTATCCATCATCGCTACCGAGAAACAGACTGTCGGACCCGGAGCACACGCATGATATCTCGTTATTCTCGAAGAAGGACCGCGTCTCGTCGTCGCCGAGCTTAACCTGGCTGACCTCGAAGAAGTCGAATGCTTTCCACTTCGAGAGACGGTTAGACGATGCCGAGTCTGAGAGCGAGACGACCAAGGCTGAGAATAGGATAACTTACCAAAAGCAGCGCCATATTGCACGCTCAAGTGTTCGCAACGCCTAACTTGGTAGCATGAGCTGTGAGTTAGTCATCGCCGTATGTGTTGGGAGTTGGGAAGTTAGAGGCTCGCGCTGGACGTCACCGTGAAACTGGATGGCCTGCAACAAGCTATCCCGGGGTCAAGGTAGATAGATACCTGAGTACCTAACTTCTTATCGATAATGCGGACACATGTACTTGGGTGTACCTAGGTATTGAAGATAAGACGATAAGCGGTGTAATCGGATTGTGGCGGTACTCTCGATCTGATTGTGGCTTGTTCACTTACAACTTACAGGGGCTATCTACTGAGACCACCTCCTGAGTATGCGTCAACAGGAAGACAGATATGTGTGTCACTTTCATCTCTCTTAAATTACTCAAGCCTGCTGTATACTCATCTATCTAAAGATAGAACAAATATGCAGATGTATATACCCATATTAATCCCTTCAACTACCTAGTTAGCCTGTTCACAATGTTAGGTATGAAATCTAGCCACCACCCGACCTCGCTTGCCACTTTTTGAACGCCTCACCAAAACCGCTATTCTCGGGTTCCCTGAACGATGTTATGTTGATGGGAATAGCTCCCAGGTCAGCCAATGGCACTATCGATGGGCGGCTGTGTGCGCATTGAAAGGGTAACGCGCAGGCGGCTAATCGCTCAACCAGGTCGACGCATTCTTCGCGGGAGAGGGGATCGTTGAACATGATCGAGCTGCGGCACGCTCTCGAGTTGATCATATCTAAGATGCCTTGAGGGCAGCCGTGAAACCGCGATAACCAATGTAGCTCCTCGGAATTCCGCTTTCCGAGCTGAACTGCCTCGCCCGCCGTGTGGCGGAAGACGCCCTGCTCGGCAAATCCCCAGACCTCTCTCCTTAGTAATTCAATGAGTAGCCGAGGCTCTGAACAGCACCTCTCGGCTATACTCGACGGCAGCTTATAGACTTTTAATCGCGCTTGCCCCTCGTTGACAGACTTCGATTTTGGTGCCGGATCGATCTGGAATGCAATCCCCCAGTGCTGGAAAAATGCGACGGAGCGTTGAAACTGATGGCAGTCCTGAGCGGAGATGTCGAAGACCAGGGGCTGCTCTAACGTCTCCATTTGGGCAACAACTGGCAGCCGACGCCCCCCCACCGGCGTATTCTCAGCATCTTCCGCCACCGTAAAATAATCTTTCATCAAGGCTTCGACTTGGCAACGCTCGTCGGCAGCGTGTTGGTCAATGACGATAAGTAGCGATGTGTCTTCTCTCTGCGTACTCGAACCAACTGGTTGGGAGGATAAAGGAACCCTAGCAAAAATGAATTTACGGTCGACTTGCCCTACAACTTCAGCGTTTCGGAGATGCTCTTTTGAGAGCCTACTTTCAACACTGTGAGAAGATTGCAAGGCCTCTAATGGTCTGGAGTTACACCCATGGCAATCACCTTTTGATGTTCTCGTTACTAGAGCCAAAGCCTTCGCTTCGTCGAAAGCAACAGGAATTGGCGGCTCCCGCGGGTGAAAAACGGGGTCTTCCCACGATGACAAAAGATCCTCCAACCACTTGCTCCTCTCATCTCGAGGGTTCGCCATCGTGTCAGTCCGTATTCTCTTTCTCAGAGGCAAATGATCAGCACCCCTGGGAGCCTCGCGCGTTTCCACTCTCTGTGGCCGAGACACAAACCCAGTCCGGGTATTAACAGTCAACACCTCTTTAGTCACCGGATTCGTCCACAGCACTTCCTCGGCTTCCCGAAGTTTCGATTGCTCTCCATCCGGATCTTCTCCTTCAGGTGTCATCTGCTGACCGGGTTTGGGGGCGTCAATTTCCGCATCAGTGAACGGAATACAAAGCAATGTGCCATCTGGAGAAATTAGGGGGGCTTTGGGCGGCGTGTCGATATTATTTAGAGACGACCCTTGAGTAGGCTGATTTTGGCTATCGCTATGTCCTACAGCGACAGGTTGATTTGGTGGTTTCTCATATAGATGTGCATATTGTGGCTGGCCTGATTTAATACGCGTCCACAAATCGAAAGGAGATTCAGGTCGACGGCGAAAACTGTCCGGAGTAAGGTTAAGGCGGGTACTTGCCAGGTCCCCACTAGAAAGACGGTCCCGGGAAGTATGAGGCTGGGTTGTCCTGAGTTGCGCTCTGGGTGTTAAGCTTCTGGGTAAGGATTTCTCGTGTCTATATTCCGCGTTCGATCCTCGGGGTGAGGGATCACTGGTGGGCCTACAATATCTCGGACGTAGATGGTGCGCCTTGAGAAATTCGTAAAGGGTCGCTCTTAACAGATCGACGATTCCCCTCAAGCTTTCGTCCTGTCGGTGGAAAATGTCGTCCGCATCGTAGCTACCGAGTTGAGACATATGGTCCCCGAGATTAATTCGGATATAGAACATAGGCCACCGGTCAACTCCCTTCCTTCCCCTGAGTTCTTGGTTGGTGTACCCGTCCGTTTTAAACCGACGGTCTTTGGCCCTCTGATCTCTTTTGTCTTCATTAAGATCGATAGCTTGCTCTAGTACCCCGAAGCTCGAATTCGTAAAGAGTCGGTTTATCTCTTCATATAAGACGTTCGAACCGTGGTCATTGGACACGGGCCGGACGCCTAAGCTGATGAACTGTATATGCCGGGATGCTATTGGGACTAGCGACACCGCACCTACGATTGACGTCTGGCCCGCGGTGGCCTGGAGAGGCACCCAGGCATCTCGACAATTATCATCCGACAACTGAGCTTGGAACAATGTCCTCGAGACGCGCGCGGCGAGACTAAGACTGCCACCTTTCTCTCCTTCGAGGCCTGAGGACTCCTCAGGGATACGAATTGCAAGACTACGTCGGTCGACAGAGTCACGGACCGACAGAGAGACGTGGCCCGGCCAGGCAAGCAACAAGGCTACTAGAGCGCGTCTGAGGCGTTCCCAGTCTCTTGCGTGAGCTCCTCTTTCGGCATCGATTGCCCTCTGTTTGACCCTGACGGGCATGGAGCCGAAAAGGTCTCTGACGGTAACGCGAGTTCCATGGGGGAAACTCAACAGTCTCTGCTCTGGCAAGGACGGGGTATGGCGGGCCAAGACGGCGGCGTTGCGAATCTGAATAGAGTTGTGGGAATGGTATTCGTGATGATGGGACGTGACAGACAGCAGAGACAGACCGGCTGCAGAGGCTAGAAAGGTACCGTATCGGCCGTGGACGTGATTACGAGGGGGGGATTTGGACGTGTGGTGGAGCTTGGCGAGGCCTCCCGCCGGCTTGAATTCATAGGGGGGGATACCCAGGCCATTGTCTTCGACGGAGCAGTTCCCTCGGGCGTAGTCGATGGAGACGGTGATCTTGGTCGCGTCTGCGTCGAGGGAGTTCTTGACCAAGCCACAGACGACCGCATTCAGAGAGATTACAGTGGTAGAGGATTTGATCTGGGCAATGACATCCTCCGGCAGCTGCTGGATGGACATTGCTGGCTGTGCTCGCCTCTCATTTTATCATCCGGTTTTCAGGTATCAAGTAGGTAGAGAACTCTCTCCTTCAAGTCGCACGTCGGCTTCGGCCACAAAGAATTTGGAGCGTGGGGTCTGGCAGCCTGGTAGGCAGGCCTGGGCACATGTCGCGGTCTGCCCTTCATGAAGGAGTTGAAGCTGCTGCGTTTGGTCGGGGGTGGCGTGGCGCGACATGCGTAGACGAAGTACCTAGATGCATTACATAGCCTTGCCTCTATGTACTGTATAGCAATGCAGGGCAAGGCGAGGTATTACGCATATGTTGTGTTTATGCAAAACAGAACCCGTCATAAATAGATGATTATGCATCAACCGGCCCTGAATTGTGTCGTTATGCATAGAATACCTGGGTACGCGGAACATCCCGAGTGGCAGGCCTTGACTGATGACGTTATCGCCACATTTCCCAAATGGTCCCTTAGCGGCTCTCGAAGTCTCGGGTGTTTTTATTGGGCAGGGGACAGCGATAGACAGTCCGCTTAGGTAGCTAGGTACATTCATAAATGTCGGTGCGTGGTATGGACCCTGGCTCCATGCACGCCCTTATCCGTGGGGACGCATGTATTCGGTACTTGGCGGTCTCTTGTGCAACATCTGGATTATTCCATTGGACGAACATTTCTCCCTAAGGGATAGATAGGTTGCATATGCACATGCATGCATAGTACAGTATGGAGGCAGAGCAAGCACAGGAATTGAGAGGTCCCGCCCACAAAACCTCCACACCAAACCCGGCCAACCCAAGGAATCCCCATCCACTCCCTCCACTCGTTCGTTCATATCCATCCACGTCCAGCGACGCCATCCCGTCGCCGGCCATGATGCTCCTCTAAAAACCAGCACGCACACTACATACGACGGCAGCACAACAACAATTCCGCCCAACCCGCCCACCTACTTATTTATCGACCTCTCCATCCCACACCCCTTCGGGCTCGCAGCTTACGAGTAACAAATACTCGCCTGGCTAGCCTAAGCCTGTCTGACAACCCATCGATAGGGCCCATCTCTGGAATTCCGCCAATTCAGGCCGCATCCCACAGGGTTTTCAGGTATCACACCCGTCCTCCTACCAACACCGTCGAGGCCTAACCGCCGGCGACCCGAAGGTGCGAGCGAGGCAAGGCCGCGAGGTTGTGTTGCGCCGACACGTCTCCTCAACCCCTGGCCTCTGCTCTCTTTGACCCTCTACATACTCATAGACGTTCCATCCGCTCCTGTGTATTTGACTCGACAAGCCCCAAGCCCTCGCGCCGACACAAACGCATACATACATAACCCACGCACGCACGCACAAACCAACCACAATTCGCATCCACGTCTGCATTCGCACATCCACAGCAGTATCCGCAGAGTCGACCTCCTCTGCCCTACCTCGCAAGCGAATCCTGTGCACATCGACTTGATACACCATAAAAGGACATTCCCGCCGGTCTCTGTACGATCGCCACACGCTCTCTGTCTCTCCATATCTCTCTCCGGAGGACGGGGCTCCAACCTTCTCTTGCTCTCTCGCTCACCCCCCAGCCACGGGCTTTCGTATGGCCATGATTGAGACGTCCCCGCTCCCTGCTGGTAAAGACTCCTTCAACCGGCCCTTCTACGGCCTGTCCTTTGTTCTCGGTCTCCTCTTCCAGACTATACCTTATCAACCCCAAACTTCTATCCAGAACCCACAACCCCCTCTGACAACCATGACAGATCGTCAAGAACGCCCAGGCCGCAGACGGCCCTTCACTACGTGGGTCAAGAAGCTTGCTAGCTTCAAGAACAACTCGACCTCCGACGGTGGCCGCCACGGCCATTTCAAGCGCGATGCTGGCCCCAAAGGATCCAAGAAGCGATCCTCCAAGAACAACAACCCCTATCCCCAATCCGGCCGCATCACTATCGCGCATCCTGCTCATCACAGTCATCCGTCTTTCTCGACAGCCCAAAGCGCGGTAATATCGGAACCATCACTCGTTCAAAATCAGTCGTCAACACGAACATCCACCGAAGAAGACGTGCCTCCTACCGCCGGCGGCGCATCTGTGGCACAGACGATATCCACTGAGCCCGAGGCGACTCGTTCGATTCATGCCCCATCGCAGATTGCTTCTTCGGTAGCAGGCACCAGTCGGACCGCGAACGGCTACCTCGACTCTCGAAAGGGCGGAGATAGCACTTTCTCTTCGCCTGCGCCCTCGGTGCGATCCCTGACTACGACTCTCACCACCATCCAGTCTCTGGGACCGAACGCCGCTGTCAATGTCCCACACCACACAGGCCACCACTCAACCAATCAGGGCAACTCGCAGACGATTCAGTTTACTCAGCCTTTCCCGACAAATTCCCCCGCCTCTGCCATTCCCCCATATCTCGCACCGCACTTGGGCCCTGGCCATCCAACGACCTACAACACGGCTACTGCCAATAACCTCCTTACCGACAATGCATCCATTCTTACGCTCGCTTCTTCCACCAAGAGGCGACGTCGGAGATCTATGGACACTGACGCATCGGTGCGAGCTCTAGCACCTTCGTCTGTATGGGGAGGTAGCCGCGAGAGCCTGCCGCTCAGCGTCCTCAGCGCCAACATCGACAGCGGCCTCCACCAGTCAACCTCGCGGCTCGGCGGAAACGAACGCGCGAGCATCTACTCGACGACGGGCGTGACGCCGAGTCTTCCAGGGGAGCGGACCAGTCTATACGCTGGAAAGCAGAGCCTCGCAGGTGACGGGGCCAGCATCCGCAGCGGGCTTTTCGGACATGGCCGCGCCGACAGCATCAGCGGCAGTGTGGTGGGCGTCGGCAGCCCCCTCGTCTCTCCCAGGGAAGTCGCAGAGAAGAGCGCTGTCGCCGAAGAGAAGGACGAAGGCGGGGCGCAAACGGAAAGGGAGTAAGAGGATCCTCCATCTCCGGCTTGTCAAACACGGGAATCGGTGACCCTCGACCACCTAGAATCTCGCTTACACACGACGCTCTCAGAGGCTATCGTTTTTAGAAGGTAGAAGAGGGTTTGCCGATTCCCTCTTATACAGCATATCACTGTCAAACACGCGCGCAACCGAGTATACGACAATGGTTAATTCCAAAACCGACACGGCTTCTCGCCGGACGGATCATTCTTGACGTTTTGCTTCTATTTCCTCTGTGCCGAGGAAGTAAAAGATAGAATTAGCTAAGGACATAGGTAGAAAGGGGGAGATGTGGATTTCTTTTATTTCCCGTCGTTCGTCCGAATATTTCTCTTCTTCATTCTCCTCGTCCACGCACGCCCGGGTAGGGGCGACGGTCGGGGAAAGGGGGAAAGGGGGCGAGGCCGCTGGTGTAGAGGGGGGGACGGAAAGCGAAAGTAAATCGGTTGGGAATTGATGATGAACTGTTCTTTTTTTAAGATACCCGTTTACTACGCCTAGTCAGGTTGAATTTTACATGCAGAGGTGCCAGATCGAAGCTTGGTGTTTATTTCCCCTTGATAAAAACTCTCGAGACACAAGCACCTCATGAGTTACCTCTCCCGTGTTATTTCAGAGAGCAGAAGCGCTGCTACTACCGCCATGTCCCGACTTTGTAGGTGCCCTCCATCGCGGGAGGATACTAGTAGTTCCCTTGAGCTGAAACAACCTTGTCAGTCCAACAGCGGCCAGAGGCCAGAGTGTTACGATTCTACGGATCGACACTGCTGCTACCCAAGTTGGTTGATACCCGGGCCGAGACCATCAGGGCTACGGCAGGTTTCCCATTGACAACTTCAAGCCAAGCGGATCGGGGTATATCGGCTGAACAGACACGTAGGTTGTTCCCCCTTATGGCAGGGGGGGATAGCGTACAGAGGTCGGCCCACTCACTCTACGCCGCCATCGACGCCGTCCGCCCGGGGACCAGGCATACTTACCTGCCTACCTCTCCCCTACCTGATGACAGGCGTGCCCGCGCCCCGAGATAGCCCGACCCTACCCTCGGACGTCGTCAGCCAGCAGCGCCTCCGTAGCTAAAAGCCCACTGCCTCTCTGGCTGACGATGGGCGCCTCCGCTAAGTAGTGACTTGCCTAAACCCCCCCCCCCCCCCCGGCCCCGAGGGGACCATCACCGCAATAGCCTGCTCCCCGCCAGCCGGAATACTGCCGGAGGGAGCGGAGGCGTCATATAGCTAAATAGATAATCGGTCCGGCATAGATGATATGGCGAGAGAGCGTACCGGTTCGGCAGTAACGGATTGCGGCGTGGCTAGCCGGCTGTCAGCCTGCTACGTCGGGGACACCAGAGTCCTCAGAGGTTTGTGAACGTCTGTCTCGTTCAGACGACAGGGGGTTCGAGCCGGTTCGTCTCTCTCTTATGAGGATGACCTTTTGAAGCAGATACAAGTGTTGATATGGGATTCATTGCTTTTCTACAGCGGCTGCCTCCTCCTTAACCTTTCTCACCATTGTATGTACCTAAACACATATCTCCCACCCCTACCAACCCCCCCCCCCCCGCTGTTCCCCCCACGTATGCGACTCGCTATCACCTTTCAAGATGCTTTTCTCTCTCTCTCTCTCTCTCTCTCTTTTTCCTTTTTTCCCCCTGGAAGACGAAGAGGAGGCGGCGGGCCGGTGATCAGTAGTAAGGAAGGGGTTCCAGATCGAGGCCCGTGACGGACAACTTGAACGAGTCGTTCCTGCACCCGGCGTTAGCACTCAGTCCCCGACGAACACCGTCCCCCCTCTCCCCGGCCCACGTTGCCGTCCGAAGATATAGGTGTGTGGGCGTAAGCGCTGCAGAGGGAAGAAGGAAGAAATGGAGAGAACAGCAAAAGGAAATAAAACGCACCGCGAATAGCTCCCCGCCGCGTCCAGATCCAGCCGCCCGCGCACGCAGTCCTCGAAGTCGACGTCGGCGTACACGATGCCCTCGTCGTCCTCCCACTGCGGGCCGGCTAGCACGTCGCCGGCCGGCGAGACGATGCAGGAGCCGCCGCGGGAGAGGAAGCCCTCGGGGACCGCCTGCGTCTGCGCCACCGCCGGCGGTTCCTCTTCGGGGGCGGCGGCGGCGGCGGCGGCGTCCCCGCCCCCTTCCTCGCCCTCCTCGATGACCGCGGCGCCCGCCGCCGCCGGCTCGTCCGTACCCCGCACCGGCAGCGCGATCTCGTTCCCGTCCTCGTCGAACACGGAGCGCCGCCGGCCGCGGGCCGCGCCCTTCGGCTTCCCCGGTGTCGCAGAGGCCGTGGGAGTGCCGCCGCGGACGCACATGTTGGAGCTCACGACGAAGCACCGGCCCTCGAGCGCGACGGTGCGCATCAGCGGCAGCCACTTTTACGGCACCAGCTCGAGTTAGCGTGTGTCCCGTCTTCTTTACTTTCTCCTTCTTTCTTCTTCCGCCCCGCCCCCCCGGGGCTTTTCAAACCCGCCCGGGTTACGTCGGGTAGGTAGGTAGGAGAGGGGGGAGGAGATCGACTCACGGTGTCGCGGCCGTCCGCCGTCGGCGCGAGGTACAAGTTGACGTTCTGCGCGTACAGGCTCTGCCGCAGCAGCGGCATGTAGTTCTCCCAGCAGATGGCGGCCGCCAGGTTGATGCGCACGCCGCGGATCACGGTGCTGACGGCCTTGAGCGTCGCGGGCGAGCCCTGCGCCCAGATGAGCCGCTCGGTGCCTGTCTATCGCGGTGAGGTCCTCGTCGTTAGCTCGTTCTTCAAAACCATGATCGTTTACATCTTTTATGGATATGCGCATATGCCAACGCCTGTGAGCAGTGGTTCCTCAGGAAATCTGTCTGCTCCGTCGCCTCATGTCCCGAGCAAGCTTAAGCTTAGTCCAGCCCATATGTGTGCTTTCCCCCATTATCCAACCGTGGTAGCAGCACGAAACCATTTGCTTCAAGAGATGGTGTGCTCAGCCTGCCGGGGGCTGCTACTAAGACGGCTGCATATGACCCCTTCGTGGAATCCATCGCGGATCATTGATCTGCGCCGAAGCGTGCATGCTTGGCCCGGCACAGCACGTCGGGCCCAGGTGCAGGTGGCACAGCATCCCGCACCGCGCTGCAGGAGGGTGCCCCTTTTTCCCGCGTTCTCCAAGCAAGGAGACGCCAAGAAGCCTATGACGGCTATGCCTGCCTACCTACCAAGACCACATAGGGATGAGATAGCCGCTCCTGTACGTCGTCTCCCACCTACCCATACACCTCCACTCTCCCCCCCCAGGGTATGTCAATCGGATTCTAGACCGTACGCACAGCGACGCCCTTCACTCGCCGGCACGGGGAAGCGTACAGATAAAGTGGGCAGGGAAGAGACGCACAAGGCATGGGAACTCAGGAAAACACAAATAGAGGAAGAAGACTCACAGGCTGGACCTTGCGCCTCTTGCCGACAACACCAAGGCGCGGGCACACGTACACGACAGCGCAGTACAAGCTGCCGCCGGCGCGCTCGACGAGGCCGACGACGAGGAAGAGGCCGGACTCGCGGGCGATGCGCTCGAGCTGCTCGCGGGTGCCGTCGCCGCGCTTAGCCGGCGCCGCCCCCCCTTCCTCCGCGTCTGCGTCCGCGCGCCTCGCCAGCCACGCGTCCCCGTCCCCGCCGCCGCCCTCGCCCACCCCGTCGCCCAGGTCCACCGCCCCGCGGAAGTAGGCCAGGAAGTCGTCGCGCCCCACCGCCGTCCGCGACCCCACGCGGCACCCGAAGTCCGCCCCCCGCGGGTACCCCCCCAGGTACGCCTCCGGCAGCACCAGCACGTCCGCCCCCGCCGCCCGCCCCGCGATGCGCTCCAGCTGCGCCAGCGTCGCCGCCGTCGTCCCCTGCGTCGCCGGCGACGCCGTCGCCAGCCGGATCCTCGTCCCCGTCATGGTGCCGGTGCGCGCGGTAGCTAAGCTGCAGTGTATGTACGTGTGTATGTATGGGCGTATGGGTGAAAGCTCTGCCCCTGAGAACGCCCGCGTGCGGTGGGTGCCGGGTAATGTGCCTATGCGAGATCGGTCGTGCCCAACGTATCCTTTCGGCCGGAGGAAGGGAGCAACGCTGGTCGCGTACTTCTTCGCCCAAGTTTAGCAGGTTAGGTAGGAGGTAAGTAGGTAGCCAGAGGTCATGAACCCGAGTGTGCAGTCCCGACTGAACTAAACCAACTCCGGGAAAGGATGCGATGACGGAATGGGTAGATTCTTATATAAGACCGAGTCGGAACGAACCGATTGCTACTATTATTACTCGTTTACCCCGCAGCACCTCGTGATCCAGCCCGACTACTACCGATCCTACCACTGCTCCCGCACCTCATTCTTCATCCTATCGATACCGTCATATACCTACACCTTGGGCCGTAGGAGGGGATAGGGGTAGACTCACTACCGCTAAGCAGCAACCCCAAATCAGTACCACATCCACATCATACCGGCCCAATATGCGCCGAGAGAGGTTCGACTGCCAAGTGCTGGTGAAGCTAGCTTTACTCATTAATTCCCTTGACGATAAAGAGAAGACCTGCTACACTGTCTGATGCCTGATGCCGTCTTCTTAGCGGTGGGTATCTCCATACACCTATTAATGGTCTATTTAAGACCTCATTTATACACTCGTCAAAGAAAACCCTACTCGCGGCATCTTCGAAATCATCGCATCGTCAGGCGAAGACAGCCCTTCCTCATCGCGACCCGTTCATGCACGAGTCAACCAATAACATTATGTGACTTAATTCGTCTTCCCTCTCAAATTATAGCGGGCTCTTACTTTCCATAAAACCGCTCGAATCCACACCACCTGGTTCCGACGTTTACAGCATCATGGCTGCCAGTCCGGCAGCGATGATGATGCCTGCTGGCGCTGCCGTGCGCTGTGCTGCCGGGTTCGCTGGCGCCGAATTACCGTCAGCGCCCTCGGTCGGAGAGGGCTCGCCACCATTTCCCCCGGTTTCGCCCGTACCCTCGGCGGGTGCTGGACCAGTGGTAGTAACGCTGGTAGTCACAGTTGAGCCGTCAGTAGTTATCACCGACTCGGTCACGCCTGTGACAACAGATCCAGACTCGGAACCAGTGGGAGCTTCGCCGTCAGAAAAGATGGTACTCGTGGCGACGGGAGACGTGATGACACTATCGCCGTTTGTAATCGTTGACTCGATCGTCGCGGTTGAGATTGGGACAGGAGCGCCGCCACCATTTGTGCCGGAAGCTGAGCCCTGAGTATTCTCCGTAGAAGCGGTACCAATAGTGCTAGTCAAGACTGAACCGTCGCTATTGGTAATGGTAGTAACAGCTTCGCTAGGACCAGCAGGAGGCGAAGTGGTGCGAGATCCTCCCGACTATTCTCTTATCAGCAACAGGCAAGGGAACGTGGAGAGTCGATGGACTTACTCCTGCACCACTAGTGTAGGAACCGGTCGCGATGACGGTCGTAGACGGGCTGGTATCTCCTGACTGGATATCAAGACGTCAGCAAAGGTCCAACCGGGTATTGTCCATCCATTGCAACTTACAACAGGGGGCACGCCCGAAATAGCTACGCCACCATCTATGGCACGAGGTTAGTCTGGATACTCCATCGCTCGTCCTGGCCGGAGTATTAATCTTACTGGCACACCATTGGGCGCCATACGAAATAACCCGGGTCGCATCCTGCCCCTCGCAAGACTCCGTAGCGCAGTCTCGAATTCCATAGATGAAGTCTGGGTTGGTGCAGAGGCACGACGCGCTGGAGTCGTTGCCACAGCCGAGATTAGAAGCCTCCCGCAACATGTTGCTTACACAGACCACCTATATACGCAGAGAGATAAGCGTCAGTCATCGCGATTTAGGGCGGGGCGTTACGTAGACTCTGATGATCAGACGATGGCCAAGAGAAAAGGATCACTTACACCACAATTAGGGAAGCCTGAAGGGAAGCTCGGGGCCTGGGCCGCGCCGAGGGTTGCGGCGAGGCCGACGAGAATCGTAAAGGTCTTCATGGTAAACCCTGTCGAGTACGGGTTGGCTCGTGTCGGTTGGGAATCGCGAGAATTACTGTTGATTCTAGAGATGAGATGTACGATCAAAAAGCGTGCAAAAAAACCAGATGCGTGAATGGATGTATGACTGGGTGTCTGTCAGGGTGTTGATGTTTGTGAGGGGAGGACGAGCTGCGGAGGGCTGGCGTGGTGGAAAACGTGTAGGCAGAGAGAGAGAGAGAGAGGTGGAAGACGAGGGACGAGGGAGGAGTGTTGAAGAGGCAGACGGCATGACCAAAGGGCGGCCTTCCCGATTTATGAGCAGACAGAAGCGGCAAGAGCAGGTAGGCACGCTAGTCAAGTAGTAACAGTGGCAGGCGCACTCCCACTCCGTGGACGGCAAGCACATCTCAGACCCCGTCCACGGTAGGTAATTTCCCCTGCTGCATGTTGATGCATGCGTGTGCGTGTGCGCCTGTGTTAGGTAAGACATGGAGAGGGGAAGTCGCGGGGGGCGGGGCGAGAGCAAGGTAGGAGGTCGACTTCGCCCGATGGGAAGGAGACAACCACGAACTAGGGAAGTGGGCAGGCCCTGTATAGATGGGCAGTCATAGACCAGGCCGGGTCATGGCTGCCTCCTAACCCACAGGTGCCAGATGTATGTGTAGATAGGTGACAATATGCGCGATGTTGCGAGGCGTGGACTACAGCCTCTAGGACCGCACAGAGCGAGGGCGGCATCAAGGGCAGACCGAAATCCACCGGCAGTTGGCTGGTTGGGTTGGGACATCGGCAGGAGACAGGCCTGGCAAGCACAACAGCAGGAGACGGGATTCCGGCCGAGCTTGGGCAGCTAACGCGAGGAAATCGAACTTACCGACAAGACAGCTGACGAGATCCTGGAGGAAGAGCAGAGAAGTGTCAGACAGAGTAAGGGGGACCAGCACGCGATAAGTAGGAGTAGGAGTTTAACGCTGCTGCTGCTGCTGCTGCTCTCGTCGGGTGGGAATTTAGAGGCCGCGGGGACGAAGAGCAGATGAAAGAGAGCAGTCTCAGATCTCTGATTGTTTGCAGACAGCGAAAGAGGGAGGGGAGGGGGGGGCAGGCAGGTATCTATCGAGGCAAGGAGAGGTGATGTGGGCAGGGCAAGGGTATCAAAACGCAGGGATATACCAGGAGTACAAACACTGGGCGTATGATACCTGCTACGTACAATCTGTGCTGGCAGCTGGTAGACGCGGGTAGGAGAAAGAAAAAGCCAGGCAGGGCTTCGGTGTAAGTGACGAAGGCGGCGCCCAGATTAAATACCAACAGGGCCTCTGCCAAAGGTACCTGTCTCGCGGGTACCTTTTAAGGCACCGGTGGATCGAGTTTGTCTACCACATCCTGACGTACGAGTTCGGCAAGTTGGCTACTCAGGTACACATGTAGCATGTCATGCCGGGTGCTGGGGCAAAGCCCTCGACGTCGTTGAACGGCAGCCCGCCAGGCTTGACTCCTTTCCTATTCTGTTGACTGCTCTGCCTATGATAGGTACTACTCCTCGGTTTCCTACATGGGCAGCACTCGAAAAGTCATCCAACTTGTCCTTCGGGCAACGGGGAGCAGGTAAGCAATTTGCCCGTTGTGCTGACCCGACACGGTTCGTCTCAAGCCGTAGAAGGGGAGTACCATAGCAACGGGTCTCTATACACTTTCTCCTAGAAAAGCTAGCTTCTTTAAGGCGGTGGACGCCTACGACGGAAAAGGTCACGGTTAATACTATTATTCTGCGTGGGAACACAATTCGACAGACGCGATCGGTGAAGTGAGCTGTAACTTGGGTAATTCTCCCGACAGATCATGTATGACATATTATGTGCCGGTAAGATGAGCTGAGAGGGGTAGGTATTAGTTCATGTCTTTGACTTGCGCTACTGAGCGTGACCCGCATGGACGGAAAGATAGCCCTATCTACTGGCGTCGCGAATCTCATGGAAAAGAATATCTCGACGTATCTAGGTGGGAATAGCCGAGGCGCTGATGTGGGCAAGCCGAGGGACTATTGAGAGATGTATCAGTTCTGTATATCTGATAGGTACTACCTGGTACTACCGCAACAGCAGGTAAATGGAGGGACCTGCCGGCAACAACGCAGCAGATCCATGATCCATCGGTGAGTTGTGTATGAGTACGGATAGCTTCCACAGCTCCGGGCCAGCTGAGGGCTTTGTTCGACCCCACCCGGTATAGCTGGCAGCTTGGCCGAATGCGAGAGAGCCAGCTTCTCCGCAAACGGTATGCGGAAACGGATGATGCTATGCCACCCGAGCTGAGCTGTGGGGAGAGCGCACGGCGAAATCTAGCTATTTTCCTTGTTTAATCGTCGCGCCAGAGGCCGTAGAGAAGCCTACCTCCCCGAATAGGAAGTGTCCGCGTCTATCTTGGCCTGCGATCTTCATTTTCGGCAAATCAGACGCCTGATTCGGTGCTCCCGTTCTGAGTGCTAGACAAGTGGCGCTCATTAGGCCTTATCGATAGTTTCTGTTCGCCCACCAAGTTGTCGCCACCAGCCAAAAACAAGCTAAATAACGGTGCACACGAAAGAGATTTGTTGATATTTACGTGGCCCTCTCATATGAATGCGAAGCAAGGGAGGCCTCTCCGTGGCTGCATAATATTACATACCAAGGTGGACGGCATCTCTCGACGCGATGTGACTTGACTGCGCAGGCGCGTTATACTTAAAGTACCTAGGTATATATATCGATACCTACTGTAAATCCTCTCGAATTCAATCGCGGTGCCCGCCTCCCCTGCCTGCCCCGCCTTGCCCGATGCTTGCTCGACCAAGGGAAGCACTGCAACATGACGGTAGGAGGCAAGGCGATTAGCCTGGTCCATGGTTACCGGTTTGCTTGTGACGAGAAACCACTGGTGCAGCACTATATGAGGCCTAGACAAAGAGAACAATCAACTTCAAGCGATGATTGGAGCACGGCGTGCCGGTGAAAAACATTACCTATGTAGCAGCGGTCTGGTGTACTTATTGTGGGTATGCGTGTATGTAGTCGAGGATTCCACTTACGGCGATTACCGGATACGGATATCGAGAGCTGCCATCGTGACGATCTGATTGGCCCGCGTGTCGATGCCATTTTGCGAGTTAGCGACTTTTGGGCTTCGAGTTAGGCTAGTAGTAGGGTAGGTAGAAGAGGTAGTTACTAACTAGATAGGTACTATTTAACACCCATAGGGACCGCCTATGGCTATCCCTTAATTCGAGTTAGGCTATAGACGGTGTGGACGGAATTTAATATGCGATTGCCCTGCAAGCCGGCCGGCCACATGTCTCTTGTTAATCTACTTGGAGCTGTCCGAACCTGATGTGGACTTCCACCGTGTGCCTGTCGGTCAGGGGTGTACTCGTAGGTACCTAGAAACCGGATGCATTGAGGTAGGAGCCACTGGAGCTAAATTGAGAGTTGCCGCGCACAAGGGCAGGTACGTGGGATCGGGTGTGGCCAGATACCTGCCTGCATAATACAGATCGCGACTGTCAGAGGTGCTGATTGCGCCGACAAGTAAATACGTGCGCGAGGTACCGAGACTCCTCCCGCTGTATGATGTCATAGGTTACATAACCTCAATCTGTCAATCAATCTGGGGTGTTAATCCTCGCCAGCCAATGAGAAGCTGAGGGGGGGGGGGCTTTTCGCCAGCTGGCTGCCCACTTCCCAGCTTTCCCAGCTTTCTCAACTTTTACTTGCCTTACGAGGCTGTTCCCTACTCGATCCTCCGACCAGGCCTCCCCTTCTTATACAGCTGCATGGATAATAAAACATCGACTTGCCCGTCTTTGCTTTGCCTCGGGGTCTTCGTTGGTGGGCGCAAGCGGTATGTCAATTGCAGCGTCAATACCTAGAGACTTTTGTCCACACCTACATTTCAACGTCCAGCTTCCCGGGATTGCCTGGTAGCTAACCGTCCCAGCTCGCTGGTTGCTGGCTGGAATAGCGGTCACCGCCCATCGTCATAGAAACAGGAAACACGTGTCCGGGCACACGTCACATACTCCCTCCGGCTAGCATCTAACTTGTGATGTCGCTGAAATCCGGTTACCCTGGTGCACAACTCCCGTCTTGGCCAACAAGGCGACCAGGGGGATCGCCTGCAGCTCATCCGTACCTAGCTGAACCTGCGCTTACTCGCTTACACACCGTCTTCGAATCTACCTACCACACCGATACCCACGCAGAACTCGGGGGGCTGGGAAGATCGGCTCAAGCATAGCACCGATGTTCCAAGCCTTGTTTAAATGACGCCCCATCGGAGTTCCGTCTCTCTGTCGCAATATTTCCCCTTTCAGCACCGTCTCTGCGCCGGAGCGATAACAAGTGGAAATTTGTCGCGCTCTAGAAGCTCCCCCGCAGGCTGAGGCTTATGGCCAAATCAGACAACACTCTCGCAAAATGAAACAGCTGGAAATTTGTACAACTTCGTACGGGGGGTGTCCTGTAGTAGGGCGCTCTGTGCGACTGACGATGAACACGGCCAAGCAAGCCACATTGGTACGACGGCAGCAGGCTGGCCGGCCCTAGTAAGTCACCCACATCGTCGCGGAAGTCCTCCACGCCCGCTTTACTACGTGGAGAGTAGCGGTACCAGGCAGCTAGTGCTCTCCGAAGAACTGAGGACGGCTGCGATCTCCTATTGGCCACACTACTGTGATGGATCGAGTGACAACAGCGTACCTAACTTATGCCCCTTCTCGGGTTTCGCCTATTAGAATCCTCCCGCTTGTATCCTATCGAGCCGGCGTCGAACAGCAGCTGGTGTGTGCGGCTGGGTTGGCCGGGCCACCACCTTTTGCTACCACAGAGACTACCCGCGGCCGAGAATACCGCCGCACCCAGTACCTACTGTCAGCGGGGTATGTGCCTGTCGCGCATGTCGTCAGGCGGACGTAAGTAAGAAGAGCGTCGCGCGGCCACCCTTTGCCTCTTTTTATTCTCTCTGACCTCATGAGATGTCCCACCGGCCTTGTTGGACGAGCGTGGTACCTACATGCCAGGCGCCTTTACACCGAATAAAACCCTACCGGCACATGCTTATGCCATCCGGATGCTCTCGCACCGAACTCCTCGAGATGACAATGCTGGCGGTAGGATTGGTGCTCGTCTTCCCCGGCGGGCCGACGTATGAAACCAGACCGCCGCCCACGATCGCAGTTGCGTGGGTATGCCGTGCGTTTCTATGACGGCGCACTCGGATCAGGAGAGACTGACTCAGTTGCTCCCCGCTCGTCGAACAATGAGTCCTAGAATGTCTCCGTACGTAGGAGCTCTCTATTCGCCGCCTCGGCATCCTGCCTCTGACCGCGTCCCCGCGCGCGCGGCGTCGAAGCCGTCCAGGGCATGTCTCCTACACCCTCCGTCATTGAACATGTGAAGGCAGCCCTGCGTTCGTCCCGGGGATGGATTGCTCAAGAGTCACACGATGCTGACATGGGAATGACATAGGGAGCGTATAGGATGCTAGGAATCCGCTTCTAGACAAGATGCAGACTACGGGTTAGGTACATGCGTCCCGGGTAGCTATGCATTCCTCCTAGCTAGCTCCTCATGCTGCTCTGCTCCAGGGGCGGGAGAGGCACCAAGGTCGGGGTATATCGTCCTACGCCTCACTCACATCCCCTCTTCTTTTCCCACGGTGCGATTCGTCGAGCGTGTAATCGGCAGCGACCCTAACCCAGCCCCCAACTCACCTACGTGCGGAGAGGACGGGGCACGAAAACCTGTAATTGAAGGGCGATGAAGGGGCAAGATCTACCCGTCGCGCAGAACGCGTAGCCGTTGGGCGAGCATGACACCCCTGACAAGAGCCGACATGATAGAAAAATCTAGTAATCCATTCATTACTCCGTGATACCCAGGCCCATAGCCAGCAAGTAAACTAACAGTACACCTGGCTCGTATCGATGCAGATCATTACGTATTTTCTTCTCCTTCCTCTCCTGCCTCTCCCATTTTCTCACTGCAGTCCTCCAGTCCACGCCGGGCAGACCGGATAAAAGAAAAGCAAGGCGGGATACGGGTTCCCCGCTCGACAGCCATGAATTAGCCAGTTGCGGTGACGGCCCAACCAGCTCGTTAAGCCAAGCTCGCCGCCCCTCTCGTCGTGGCGGTGGACCTCCAGTCTTCATTACGTCCTGCCGGCCGTCGCATCGTGTCGTCATCGCCTCCCCTTCCCCTCCTCAGTGACGTCTCTCTGTAGCTCATCCCCCTTAGCCGCTGCACATGAGGCAGGACTCTGGGTTCTCAATGCTGCCTGCGGGGACGGTTAGCGCGCGGGGCGATCTAGATGCAGTGCGGGGACAGCGCAGAGAGGGGGCGAGGCAGAGAGGGGGAGAGAGGGGGAAAGAGAAAAACGTGACTTACAGGCCACGACGGCGTCGGCGTAGATGTCGTACTCGCGCTCCTTGCTCGTGTCCTCCTTGTCCTCGTCCTGGGACGACGACTTGGGCGCGCCGAGCGCCGCGTCGGGGAGCTCCTCGTCCCTGACCTTGTTGTCGGCGGGCTCGGTGGGCAGGGCCTTGGGGCTCTCGCCCTCCTCGACGTCGGCCTTGAAGGGGGCGGCCTTGTTGGGCGACGCGACGGGGCGGGGCTTGCCCTCCAGCGACAGCGACAGCGGCGGCGGCGGCGACGCGCTCGGCGTCGTGATGCCGCTGGGCAGCATCCGCGCCGAGCCGCCGCTGGCGGCGCTGTCGTCGCTGCGCGCGTCCTCGGGCTTGGCGTACGCCGGCTGCGGCAGGCCCGCCAGCGCCGCGGGGGACGACGACGCCGAGACGTAGTTGCCGGCCGGGGGCGCGCGCTTCTTCAGCGCGCCGGGCCGCGCCGCCGGCGAGTCCGCCACCTTGAGCGCCTGCTGGTCCACCGTGAACTGGATGGGCTGCGCCGCCGCCTGCGTGCGCAGGTAGTACATGCCCGTCTTGAGGCCGAGCTTCCAGCCGGTGAAGTGCATGCTGGTGATCTTGCCCATCGTCGGCTCGCGCATGTGGATGTTGAGCGACTGGGACTGGTCGATGAAGGCGCCGCGGTCGGCCGCCATCTGGACCACGGTGCGCTGCGAGATCTCCCAGACCGTCTTGTACAGGGCCTTGATGTCGGCCGGGATGTTGGGGATGTTCTGGACCGAGCCGCCCTCGGCGATGATGCGGTTCTTCATGTTGTCCGACCACAAGCCCATGTCGACCAGGTCCTTGAGCAGCCAGGGGTTGACGACCTGGAACTCGCCCGCGAGCACGCGGCGCGAATAGATGTTGGACGTGTAAGGCTCGAAGCACTCGTTGTTGCCCAGGATCTGGGAGGTGCTGGCCGTGGGCATGGGAGCGACCAGCAAGCTGTTGCGGACGCCGTTCTCCTTGATCTGCTCCTTGAGGCTGGCCCAGTCCCAGAGGTCCGACGGGGTGACGTTCCACATGTCGTACTGGAGAATGCCCTGGGAGACGGGCGACCCCTCGTAGGTAGAGTAGGTGCCCTCGACCTTGGCGATGTTCATAGACGCGGTCAAGGCAGCGTGATAGATGGTCTCGAAGATCTGCTTGTTCAACTGCCTGGCCTCGGGAGACTCAAAGGGCATACGTAGCGCTAGGAAGGTGTCGGCGAGACCCTGAACGCCGAGGCCGATGGGGCGGTGTCGCATGTTGCTGTTGCGGGCCTCGGGGACGGGGTAGTAGTTGACGTCGATAATCTTGTTCAGGTTACGAACGACAACCTGGGTAACCTCGTGCAGCTTCTGGAAATCGTAGACGCCCTCGTTGTAGTCGACGAAGGAAGGCAGGGCGAGGGATGCCAAGTTGCAGACGGCAACCTCGTCGGGAGCCGAGTACTCGACGATCTCGGTGCACAAGTTGGAGCTGCGGATGGTGCCCAGGTTCTTCTGGTTACTCTTGCGGTTGCAGTGATCCTTGTAGAGCATGAAGGGGTTTCCAGTCTCGGTCTGGGCCTCGAGAATGGCGTACCACAGCTTCTGGGCCTTGATCGTCTGGCGACCGCGTCCCTCGGCTTCGTACGACTCGTACAGACGCTCGAACTCGTCGCCGTACACATCAGCCAGACCAGGGCATTCGTTCGGACACATGAGGGTCCACTCGGCATTCTTCTCGACACGCTTCATGAAGAGATCGGGGATCCAGAGAGCGAGGAAGAGGTCGCGAGCGCGGATTTCCTCCTTGCCGTGGTTCTTGCGGAGGTCGAGGAACTGGAAAACATCGGCGTGCCACGGCTCGAGGTAGATGGCGAAGGCGCCGGGCCGCTTGTTGCCGCCCTGGTCGACGTACCTCGCGGTGTTGTTGAAGACTCGGAGCATGGGCACGATGCCGTTGGAGGTGCCGTTGGTGCCGGCAATGTATGAGCCGGTAGCACGGATGCGATGGATATTGAGACCGATGCCGCCGGCCATCTTGGAGATCATGGCACAGGTCTTCACGGTGTCGTAGATACCCTCGATGCTGTCATCCTTGATATCGACTAGAAAGCAGGACGAGAGCTGAGCCTGGGGGGTGCCGGCGTTGAAGAGGGTAGGGGAGGCGTGGGTGAAGTACTTGTTGGACATGAGATTGTAAGTTTGGATGACTTTCTCGACCTCGTCGCCCCAGATGCCGACAGCCACACGCATGATCATGTGCTGCGGCCTCTCTACGATCTTATCGTTGAGCTTGAGCAGGTAGGACCGCTCTAGGGTCTTGAAGCCGAAATATTGGTAATTGAAGTCGCGGTCATAGACGATGGCGGAGTCGAAGTCCTCCTTGTGTCTCATGACGCATTCGTAGGTCTCCTGAGCGATCATGGGGGAAGCCTTCTTGTTCTTGGGGTTGACATAGTGGTAGAGGTCGCTGATGACCGAGGACCATTGCTTCTTGGTTTGCTTGTGGAGATTCGACACGGCAATGCGTGCGGCGAGGATGGCGTAGTCCGGGTGGGTCACGGTCATGTAGGCGGCAGTCTCGGCAGCCTGGAGGCCATGTCGGGTTAGAGAGACCCTCCTACTTCGACGCAAGACGGGATGTACGGGCACTTACGAGGTCGTCCAGCTGGACTGTGGTAACGCCGCCATAGACGCCAGAGATAACCTTCTGGGTGATGGCGACGGGGTCGACGTGATCTGTGTCGAGACCGTAACACAAGCGCGAGACACGAGCGGTGATCTTGTCGAACTGGACGCGTTCCTGGCGTCCATCTGCGTTGCTTCTCAGCCTGTGTTTCCTTTTCCTCGGGAGGGGTAGGAGGGGATCGGAAGGGGGTAGGAGTTTTACATACCACGCTTCTTCACATACATGGTGAGGGATGTGGGACAGGAAACAGAGGACACGATGCAGGATGGAGGGAAACGAAGGAAAGCGTCAGGAAAGGAGGAGTAGAAATGAGAGGGCGAGGGGTAAAGGAGGCACTAGTTTGGTAGTGACGGAGGCAATGCCACGACCACGGATCTGCCTTCACGAATACGCCGATGTCGAGGCAGAAGTGAAGTGTGTTGTGTGTGTATTTGCCTGCAGAGTGTGGTGTGGCAGGTGGAGGTTTGGGTGGAAGAGGGTGAAGTCTGGAGGGGAGGGTTCTTATGGAGAACGCGGTGTGCGTTTTAATTGTTGGCATGAAAACGCGTTTGCCGACGTGAACTTGGCGCGACGGGAGGGAGAAAAACAGGGCAGGACGGCGCCAGGTGGCAACTGTTGGATCTCGGGATCAATTGGCCGTCTCTTGTCTGATCATTTTCCCTAGGGCTGTCTCTCGCTGGGCTGCCACTGGTATGCCACTGTTGGCCCACGAGGCACAGGTTTGCGAGGCAGTGGACCGGCTGCCAGCTGACGGCACTCAGCAATTAATCAGCAGAGGGAGACGCGGCGAGGTGTCCGACCTTCCTCCAGGTGGTAGATTCGCCCGTAGCTCCGCTTACTGGCCTCCACTATTATACAACAAAAGAAACCACTCAACGCGCCGCGACGCGGGATCTCTTGTCTGGGAAAAGACAGGGATCGAAGACAGGGAAGACACGGACCCATGATCGACAATGTGATGTACATGGATGTGATACATGGTATGTACTTACATACCTACCTACGTATAGTACTAGGAGGTAGGTTAGGTAGGTACCTCTCGATGCGATCGGGACCCCGGTGCCCTCGGCGCATCTCTGACGACGGAGACGGTTGCGAAGTACCCGGGATCGTCCATCCTCTCTCACTAATCTGCTATTGCGGATGCATCCACGCGAAGCTGTCTCGAACATGTCCGGGTACCTAGGTATGCACGTACACGGCATATATATGTACAGTTATATGCTTACCCAGGTATATAGCATACATACCCATAATACCTACACATCTCATACTCTGGTATGTAAACTTATGCCCACGTTATGCACATTCAATTGATGCTCCGCGCTCGGCGGGGCCACAAGCTTCCGTGGTACTGATAAGGCTAGCGTTCGAGTACGTGTACCTTCGTGGATAACAGAAAATGGGTTACAGGCACCCAACAAGACCATCTTACCCTACCCACTACTAGAGCGCATCTTCTTGACCATCGCTAGCTTTCTCCTGTACGAGGTACCTAATCTCCTCGATGCCCCCTATAAATAGAGATATGACAGACGCGGTCCGCGGTGGCATTCCCTTCCCTCTTCGCCCTCCCGACGCGTGTAGCGCTGACCTGACCCTGGCAACTCGCGACCTCACGAGACTGCGTGACGCGACAGAAGCTTAATTAATTGTCAGATCGATCTCAGAAATGGGAGGTACCTAGGTACCTACGTTCATGCCCGCGCCCCCACCCAGTCCCGTAGGTGGTATGTACACAGGTACCCCTCGCATGTTCACACACTTCAATCAACGTCGTAAACGCATTTCGCATTTTTCGCACTCGAAACTCGACCGGGCCTATGTAAAGTTAACTCGACGGGCCGTACCAGCTTCCTCTACCCGCCTTTCGCCTCGGCCCTTCTACATTATTCCGTGATGGACGAAGGCTTATAATAATATACTTATGCTGGTCAACCATCTGGGGCGTAATGTGGCCTAGCTGAGATATCTATCTGCCTCTGACCTGCCCCTCGTAGGCCCCTGATTGATGTTCTCCCGAAGCACAACCTTCGCCTGTCTCGTGCGTTCGTCTTCGAGACTCCCACCAGCTCCGGGCCCCATTTATCGACGCATCTCCACGTCGATATCCAGAATGGCTGATGACGCGTCCGGCCCCGTCTCGGCTTCTCCCCCGGTCGCACAGTCGACATATAAGCCACGGTATATTGATGTAAGTCATCTTGTTCGGGCTTTCTTTTCTAGAATCCGAGCACGGATCAGCCTACGGTCTATATTTTATGAGTCCACTCGTGTATTTCGGTGACCGTTCGTCTCATGTTTTGTTCTTGTCCATTGACGGTCTCGGTTCGGTCTAGATCGGCATCAACCTCGCGGACCCAATATTCCGGGGCTTATATCACGGCAAGCAGCGGCATCCGGATGATTTGAGTGCTGTCGTATCCAGGGCCCAGCAAGTCGGCTGCCAGAAGCTCATCGTCACTGGTTCTGACTTCCCCAGTTCTCGGCATGCCCTCGAGATCGCCAAGGAATATCGTAGGTTGACTTAGTGGACTCTTTATTGTGAACAGAGGCAAGCTGACGGAGCGGAAGCCGGCGTCGTATACACCACTGCCGGTATCCACCCCTGTTCCAGCTCCATATTTAGTACGACCCATAAACACCAGGACGCGGACGGGCATACTATGCCCTGCGATCCGGACCCCTCCCAGCCCGTATCGGAGGACCATGAGCCCGACGCCGAGAAGACTGCGTCTATCATCGAGGAGCTCCGGCGTCTCATAGAAGAGGCCCGGAGTAACACTACTTCTGCAAGTCCCCTGATAGCCCTTGGCGAGATCGGGCTCGACTACGACCGGCTGCATTACTGCTCGCGAAAAGTCCAGCTGCACTCGTTTGAGGCACAGCTAGACCTGGCGCTGTCGCTACAGCCGCAGCTACCCCTATTCTTGCACTCGCGCGCCGCGCATGCCGACTTCATCGGTCTGCTCAAAGCCAAGTTCGGCCCGCGGCTCGAGCGTCTCGAGCGCGGTGCCGTCGTGCACAGCTTCACCGGCACGCCCGACGAGATGCGCGACCTCGTCGAGCTCGGCCTCTACGTCGGCACCAACGGGTGCAGCTTCAAGACGGCCGAAAACTGCGCCGTCGTCCGCGACATCCCCCTCGACCACATCATGCTCGAGACCGACGGGCCCTGGTGCGAGGTCCGGCCCTCGCACGAGGGCTGGAAGTACCTCGTCGCCGCCGCCGCCGCCGCCGATGCAGCCGCAGTGGCACCACCGACGGCGACGCTGGATGCGAACGGCGCCGAATTAACAGCTGACGGCACTTCGGACGCGCCGAAGCCGAATCCGATCGACGATCAACCGCTGCAGAACCGGCAGCAGAGGCCGGCGAAGGCAAAGGGGAAGCACAACAACGGCCAGAGCAACAGCAAGAAGAAGGAGCCGGAGGTGCCGGAGCGGTTCCCGACGGTCAAGAAGGAGAAGTGGGCGGCGGGCGCGATGGTCAAGGGGCGCAACGAGCCGTGCTCGATCGAGCGCGTCGGGCGGATCGTCGCGGGCGTCAAGGGCGTCGCGGTCGAGGACGTGTGCGAGGCCGCGTGGCGGAACACGATGAGGGTGTTTCGCCTGGGGGAGTGAGCGGGTGCGGCGGACAGCCGGTAAACGCAGCTGCTGTGTGTGCGCCGCGGAGGTATCGTAGAGTTGCGGTTACGTTGGGTGAAGGGAAGGGTAGAGAAGAGGAAACAGAAGAGAGCAACGTTGACTAGAGAGAGGGGGAAAGTGGGCGGGGGTGTTCGTGTGTACATGTGAAGCGGTAGAATATAGCTGGGGAGAAAGAGGGAGTGAGCGTAGAGGCGCGAGGTCGTAGTATCCGCGATAGCATCGGCGAGAAGAGAGCCCAGAAAACCATCGCATTAGGGGTATATGAACGTACAGTCCTATAGGCGTCTTCACGTAGGAATACGGCGGACTCGACAGCCTCTCCAAGAGTTCCCCGACGATTCCGCCTGTGCTTCTGCCCCAGTCTTCGCGTATATCACTCCTCGCTTGCTCCTCCCCTTTCCCTTCCCCCGCCCGAGCCCCTCAGCCCAGGACGCCCCGCAGGCCCTCCCACCCTACCCCTCTCCCTCACACCCCAGACCCGCGGAACCCGCGGATCCGCCCGCCCCGCACCGTCCCGGCCGTCACGCCCTCCTCGCCCGTCAGCCACCCGGGCATGCGGCCGGCGTCGACGACGCCCGCCTCCACCAGCTGCCGCACGCCGGCGAAGACGTGCGGCCCGCGGAACGAGAGCCGCACGCGCGGCGCCCACCCCGCCCCTCTTTCCCCCCCCTCCTCCTCCTCCTCTGCCTCCTCCTCCTCGTCGTACCGCCGCAGGCCGCTGAAGTCGATCGTGCTCCGCCGCCCGCCCGCCCGCTTCTTCTTCTTCTGCAGGTCCCGCTCGCGCGATGCCGCGTCGTCGCCGCCGCTGCCGCCGTCGGTGCTCGGGTCGGCGCTCGGGAACTCGTCCTCGAGCGCCACGTCGAGGCTCTCGACGCCCTTGCCGTCGCCCGGGCGCGCCGCGTCGCCGAACCGCGCCTGCGCGGCCGTCCGCGCGCGCTTCGCCTGGCGGCCGTCCTCGTCGCGGGGCGGGCGGCCGCGCTTCCTCGCGCTTCCGTCGCGGCTCGCGGCGCCGCTGCCGCTGCCGCTGCCACTGCCGCTGTCGCTGTTCCCGTACCTGCTGCGGCCCGCGTCCCGGGGGGCGCCCCCCGCGCCCTCGTCGGGGTGGCTCGCGTCCGACAGCGGCGGCGTCGGCAGGACGCTCTGCAGCGGGCTGTCGGCCGCGACGTCGCCGCGCGCCACGCCGGCGTACGCGCCCCAGCCGCCGGCCGCCGCGCCGCCGCGCCCGGGCCCCTTCGCTGCGAGCAGCGCGCCGAGGTTCTTGGTGCTGAGGTCGGTCGCCTTGAGGGCGTAGCGCTCGCGCGGCCGCGACAGCGCCTTCGGGATGCCCTCGACGATGAGCGCGCGCAGGCTCTTGGCTTCGCCGGCTGCCGCCGACGTGGCCGCGGACGCTGTCGAGGTGGCCGCGGCCGAGGCCGAGGCGCTGGCCGACAGCAAGGTCGACGCCGACTTCGCGATGAAGATGTGGGGCGACGCGTCCGGGAACGCGACGTAGATGGTGCGCGCGGCGTCGAAACTGGTCGTCGTCGTCGTCGTTGTGCTCGCGTGGTAGGCGTTGCTAGCGGCGCCGCGCCCGCGGTGGCGGCTCGAGACGGCGAGGTCCGTGTTGTACGGCGAGTCGATGATGAAGATGCGTAGGAGGAGGAGCGGCAGACCCTTGGGGCGGTCGAAATTATAGTGGGCCTTGACGTCCGGGAGGACCTCGGCCTGCAGGTTCTGCAGGAAAGTGGGCGGGTGGAAGCGCGGGACGGCTAGGGACTCGCGGTCCGGGCGGTCGGCCGCGGCGTGATCGTCGTCGACGTCGTCCTCGTGGGCCGGCGCGCGCAGGCGCTGGATCCGGTACGCGGTCCACTTGAGGCTGCCCGGGTGGTCGTAGAGGTGCTGCAGATCCGCCATCGCCAGCTGGTACAGGCTCACGCCGTAGCGCCAGTCGCCCTCGAGCACGCGGTCGACGACCTCGCGGCGGCCGCCCCGCCGCTCCCGCATCGTCGCATACACGTCGCGCAGCTCGGGCAGCTCCCGCGCCGGCGGGTAGAAATCGTCCTCGTCCTCTTCCTCGTCCTCGGACCGGCGGAGAAGCGGCGGGCACAGCAGCTGGTTCCGGTCGTCTAGCCAGTCGAGCACGAGAGAAAGCAGCGACGACCGCGAGAGCCGGCTGAGGGCTTTGATGACGGACTTGTTGGTCGGGTCGACTCGGAGGGACGATGGAAGTCGGGCGGTGGTTGGCAGCGACAGGCGCGCCATTGTTGCGCGTTTCGCGGATCTCCTGCTTCTCCCTTCGTGTACGGGTGTTTTCGTCTTATTATCTCTCTCCTGTGGTATGTGGTGGGAATGGCAGCTTGGGTGCGTGTATGAATTGCTCGAGTATGGTGGGCGGTGCGGGTGATCGTGGGGTAGAAGCGAAGCTATCCGATGCAGGACACGCGACGCGTCGGCGACGGCGGGCAGATGGCGGCATGTAAGGAGTCGATGCGATAGCAACGTCAATTCACCAGGCAATGGGAGATTCCCAGCGAAAATATGGAATGTGTGCCAGGTGAAACAATAACCATGCTTAATTCCAGAGAAATAAAAAACGAGCCACACTCTCTTGATCAGTCGCGATATTACGTAGGAGGTAGGTAGCTATACCTACCTACTACCCACCTGGGTAAGCAAGGCTTTGAGGTTAGCCGCAGTCCACCCAATTGCACTCGAAATCGACGTTGACAGGGAAATGAAGTGGTCACAGCTGGACGCCAGCTGGCCAGCCTGACAGCCAATTGAGGTACCTAGGTACCTAACATGTACGTCATCGGATCGGAAAGCTGGTACCTATGTACATTTGTATCCGAAGTTGAATTCTCTCGGCAGCAACGCAGATGCACGCCCGTAGTATCGGTACATGCCTACCTATGGAAAAATTCCATGCAACTTTGCAATTAGGGATATGCTGGCAATTGTAGGCGCGACAAGGCCAAAGCGAGTAACACTCACGCTCCTCACAGGCAGCCATGTTTATCAAGAGTGCATCTTGAGAAATATAATACGCGTCGGGTACCTGAAGATATAGGTACCATCTCCGGGCCTACGTAGTCGATTACCTAACCTGGGCACTGGCACTCACTACGCATTGCCGTGGTCCAGAAACCGGGCTTCGACCCACCCGCCGGCAATGTGGAAGAGCAAGACACAGTGTCGGCCATTGAGCCGAGCACACAGTTGGAGGTCTGGTGGGCCAGCGCCGAGGTCAGCACGCATAAGGTGTGCTACCCAACCCCACGTTACCCGATACCGGATTTTCTTCAAGCTTGGCGAGGGCGCGTTTTCCGACCCCACAGAGGCAGATGTGGAGGAGGATAGACGTCTGCTCGAATTCGACGGATTCAAGTCGACCCTAGAATTAAGGGAGTGGGTGGCCAGGCACTGAGGCTGGTGTCTTCAGAGGGATTACGCCTAAAGAGAGAGGGCAGAGAGAAAACCGGGGAGGGGAGAAATCAAAGGGAGGGAGAGAGTACGAATGCTAACATCGGCGTCGGGCGAACCACTACTGCCAAACGAGTATCCAATTCTGCCTTCTCGCCCTTCGCCTTAAGAGATGCAAGTAAACCATCTCGAGTTCCGCTCGCAGATCCCGAGTTCCCACCGATGCACGCATCCCGGCCTGCCCAGGAGCCATCTCAGCACTATTAGTTCGACACTGGCAGCCATTACTTGATAGCATCGTGAAACGAAATAGAAGAGACCACCCAGACGAAGCAGTCAGCTATCTTGGCGCCCCAGCAGCCCCGGCGGCCCGCTCTCACTGGTCTGGTAGGTAGTTGATTGCTAAGCAGGAGAGTGATACTGGGCAACACAACACGGTGTAGTAGTGGTAGTGGTATGCACTAAAGAAAGGGACCTCGTCCTCGTCCTATAGAACTTGGGCGTGTGTGCGCGGCAGTCCTAGAGAGAGGGTAGTATTGGCGGTATGCTAATATAGATTAGTTACTATAAGGCAGGTATACGATCTGGATTGGCAGCCGTAGATGGTTGAAGTTGGGGTGCTGTGCACAGAGGGGGAGGAGGGAGAGGACGAACAACCTACGACATTCTTATCGTCCATCGCCTTCCAGCTAACGCGGAGAAGGTAAACGTACGCGTAATGCAGAGGACATAGGAGGTAGGTAGGTAGCCTTTGCCTTGGGTACGACGACGCGCGAAAGAGGTACAGACGTGTGTCCACGATTCACGCCTTATCCTGTGCATACCCATGCCCATGCTCATAATGGTCCATACCATTGGAACCTCCTCCCAACACATATAAGTACCTCACGTACCTCCTCACCTTAGGTACATATTACGCTTTGGAACAGGTAGGTGGCCGACCTTGGGATATACTCGTCATCGATACCTCCGCTGCTACTACCTACTACGTTAGGTACATCCAAACACACAACCTCCCCCCCCCCCCTCTTCCCCTCCCACACACAGCAATACCTTAGGTGCCCTGTGCAGGAAAATACTCTAGGGTGGGCAAGGCAGGTCGACGAGACGGGTGAAGTCGGTTGCGAACCAGCACTAGAGGATCCAGCCAAGGGGGATGGGTGGTATCAACACCTGCGCATGCGTTGCAGTTTGCATAGCGGATTGTCAGGGTCCAGCATATCCCCGGCGAGTTGTGCAGCGCATAGTGGGGGTTTTCTGGCCAGGTCCCGCCGGACCCTGGGTATTAATGTAGGTATAGAATAATACCAAGGCGTGCATTATATATGTACATTCCCGTATGAGAGCCTGCGGACCTGCACACACGGGGCAAGCGTGGGGCAAAGCGTGGGTAGTGCGGGACAGAGGTGGGAAAGTGTGGGAGGTTCGTCGGGAATGCGGTCGTGGTGATTGGCCCAGAGCAGTTTGCGTGACTAATGGGCCGGCCATCCACTCACAGCCGCCACCGAATCCCGCTTTGGGTACAGCAGGGAGAGAGGGAGAGCGAGGGGCGGACAAGTACCCGCGCGCGCTGCGTTGGGCCACGCGGTACATCTCAACGCCCAACACCTGCCTGGCTAGCAGCGCTAAGCTGACCTTAGCCGGGCCTAAATGCCAACAGGTGACTATCCCGTGGCGGCGCGGGCGAGAGCACCGCGAATGGCTCTACTCCATCGCAACACGATCACCACCCACGAGGCGCACCAGTACCAGGAACCCGACAACCCTGAAGCTGCCCGCATACGCACCCTGCCTAGCCGGCCAGCCCTGGCGCTCGCCCATCCTATTTCCGACAGATTAGCCCCATTACGTCCAGACGATGTGAGGTATGCATGTGCGTGGCCTGCGTGTGGGCATGTAGGTAGTAGGTACGTGCTGGAATCACCACCACCACCGAATCCGATGATAAGATGCGAAAGCATCTACATAACGCCAGCGCCCTCCCGCCAGATCTCTCCGCCTCTCCGACCCTCCTCGCGCCACGCCTCTCGTCGCCACGACCAAACTCCGTCCCCCGCTCCGTCGTGCTGCCTGCTGACGGACGAGCATCGTGCTGCTCCCTACGAGCGGACGCAGCCCAGAAGCCGGCAAGTCGTTGTCTGAGGTGCCGTGCGGTTCCAAGCCGTGGACGTGGACGGGATCAGTAGGTACGTACTGCCGCGTACGCAGACCGGGCGGAAGAGCCCATGGGAAATTGGTTGCATGAAACGAACCCATCTGGTGCCCATCTGGTGCTAACTAGGTGAGGCGACTAAGACCCGGTTCAGTTTACTGCGAAATCCATCCCATCCACACGTTGCCTGCGGTGCGCACGAGGTGACCCGGCGAAAGAGGGGCTGGAGGGGCCCGTCTATGTATATTTTCCCTCAGGAGCCAACCGAGCGTCAGCCGTTATTGGGATTATAACCTGAGGTTAGTTACCGTACCGATCTGTCTCCCTCCCCCCCCCTTCCGTCATAGAATTTTTTTTTTTCTCCTCCCGTCCTCTGGCGCCTCCTACCTCAGAAAAGAGGGTCCCGTCGGTCGAAATCGGCCGCATCGACAGGGCGCCTGCAAGCAAACTTTTTTTTTCTCTTGGTTTTTTTTCCTTCTTTCCACCCTTTTATCCTGTCTTTGGATCTCGGCCCACCTCAGCAAGTACTTTGTACCTGCCACCTCGCCCAGGTCGGGTACTCTTCGGACTGCTGTTCGGACGATACTTGCCGCTACTAACCCACTACAAGCAGCAACGTACGACCGCTGCTGGGACCTAAAAGCACCACCAAACTACCCTACCTTTTTATCAACCCTCCGCCGGATCTTGTGATCCAAGAACCTCTCTTCTCCTTCCACCCACACAACATATACCTCCCAAATCCTCGCCAATCCCGACGTTACTACAGCACACATCGGAGCACAGCAGAACGGTCGATCCTCTATATCATTTCTACACACGTACAATTCGTGTGCCAATTGTCGGCTGGGCAGTCTGTCCATAGTCCAACCTGCTACACGCCCCCCCGGCGCGCCGTCGAGACCACTTGCGCAGCCAACGCCTGCGCCAGCCTGCAGAACGGCGAAACTATAAAGTCCCACGATAGCCATGCCCCCCAGCTACGCGGGCCGTCGCGGCCAGGCCGTGAACGTGTCGCAGCTGTTGCAGGATCTCAACCGGGGCCCCGAGCCCCCGGCGCCCATGTCCGAGGAGAACCTGCGGAGCTTGGACGACGAGCTCGCCATGTTCACCAACACCAACTTCATCGACTGGGACGCCAACGAGAGCCAGCAGCAGCAGCAGCCGCCGCGGTCGGTCAGCGTCAACTTGGACACGCAGTCGACGACATCGCCCACGGAAGAGGGGCCCATCGGAGGGGATCTGTCGGCCTTCGACTTCAATATTCCCGGTTAGTACCATTGCTCTTTTTAGTCGTCGCATTCCTCTGGCAATTCCCAGCGCCCAAATCCGACGGGTGTGCGAGTTGCACGCTGTCAATTGACCGAGTCGGTTTGTTCCTTCTATGTTCCTCGTTCCCCGCATTGCGCCGTGGCGTTGCGCGATGGCGTATGCAGTACTTTTTTTTTTCTTAGTCACCTTCTTTTCTTCTTTCTTTTCGAGGGCCGCCACCAAACCCGCCCGCCCCTCGAAAACGGAAAAAAAAAAAAAAGCCGGTGAGAGAGACAGAGAAAGAGAGAGAGGGACAAAAAGGGAACAGAACGCCCAGCAACAAGTTGCGCGCGTCCGGCCAGCTCGAGCCGTCAGTTTGGCATACGGGTTTGTTGCTGCTCAGGCCGGCCGGTCTGGTACGTGTCTGGTGTCTGGCGTGTGCGGTGTGGGTTGTGCGATGGACGCGGCGGCCAGGTTGCAGCAGCAGCAGCAGCCGGCCAGGCGAATGGGGACGGACCAAGCGACGCCCGCCTCTTTTCGGAAGCAATTGGCACTGGATATTGGGTTAGGCGCAAAGACGCGAGGGGAGGGGGTGTCTCCACCAAGCAGAGGGCTTTGTCTTATCACCGCCTCTGTGGTGTAGGCTTCTTCCCGCTGCTGTCCCTCGGTCCCTGGCCTCTTCTCTCCGGCGCCCCACCCCCATGTCGGCCTATTCCCCTTTGACTCCCTCGTCCTGTGCGTGATTGGCGCCGGCCTCCCCCCCCCATGTCGTATTTCGAATGCAGCGATCGGTGGTTTGGCTGGTCGAGGTGCCCCGTGCAAGTCCTTTTCATGCACACGAAAGACGCCCCTGCGATGGCGCAATCGAGCTATGGCGCAATAACCCGTGATCTTGAGGTGATCTGGGGGACCTCCCTCGGGATCAAGACGGGCCACAATCCCCATCCACCACGCCGCCCTTGTTGTCGAGAAGTCCGCAACATGGCCTGAATTTATATCCTCCTCCCGACACTAAGTCGTCATCGATGATGTGTAGCACCTCAGAAAGCATCCGTCACGTTATTGTTTTGTATTCGCCCATTGGCCTCGTATTCTTCTAATCTAACGTCATGTCTTCAGGCGACTACAACGGGTTTGACTTCCACCCGTATTCCACGCCTAACGTCTCGCCATTCTCGGACAATCTGGCCAATCTGCAACCCATCCAGCCCTCGTCTTCATATCCCCAGAATGGCTCCCCCCCGAGCCCCTACGGCCCCTCGATGCCGCAGACGGGAGAGAAGCGCAAGGCCGACGCCGCCGCCCCTCCGCCGCGGCGGCAGCTGTCCTTCGAGGAGCAGTCGCGGTTAGCGGCCGAGGAGGACAAGCGGCGGCGGAACACGGCCGCGAGCGCGCGGTTCCGCATCAAGAAGAAGGCCCGCGAGCAGGCTCTCGAGAAGCGCGAGAAGGAGCTCAGCGAGAAGGTCGGCAGCCTCGAGGGCCGCATCCAGACGCTCGAGACCGAGAACAAGTGGCTGAGAGAGCTGGTCATGGAGAAGACGGGCGGAAACGAGACACTCATCTCGACGCTGCTGGAGAAGCAGAACGACAAGAAGATACCTGCCGGCAAGGAGTCGGATAGCAGCTCGAAGGCGACGACCGAGGACAGCCCATAACCCGCCCCGCGCGGCGCAACGACGGACGTTCCCATTGGTTGCAACATTGATGACGGCGTTAATCGGGGGGGGGGGGCTTAACTCATACGGGTCATACGCCGGAGTGGACGGAAGGCGGTAAAGGATGTGGCACAAGGGAGGATATATCACGTTTGATTTCTGGTCAAATGCATACCGGTTGCTTGTTTTGTTTTTTTTCGTCATTGTTTTTAGGCTGCGGGCTTCGTCCCGCCACGGAAGAGATGTAACGGCATAGGTAATGATATTTGGGAAAAAGGGGGCGAGGGAGAGGGGGACCAAACTATAACCTATCTACTCAGCACATACACGATACACACGATCGATACCATCTTGCTATGACGTCCCGCTCCCCGCTCCGGCCGTGAGACTAGATTTGTAGCTCTTTGCTTTTTTTTCTCTTGGTGCGTGTGAAACCGCGGGTGCTCTCTCTATCCGTTATCTTGTGGCGCCCTGCACTCTACGCGGTGCATGCCACGCCGGTCGGACACGTCACGCGCGCCCTGTACGCAGACAACGCCGCCTGGCGCACGTCCCGGCACACATCCACTACTTGCCTCCCTGCTCACATAACACGATGCTAAGGCGACCTATACCTACCTACCTACCTATAACACGCACCTGGCATATGTGATAGATACGGGGAAGGAAGGAAAAACCACGTCGATGGCCTAGGCTGGGCCAGGCGCGGCAGAGAGGCAGCGTGCCGGGGCCGTCGTCGTCGGCCTGGCTTTGCTCGCGGCGCGCGCGGGTGACGGCGGTGGTTTGTTTGCTCGCGGGCGGGTGTTCGGGGGCGTAGGGGGGGAGAAAGGAGGTGAGGGAGGCAGGGAGGGGGTGGGAGCGCCAGGGCGCTGCGCCTAATCCCGCGGGCAGCCGGGGGGGGCGCGTGGGATTGGGGGGGGGGGGGGAAGGGGGAACGGGCTGCGGTTTGGTGGTGTGGTGTGGTGTGGTGCTGGTGCTGGTGTGGCGTGGAGGTACCTGGGTATAGGCAGATAGGCGGGTAGGCAGGTAGGTTAGGTAGGTGAGGAACTACAGCCTGCAGCGGGTTTCTACACGGGGGGACCTCTCCCCTAAGCTTATGTACCTAGGGTAGAGGGCAGTCGGGTCTGGCTGGCAGCGTAATGACTGCTACGCAGCAGGCAAGTAAGTAAGTAAGCCAGACGACGCAGGCGAGCGGCGCGTCTGCTTTCTTCTCTCTCTGGCTTCCGATGTGTGCGCGGTGGAGGTTATGAGTAGGTAGGTTAGGTACCTAGGCAAGGGGTGGGGGGGGGGGGGGGGGCGCGAGGGCGAGGTGGTATCGGGTAGGTAACAGGTAGGTTAGGTACGATGCCTACCTAGGCAGCCGGGCGCGGCGGCTGGCCGGGGTTGAGGGGAGGAATCCGCGAGTAGCCGCGCCAGAATCGTGGCGGGTTGATTGTTGTCTGCCTGTTCCTACCTGGCCCTGGCTCCGCCGCTGCACTCTAGTCGGAGTCGCGACGACTAGCTCTGCTCCCTCTCTGTGTTTGAATTTGGGGGGTTTTCGGTTTCGGTCTGCGCTGCGAGGAGGTCCCCCCCCCCCCCCCCCCCCCTGCCCCCTGCTGTTGAGGGATAGCGATTTTGTACCTAGGTAAGGTAAGCACTGCGCTGGCAGAAGAACCCCGTTACCGTGCGGAGCCTCCCGGTTCCTAGATGCTGGCAGCTCTCCGTGGCATGTGAGATTCGGGGGTATTCGATTGCTTATAAATAGACATGAAGAGAGAGAGAGAGAGACGAGGAGAAGCGGGACCCTATGCTGGCCCGGCTCACGTCTAAGCTTATACCTACCTGTAGCTTATAAACGGCTAGGTTGGTCCACATAGACAGTTGGCGATGTGGAACTCCAGGTTGCGATAACATGCTAATCGGTACCATTCCTGCAACCATGTCGAAGAGAAGAATATGTGAGCAACTATGGTCTTATGCATTCGTTGTGCGTAGGTACCTAGGTAACGTATCTAGCTAGGCAGGCTATGCACGTAGCAAGTGAGCGAACGAACGGGGGCCTCCTCGTGCTTCTGAGCTGGTCCGCTTCCTATAATCCCACGATACCGGTTCCCTAGTAATCAACTAGTAGGTATGCGACTCTTTAGGAGGCTGGACCTGAAAACCCGTTGATCAATTAGGAGAGCTGTACTACACGTAGAAGCTAGTTAGAATAACGCAATTAACCAGCTTATTTAGGTGTGTTGCGCTTTACGGCTTGGACCCACGATGATCCGGGATCCATACAAGGGCCCTACGGGGGCTATGCAGCTAGCCGGTATACGTGTCTATCTACACGTATGGGGCGAGAGGCTTTCGGTCCGGGCCTAGATTGCATCGTATCTGATGTGATGGGTAGGTGGGTTTCCGACAGATGGGTAGATGTCTTAATGTTTCGGCCGACTTAGCCAAGGCGCTATGGCTCCGGCGCTGTCGGTGTGCTGGAGAGCGTCGACAGGGCAGTCCACCACGCCCTTCGATGTAGGTAGGTAGGTATGGGCGTAGCCGACATGCATGTAGGCATCCGTATCATCCGTATCACCCGCCCCGCGCGCAAACCCCTTCCTCCCCCTTGCGGTGATGTCTACTATACTGTGATAATAACTGCCTGAATTGAAGTACCTCCACCTTTAATTACATACCCCGGGTGAGAAGGGAGATGGATGCAGCCGTAGCTATTCTTAGATGGAAATATACAAGATTCGATGTCGAATATTATATAGGCGAGTCGCCTACCCCCGTCGTCGCATCAGGAGGGGTCCCCTTTTCCTTCTTTTTTCTCCTATTTGTTATTATTCCCTGCCGATTGTTGATCTGCCCCCCCTCCTTTTCCCCACGCCCAGACGTCGGGGTACAATTCCAGGGCTCATGTAAGCGCGACACCACGATGTGCAACTTATTCCGAGACCTCTGACTCTCTACCCACGTCCGACAGTCCCGGATCGACTCGCCCTTCTCCGCGTGGCTTCCGGGTCCCGCACATTACTTTCCGCTTTGGGACATGTGTTGCTGCCCGCGCTTCGGCGCATCCGCGTTGTCGTTATAGCGCTTCATCGTATTACGTCTCTACGCGCCAGCCAGGTAGCAAGTAGGTATCTCCGGCACTGCGTATCTTACTAATAACGCCGATTTTTCTCTTCGTCTTTTCTTGTTAGTGGCACCTGAGGTATGAGACAGCTGTTCGAGCCTCTTACCTGGCGTTGCTTCTCTCGGCCCGCCACCGTCGCGCTGCCCGGTGCACGGCCTGCTCCGACGGCGGGTGGGAAGCTGTGCAGCCCTATATTGCTGGATAGCGAAGAGAAGGGGATGGAAGGGGACCGGTGTCCGCGTTTGGCGGTGACAACAGTGGTCGGTGGTTTCGCGGTGGGTTTTGTGCTCCCGCTTGGATATCTAACTATGGGTATGTCGTAAGGGGAGGGAATGGGCAATAATGATGAGTGAAAGCCCACATTACATCCCGGAATGTCTCAAATCTTAAACATAACTTGTTGGGAACAAAACAAGATATAACCTAGTAGAGCAGTGCGACGGTGGACGGGCAGTCTGAGCAGGACACTTGGCTCCATTACTACAGTTTCACAACGAGTTATGTGAGTGAGCAGGCGAATGTGTAAGTGAGGAAACAGGTCAATAGACAACGTAGATGCTCGGCCACTTCTTTATCGCACACCTACACAACTAACTGCCAGGTGAGCCTAGGTCTGGCATAAGTAAATGGCGTCTCGTGCAACTGCCTGTGGAAGTAGATCGAAACAAGACATTGCCGGCACATGACGACGCTGCACTGTCAACAGCTCGAGGCTGGCTGAGGCTCGGTTGATGATCGCGAGATGATATTTTCCCTGACAAATTATTTATCCATTACGTGACCCGCGGAGAAGTATACTGCTACTTGCCGCAGAGGCTAGCTACACATAAGCCCTAGTATGCCACTATGCTGAGCATGTTCGGAGTAGGAAGGCAGAGGTGATCACAGTGTACCACGACGACTGTTTGGCTATATTCTTTCTGGTTTCAACGCCAAGGTAGGAAGTGGCAGTATGTGGCTTGCTTCCTAGGCGCACATGCTATTCGAAAATACCGAGTGTCTGAGTATACCGATGAGGTATTAACGAGGAGACTCCGGGCGGATGTTTCCATCGGGTCTTCCACAAGGATAGCCCCAGGGACAGGGCTGGCGCCTCCCATGATGGCCTAACTTTCTCAGCGTTGTGTACCTATACGTACGTGCTTGGTCGGGATTGGAAGCCTCGGTTTTCGTGATTGTTGGCCGCCGTCGTCCTCGAACTCCTGGGTACGTAGGTAACTCGTCTGCCAGCCCTGCGTATATAAAGGTACGTAGTGCCCGTACCTTCTTCTCCATAACCCAGGCTCATACACACAGAATAACCCGTTCACATAGACAAGCAGTTGTCGAGATGGGTGCCGTTCAATCTTCAACCAAGACCTTCTGGCTGGCCGTCAAGGCCTTCGGCGAGCTAAACGCGGAGTTCCGGGCGCTTCTGCGGCGCGCGAGCCAGGCGCCGGGCCTGCCGGTCCCCAACCCATCGCCGTCGTACTGGCTCGAGGACCCGCCGTTCCCGGACCTCGTGGATACGCTGTCGCCGGCGCTGCCCGAGGCGGCGGACATCGTGATCATCGGGTCGGGGATCACCGGCGCCGCCGTGGCGCGGACGGTGCTGCGCGAGTCGGCGCGGCGGCGCGGCAGGGCGGCGGCCTCTCCAATACCGCGCGTCGTCGTGCTCGAGGCGCGGGCGCTGTGCTCCGGCGCGACGGGCCGCAACGGCGGCCAGATCAAGAGCGCGCCGCACGAGGCCTTCGCCGCCTTCCGCGCGACGCTGGGCCCCGCGCGCGCCGCCGCCCTGACGCGCTTCCAGCTCGCCCACCTCCCCCTGCTGACCGACCTGTGCCGCGCCCGCGGCTGGGCCCCGGCCGAGTGCCGCGAGGTCGAGACCGTCGACCTGTACCTCTCCGACGAAGACCGCGACGCCGCGTTCGCGAGCGTCGAGGAGCTCCGCAAGTGGGTCCCCGAGATCGAGATCAAGACGTGGGACGGCGCCGGCGCGCAGGAGGTGAGTTCTCCCCCCGTCTTCGGGTTGCGGCTCAGCGCGCATGCGCCTGGTGCCGCCGTCGCGGCTCCGTGGACCTCCTAACTAACCGACCGACTGGGGGGGGGGGGGCGCTCTGCAGTACTTCAAGGTCAACCGGCACGTCAAGGGCGCGATATCCTACGTGGCGGGGGCGCTGTGGGCCTCGCGGTTCGTCAGCTGCGTGTGGGAGGAGCTGCTGGCGCGGTTTGAGAAGCACCTGTCGATCGAGACGCACACGCCGGCGCTCGCGGTGCGGACGGCGGGCCGCGACGCGGCGTTCGCGTACGAGGTGGTGACGGGCCGCGGCGTGGTCCGGTGCGACCACGTGGTGCACGCGACGAACGCGTTCGCGCCGCAGCTCGTGGCCGGCCTGCGCGGCAAGCTGACCGGGGTCCTCGACACCATGTCGGCGCAGCGGCCGGGCGCCGACTTCCCGGCGCTGGGCGGCGCGCGGTCGTGGACCGTCGTCTACGACGGCGCCTTCGACTACGTCACGCAGCGGCCGGCCCCGCCCGCCGCCGCGCCCGCGGGAGCCGGGTCGCCGCCGCAGGGCGACATCATGATCGGCGGCGGGTTCGCGCGCGCGCGCGAGGAGTGCGCCGCCATGGTCGGCGTGTGGGACGACGGGCGCGTCGACGCGCCGCCCGTCGCGCAGATCAGCGGCATCTTCCCGACGCTGTTCGCGCCGCGGTGGGGCGCGCCGGCGCCGGGGAGCCGCCGCGCGCGGCGCGCCTGGACGGGCGTCCTGGGCGTGACGGGGGACCGGCGGCCGTTCGTGGGGCGGCTCGACGCGGAGCTGACGGGGCGGTCGCCGCCGCGGGGAAGCAACCGCGACGACGCCGCCGCCGCCACCGGCGTCCGGCCCGGTGAGTGGATCGCGGCCGGGTACTGCGGCGACGGCATGGTCTGGGCCTGGCTCTCGGGCACCGCGCTCGGCGTCATGCTGGCGGGCGCCGAGGACGACGACGCGCCGCCGGAGCCCGGGCGCCCCGGCGGCGCCCTCGCCGACTGGTTCCCGCGCGACCTGGAGCCGACGCCGCGGAGGCTGAGGAGGGCCGGGCTGGAAGCTCTGGCCCATCGGTTTTTCTAAGCTAGGAGAGGGGGGGGATAGAGGCGGGTGCTTTTACGGTGTCTGTGATAGACAGTTAGAGAGCGGGTTTCTAGGCTGCGTAGAGCCCAGAGACACTTAGAGACAAGCAATTAAGGCTTATTATTAGTCGAGTCTATACACAGCGCATAGGATAATTGTCAGCTAATAGCTGTGTGGAATAAAACTGCTTAGGAGGATGTTTCGTCGACGTTAAAACCTGAGTGTCATGACTCACATCTGTGCATGGCTTGTCAAAAGGAGAGTCCTACTGGGGTAATCGGCGAGAATACATTGCGCCTCATCCCTAGCATATTACTCTATCAAGTGAATGAATACCTACTATGCACTACGCCGGAGCAAGAGGCGCTCTACTGTTTTCTTCTGCACAGCAATAGCGCTCGTTTTGTTTCCTTTCGATACCCCTTTTCGGATTCCTGGAGCGGGTTACTGAGTCCCCAGGGCTCATGGTTTTCGAACCGATCTTACTATATAAAGATATAGCACCGGCCGGTGGTTACCTTGTTTGTTTATTCACGGCACCTGGGTATGTGTTTTTGACAACTAACTTTCGTTGCCATTGCCTGATATTAGCTATCACGCCTCACCCACTACGATGCCCACGATACCTTCATTGTCCCTTGCGTCACGGTGTCGCACCCATCTAAATTATTTCTACTCCTGCTGCTTAACTGTAGGCTATCGTGAACTCCTTTCTCTGTATTATCTTGGGGGCGGTCATCGTGGCCTCGTCGGCCGGTGTCGAAACTCTCGGAGCGAGTTCCCAGTCCGAGCCAGTATTGTATGCCGAGGTTCCTCGACTTCTTCCCGAGCCCCTGGAGAGAAGACTGGATAAGAAGTAGCTTATGTCGTTGACGGTAGGGAGCTTGAGCGTCGCGACAAGCTTCAGCGTCGGCACGCAGCCCATAATGATAACGAGGCATTGTTCGCAGCAGGCGACCAGATGTACCAAGCTTTGAAAGTAGCGCTGTAGGTCCTGCGACTGGGCGGCGAAATCGCCCAAGCGGATGAAGATGAGAACTATCTTTAAAAGCACAACTCCCATAGTAATGAGTGATGCCGCCATAAGAAACAATAAGGCGACCTTGCGGCGAAGGGGCATGTTAAGCGTCCAAATGATAAGAACCGGGAAGAGGACGTAAGTGAAGTCGGATATGGCGTTAAGGACTAAAGGCGTGCAGTGTTAGCCATATGATCAACTGACCTCAGCAAGCGCAAGACGATACCACCCGAAAAGAATGTGTACCTACATTGTGCGGCGATAGCGGTGCCTTGGTAAACCCAGGGGTCCAACCGCCTCGCCGGAAGATCGTGATCCCAAAGGCCCTCCCACGGATCAGAGGAGGCTGCGAGGAAGATGATGCTAAGGACTCCGACCAAGGTCAGGGTGGCGGTGAAGCTGATGAAGTACCACCTGAACCACTTTCGGGATCCGAAGATGCGGATGAGGAGTATCGTGATGGAAATCCTGGCCGTGAAGGAGATCGAGATGCTGGGGAAAGCGGAGATGTAGCCCCATTTCTCAAGCATCATTTGCTGCAGCGGCGACTGGTCCTGGAACGGGATTCCCAGGCCCCAGGCGCACATCAAGGTGAATATGGACTGGTAGAAGAGCTGGAGGACCATCGCGAGGAGCATGATCCAGTCATCGAGGCCCCAGGCTCTCGAAACCCGTTTACGCACGGCGAACCGAGCAGCGACAGCGATGGCGGCCAACGCAGTCAAAGCCCAAGTGAGCCCCAAGTTCAACGGTCGGAGCCCCTCGTTTTCCGGCGCTGGTTGGTCCCCGGGGCTGGGCATGATGAATAGTCGACCTCCTTGCACGTTCGGGATGGGGGTTGGGGTGGGCTGTCCTGTGAACCTGTCCTGATCACCAGCTAGTAGAGGTCGAGAATCTCGGCGAGGGGTGACATTAGTATAATACTGAATGATTCCCACCTCTAGATGCCATAGGCACCAGTGAACTCAGCCTGCCGCAATGCGTACGTACTTCTGGTAGGATTTCCCTATTTGTTGAAGGGTCCGGATGCTCGAATCCTACAATGGTAAACAACAAGCGTTTTGCAACTCGTCACATCGTGAAAGCACCGGAGAGGAGGGAAGGTGATATGGAATAATACCACCTGTAGTTTATTCGTACAGGCTGCATGCTGCGAGAATAATACAACCCCACGCCCCCTGCGGGCGACACAGCCTGCCTCGCCGTCCTGCGGTCATAGAAGCCGTCCCCACTGCAAAACTGCGGCGTAGGGATGGAGACGGTGGCGTAATGAAGGCGCCGGAAGGATTCTTGGCACGGAAGATGGCACGAGCAGGTTCTCTGCCGTTACTACCATTTGTTTCACTGTAGGTGGTTGGTTGAATACGCATAATGATAAGTCGGCTGGCGAAAATGGGTAATCCTTCCATATCTCTATACCGTCTGCGATCTGCGTTGTGTGGTTACGCTGAAGGATCGACGCCCGCAGTGTAACGTTGATATTCTCCCACCCGCCCAATGATAGAGTTGAGATTGGGACGCCCTTTGGCGGCACGCTGGCAAGCCAGGAAATCTCTGCGTCTTGATCCCCTCGTTCTGACAGAAGGGATAGGGGTCGGCGATGGATGGTGGTTTTCAGTATATTCAGGCTACCGTCTCGTTGGTGTCCATAACCAATCCGCCAGGTCGATGTAGAATAGCACAGAATAATATTCACCTTTGCTCATTTCCCCTGTGCGTAGAAAGGTAATAGCGAGAAGGGACTGGGTAAAAGTGGTGATTACGTGAGGTAAGAGTTGTACGACTGAGAGACTCAAGCGTTAAAATACTATGGAAGAGACAGGCCCTTTTGAGTCTCACCTTGTCGGCTCCGAAGTCATATTATAATAGTGCTATTTAATATGTGTGGCGGGGGCGAGGGCTCATATTAAATTTGCTTGTTTATTAGGATGGCCGCCGAGCATGGAGAGCGACTGAGCCTTGTCTGAGAAGAGTATCAGGGCGGTAGGGCAATCGATGCTACGAGACTCGTGTTCCGTTATCTTATACTTCGCCATACCTACAAATGAGACATCTTGTCCTAGGCCGACTCGGCGCGTCGCGGACAATATTACTAGCCGTTAGAGTGACGGGAAGAGGTCTTCCCTCAGTATCACGTCTGTGCCCGTCTGCGCTCAAAACCCGCACTCAGTAGATCCCATTTCAGTAATGAAAAGGGGCTAGCTCTTAGAATTGACCTTTCCTAGACTGAATATCCGGAACGACGGGGTGTAGCCCATATATTAACACCTGGCATTAGACTTACTACTTCACGACCACTCTGACACCTTTGCTGTTCCACTTGGGCATCGGCCTCACTAGATCGACGGCGAAATCCACGTCATCTCGACCCGTCTCAAACAGCTCCAGATCGTGTCTGCGAAGTATCGTCGCCAGCGCCACGTATAACTCCATCCACGCCAGGTTGACGCCGAGGCAGTTTCGCGCTCCTCGACCGAACGACACCATATAATGCGATAGCGGGTGCGCGCCACCGGGGCCGGTCGGGTCACCGAGCCATCTCTCGGGCCGGAAGGCCGATGGGTTAGGAAATATCGCCTCGTTGGTATGGATATGGTATGCGTCCATACTTACCGGGGTATTCGGCGGTATCTTCCACTGCTCGTACTCTAGGGCCCCCAGTCGATTAACGCGCGGTAATCGCTGGACAGAGCCGAAACTGAGGCGTAGGCCTATAGAGAACGTGTTATAAAACCATGATCCGTTAAAAGCTCTTGTTTTGATGAACTGAGATGTGTGTTTATGTGCGCGTCTTTTCCTTCCTTTGCTCTGTAACAATACACTCGAATAGCCCTTACCTTCCATGATAACAGCAGACAGGTAAGGTAGCTCCTCCAGCTCGTCCCAGGTGAGGATCTGGGTTGGATCAGGCATAAAAGTTTCCAGCTCTGCCCGCAGTTGTGATTTAATCGATGGGCTGTGCAATACGTGAAACAACGTTACTGTCAACGCCCAGGAGGTGGTTTCAACTGCGCCGCCGTTTACACCCATAGCTTCCTGCTGTAGTCTGGTGTAAGTCAGATCCTCGGCAGGGAGATCGGCAGAGAGGGCATCGTGAAAGATGGTTAAATGTGAAGTTTCTTTGACGTCCATATTTTTGCCGCTTAGTATTTCTTGGATTTGATCACCCATTTCCTATTGCCATTCGTGTTATTTCGAGCGGATCACGACAGAGGCAGCTGGGCCTGGAACAGACATACTGACCTTTCGAAACGCTAGGATGGGCCGGATGGGAGGGACCAACATGCCTAGCACGGCATCTGGGAGCCAATTCATAGCTGAGGCGAGAACACCGAAATGCGTGTTAAGGTGCCCGAAGCGCACCATCTTTGCCGTTGCCTGCGCGAAGGGGGATTGGAAATCTGGCGCGCCTGAATAGTCGGTTGGACGCGCAAAAGCGATCTCGGTGATGATGTCGGATGCCATGGCCGCCCACATGTCGTTCACGTTGAGTACCTTGTCAGTTCCCGAAAATTCGGTTTCAAGACGGTGCGAGATACGATCAAGAATCCTCTGAAGATCGTCATTCCGGTTTCGAATACGACCTCGGGAAAAACACGGCGCTATGGCCGCTCGCCGCCTCCGATGGACTTCGGCCTTTGCCGACTGTACGGTCGCTTCTGGGACGCCGAAACGATAGCGGAACTTCTCGATCTTATCAATCGGTCGGTTAGGAGAGCTATTGCCGTATATGACATCGTAATATTCTGGGTCGTCGATGTGCAGCTCGTCGGGATTGATACGTACGACGGGCCCGTACTCTTCGTGTAGCCGCTTGATCTGGAACGTCCACTGCCCGCCGCCCCGACTAACGAGGTCGAAGTATGCCTCGTACCAATGCGTCGCAGCCGCAAGCCTGGGACCTGGGAACTTGGCTACAGGGCTAAAACGTAATCTGTAAACGACCAGGCCCACTGCTCGAAGGATGGACAGCCCCAGGAGGCAGGAGACGGCGAGAGACAACCATGGGCGGGGATCATAAAACACCAAGGAGTCGTAGCCCATGGTGTTCTGAGTTAGATGGAAACACGAATTATGCTGTTTGGCATTCGGTGATCTTGGGAAGAGACCGGAGGTAGGTGATAAGAGCAACCAACGGAACAAGAGGGATGATGGCCCTACCTACTCACGTATCTATCATATTATCCTCTTATCACGTAATTCGGTGGCTTTGGTGGCCTTCTACCATCTCCACCGTGTCCACAGGGTCCCTATAACAGCATTGGCACCACCTACCTATTACCATGTAAAGCTCACGAAACAATCCGAGCCTCTCGGGATCGACGCTGGATGTAGATATTCCGCTAGGCAAAGAAAGAAGGAGGGGGGGATAGAGGGGCACCTTGTCAAGAAGGATTCATTATCCGCCTTACCGGCAGGTGAAACGAAACGATCTGGCCCGGCTACTCGCAGCCCCAGGTGCCGATCAGGACTGAGTGGAGTCCGAGGGGTGCAGGCAAGGCAAAAAGCGGGCGTCTTGCGATACGACCATAGGATGCCTGGTGTATTACGTGACGGGGCGTGGCCGTGGCCTGCATGGTGGATGCGATCGAGTAACTCGCCTAGTGGACAATGAGGCACAGGTAGAATGTAACGGTGATATGATGCGGTACGTGTCATCAAGAGCCGCCGCCCTTGTCATGCTGTCCGATATTAATGTGTTAGATGTCTCGGCGCGACTGGTGGGGGCCGGTTGGCGGTTAGGGGGCGAGATATCGTTGGCCTTGGGCCGCCAGGGATGCCTGCAATGTGGTACAAACGAAGGGGGAGGATTAAACGAGCTCCTTGATCCGATATATCTAGACCTTGCCGACTGATACGAATATGGATATGGGTGTATGGGACTTCGTTCTGACAAGGGCTTTCCCTCCAACGTTGTGTCTCCCATATTTGCCCACCCCTCTTGAAAAGCTTGGCGTCTTGTGGCTTTCTCTGTCCTTCCCTTTTCTCTCCTCTTCCGTTTCTATCTCTGCCAACGTTTTACGGCTTTGTAGTGTCTCTCTGCACTGATTCCCCTACCCCCTCCCCCTCATTGCAAGCCAGGATCAGCCACCCCCAATGGCAGACCAGCGTCTCGTGGTAGTTATCAGCGGGGCGGGGAGAGGTGAGCCCACGCACGGCTCTCGCGACCTTTATATACTTATTCACGTTTAGGTATCGGGAATGCCTTGGCCCAGGCGTATCTGTCGCGCCCAAATTGCACCGTGGTTGGGGGCATCCGTGACGAGAATTCTCCCGGGGTTGCCGAGTTGAAGGCATCCCCGCCGGGGGCTGGCTCGGAGCTGCTTCTCGTCAAACTAGAAAGCACATCACCTACCGATGCCAAAAGCGCAGTCGAGAAGATGACTGCTGCAGGCGTTGACCATATCGATGTCCTGATAGCCAACGCAGGGGTAAGCCCGCCGATCAAGCCCCTCGAGACGGTTACCCGGGAAGAGGTAGCCAACGTGTTCGATATCAACGCCCTCGGCACTCTGTCTTTGTACCAAGCCTGCCATTCGCTGCTGGAAAAGTCAAAGAACGCCAAGTTCGCATCTATCAGCAGTGCCGCCGGTTCCATCGGCGCCATGGAAAGCAATGGCGCCTACGTAGCACCGGCTTATGCCATTTCTAAATCGGCGATGAACTGGATTACCTTGTAAGTTAATATCTAGAATTTGCTCTAGATTTTTTCTATAAAAACACGGAGAATAGCTGATAGAGAATGCATAGGTCGGCGCACTGCAGTAACAAATGGCTCACCACCATCGCCATCAACCCCGGGTAGGTTTTCCGAGGGCAAGCCGATCCTCCTGAACATGAAGCTGAATTTGTATGAAAGACTCGTTGCCACCGACATGGGGAATTGGAGTGCCAAATTCCTAGGCTTGGAGAAGGCGCCCTACACCAAAGAGTACAGTGCTGAGAGAGTTATAAGTATTGTGAGTAGACCTGCGTATTAATACCCCCTGCTCGTGTATATTCCACCTCGTGTCTGACCAGGCCAGATCGACGCCGCCAGTCGTGAGAACTCGGGCCGGTTTTGGGATGCAATCGAGGGCAAGGAACTGCCATGGTAACTGTTGATTGTGTAATATAGAAGACGTGGCAGTCAAAATATTGGACACATGCAATCTTATATTATTCCACAGCCTTAATATCGGACCATCTGTGTGGGCCTAAGCTAACGCAGTATTGTTACTGTTCTTATCCCGGGCACCATACAGCTAAGTCTCAGGGGTAAGACAGGTAGCGGTAACGCGAGAAATAAAGGTCTTCTTCCATATACAGAAACGTTAATGCAGCGACCTAAAGATGGTGACAAGGTTATCGTACACTTTCTCATAGCCGGAAATGGCAGAGATCTCGGCTTGGCCATCTCACGTCCGACAGAGTCTCCCATCCCCATCCTCTGCCCACTCGTCGCTACCCACAGCCGTTTGGGCGTAGAACACGCCTTGGGGGTCAACCCGGCTTTTTATGTTCTTGAGCCGGGGGTAGTTGGCCCCGTAGAAGGCCTCCTGCCAGCCGGCCTGCTGGAAGTTCGCCTCATTAATATAGGCCCCCCCGCCCGGCGTCGCTGCTTCGATCTGAGGCATGAGATCCTCGGTTAGCCTCTTTTGGTATGACACCATCTCAGCCCAGGGTCGGTGAAAATCCCATGTCTTTACGAATATGCAGTGCAGTAGGGCGGATCTCCAGGCAGGGGATACCGCGTTGGGGTGTAGCAGTGGCCGATTCGCATTGACGGCGTTGCAGATGGTTGTGAATCCGGAAGCGGCAGCAGCACGAAAGGCCTGGCTGATGGCCTCGGCTTGCCGCCTGTCCTCCGCTAGCGATCGCGGCACCAGGCGCCCTCCCGTAATTTGCGCGTGAGGGGTCTTCGTCACGGCCTCCGAGAAGTAATGGTCGAAGAAATCGAGAAAGCCCGGGTGGCTAGTTTTAGTTATCTGTAGAGAAATCCCGATTCTAGCCATAGCGCTCGCGACTGGCCGCAATATTGTACCCGCCACGGAGGCGTTCCCGTCGGCTACGGATATGCCGTACAGATTCAGTGCCGTCGGGGTCAACGCATACGAGACCACCGTGCCTGCGTCCACCACAGGGCCCAGCGCGGATTGGAATACCGACACGGCGTGCCAGAATTCCTCTACGCCTCCCGCCGACTCGACGTCGAACGCAAGGCTAGCACCTCCCATGGGCCCATCACGGTACACGCGTGTCACCATGGACACGATGACAGCGAAGGTGCCAGAGCCACCACCGCTGAGGGCCCAGTACAGGTCGGTGTGAGACGTGGGCGTCGCTACGACGTGTCTTCCGTCGGCCGTGACGACCTCCCACTCGAGGACATTATCTGCTGCTAGTCCGTATAAGGAGGTGAAGACGCCGTGGCCGCCTCCTGCGGTATAACCGCCGGCAACACCGACCGTGGGACAGGTGCCCGTAACAATCCGCACTCCTCTAGCATTCGCGGCGGTGAAAGCCTCTTCGGTCAACACGCCGGCGCCGAGCCGCACAGCAGGCCCGGTGTAATTAGCACCACCGCGGTAATGGTCGATAAAATCAATGGTGTTCATGTGGTGTGTCCATAGCGACAATGCCCCTCTCCCGGTCGATTTTCCGAGGAGGCTGCCGGATACCAACGTCAGCCCGAAAGGTCGTGCCAGCGAAATCTACGTTGCGCTCACTTACTCGTGGCCTGTATTCTTGATAGTCAGGCGGATGTTGTTTTGGCGGGCGAAGCGTATGCCCGCTTGGATATGCTCGACTTCGGATACGTTGATGGAATACTGGGCATAATTGCCAATGCTACAGGGGTCTGCTCGCGATGTGTAAGGATCGCACGAGCGGTTCTGGAAATATGGCGCGACGAATTCCGCCGGCGAGTGGATGCTGTGTCGTTGGTTACGGTGATCGTACCGTTAGCATACCTAATAGTCCCCATGCCGAACTAGAGATGGGAGGGATATAGAGGGAGATTTATGGTGGACTTACTGGGCGTCGGCAAACATCCAGGTCTCCCGAAGCTTCTGGCAAGCTGGGAGGTCGAAATGGGGATTGTGGCAGAGGGTAGCGATAGGTTCCGTCCGAATCAACCGGCCCTCCACCGTTCTGTTGAGTCGGGTCCATTCCCCTGCTCCCGGCCAGCCTGCATCTCCGGGAATGCGCTTACACGCCTTGATCGACGCAGTGTCTCTCACCTGGGGCGCCGCGTGTGACGAGGACGAGGCCAGAAGGGCCAACAGGAGTACGAAGAGCGGCTGCAACATTCGTATCCTCAACAGGCGATCGTCCATTTTGACTTCACATCTGAATCTGAGGCGTCTTGCCCGCACCACACCGGGGCGCATCTCACGACGGCGTGGTCTTCGGCATGGTCTTTAAGGGGCATTTCGAGCCTCCCTGCCTGCCCCTCCTACTCGATCCCGCCCGGCTTATGCTCCTAGATTGTATTCTTGATCTGGCCCCAGGGGCGCGACACAACAAAGCCTGAGCTGAATGCAGCCATCCCCTGCCCACTTTCTAAACGTGAAGCTCGCGACATGCGACTTCTAGTGGTCTTAGCTCTCACATGGGATGGGAGCCTGGTGGACGGCTCAAACCTGCGTACCTCACCTCAGCTTAGGAACCTCTGCCGCCTATTGCCTACTGTAGGGATGGAGGTACCGAACATGGGTCGACTGCCGGCGTGTAAGTGCCGCGTTTACGAATCCTACGACTCCCATATTTAGCGCTTCCTTCTGGAATATAAAGGGGTGTACATATGCGGCGCGGGTTCGCTTAGCAGCCACCGTAGATAGGTAGGTAGATGCGCACCGGCGCCTTTGCTTCCACCCGCCCAGCCCGCGACGATTCCCAGGAAGACGCGAAGACGGAGGAGGGCAATAGTAATACCTACATCGCGGAGAGGTCGAACCCGATGCGACAGCCCAGCGGCGCAATGTCGCCAGTCGTCGCAGTTTCGTTGTTACGTGGCATCCGTTCCTCTCGTTGCTACCCACCACGCATCGTCCTCTATCGCATCCCGAAGCCCAAAACCTGATCAATACGTCCGCTATCCAAACCGCAGCCCCCGCGGTGTGATTGACCCTCTGAGTGTTACGTATGCACATGTCGGTTCCTGGCGTAATCGCAGGACCCAACCACCATTTCGTATCCATCCCGTCTGTGATTTGTCCGCATAAATATCCATATGCGCCAGGCGCCCCCAAGTCGCACGAGATCGTTCGGGGACGAGATCCTCCATAGTTGCGCCGACAGACGGCAGGTCTGCCGATCGCCCAAACACGCCGATGGCTTATCGGGTCTCCTTGGAGGGTCGCGAGAAGGATCAGAGTAAGCGGCACAGGCAGCAAGGGGGGAAATAGGCTCCGTTCGGGCTATGGCACCATCGTAAGCCTAGATATTTGCGGTTTTGAGGCCGAATCCCGGTCCCTTCTCACAGCAAACTCATCCACCCCTACGCAAAGTAATCACCCCCCATCGGCTAAACACCACTAAGAAAGAGGCTTGAGAATGCCGCGTAGCCACCTAATCGCGGGCCGCAGCCCTGAGGTGCACCGCCTAGGGCATGAGGTCCCTCCGCCAACGTACGGGGACGCACATCAGACCCAAGGGTCCTCAGCCCCGCGCGGGCTGCGTCGCCCGCTTGCCAGGAGCTAGGGCGCCAAGTCGGAATGCCATCGATCAACACGCAACTAGATGGAGGGAACTCGCGAGACTGGGGTGTGGGGCAACCATATAGGGGAGGTGTCGAGGACAGGTCAAGGCAACAATAGCAGGGTAGACGGAGGTATCATTCCAGTCCAGAACTGGAACCTCCCAGAGGAGATGGTTAGGTATCATAGATAGATATTGCACCGCGGAACGGACTCCCACGAATGTGCACTTTCGCTTCGACACACCTTAGCGTGGGTTGCAATGCTCCTACTAGCACCGATCATCAACGTATCCTAATATCACCAAGCCTACTTTCGCATCGGCACGCGCGCCTTCAAGGAAACCATGCGGTCTGGCCGTCTGTCACAAAAGAGGCCCCCCCCGCGAGAACTAGTGAAGACGTCCACGAATGCTTGGGATGAGCGCAAGCCGCGACTGATGAGGAGCTGCCCGTGCCGATCACGGGCTAATGTGTTATTATATAGATAGGTAACCTAGGACCCTTTAGTACCGGCCTGGTAATGCTAGGCCCCTCATTCGGCCATTCGTTGCTCTTCGCATTCTCTCTCGGTGCGTGCGATCCTAGGTGTAGTCGAAAGCCTTCCTCCATACTATGTCAGGTCGAGTTCTCTTTCGCTCCCCAAAGGAGAATGCTAGGACTAGCTCGACAAGGCCATAGCAGCAGCATAAGCTAGCCAGAGCTAGCTTGTGGTTCAGTTCATCCTTTAGATAAAGCACAGGGGGAACCAATATTAGGATTTGGTTCGATAGCCCACTCTATTAGAGGCCACGGCGAGTTCTCCAGCGAAGGTATAATACCAGTACCAACCTAAGGCACGACTTTAGGAGCATCTTCCTCGTAACCTAGAGCACTCTCTCCGAAGATGAACCGCCGTTCGCGGACACGAAGAGAGCGTTAACAGGCAGGTAAAATGGGTAGCCAATATTATATTTCCCAAGCTGCATCGGAAACTTGTAAAACCCTCGGCCTGTTTGTGTGCGAATGGCCGGGCCTTGCGGCGGCTATAGGCATAGCAAGGTGGGAAGCCCAAACAGCGTCAAGCTTGGAGAAGGCCGCCTGCTAATGAGGAAAAAGAGGGTTAGAGCCCCGTCAGGTTGCCCCTTCTAAGCTGGGAAGTTGAAAAGCATACGGAGGGGGAGGTCTTTGGACAATAAGATTAACCTGCGATTTCATTACTCTCAGACCAGCTTCAGGTGGAAGTTTACGATGCTTCGTTTTTCGTCTACGTCCTGGTGCGAATCCCCCGTACGTACCTAATGTAAGCCTATGCTGGCCGGCCAGGGAGACGTAGACGTTGATTGTCACGTGAAAAACGTCAGCTTCCCCCTTCCATCCCGCCGTAGAATGACGACAACGCCACATTGATAAGCCCTACCAAGAAGCCCTCCCTAACCCTTTCCTATATCCTCAACTCAGCCGACCTTTTCTGCCCTAGTGTAGTACTTGACGTCCGCGTTCCCGAGCATCCCGTCCTGGAGGCGGCCGCCCGTCAGCGACCTTTCGCTTGAGCGTACCGACAAAACGGCGGGAATGGCTACCCTTAGGTCTCGTAAATATCGCTCCGCCACCAAATACCTGTTCCGTGAGGAACAGGCTGACGCTATCGTACGGACCACCGCCTACCACCGCAAAGACTTCCCTCTCTCCGTCATATCATTCTTCCCTCGCGAGCACGTCCCTATCCGCTCGTCGATAGCAACGCCCTTCCAGCAGCCGACTTCGAATACGACGGTGCTCGGCTCCCTCGATCGGCTACCCCTCGAGCTCTGGCACGATGTGTTGCTACGTCTGGACATGCATTCTCTATTCCGCTTTCGACAAACAAGTATCCGATCGAGAGAGATAGTAGACTCTCTCCACGAGTATCGGATGGTAACCTCGCACGGACTGAACCTTCTCTGCGCCTTACTACGAACACGAGTCGCTACCCACGTTTCTCTGTCCGACTTTTACCACGCGCTGTGCACCAAAGATTGTCCTCTTTGCGGCGAATTCGGCGGGTTCATATCTCTCCTAACCTGGCAGCGATGCTGTTTTAACTGCCTCCGACGGGCACCGGAAACCCAAGTGCAAACTCTTGCCGCTGTCCGGAGGCAATTCCACCTAACCAGGGCCGAGTCACGCCAGCTGAGGTCATTCAGGACGTTACCTGGGACATATTCGATGGAAGAAACCTCATACAAATCCCGCATCTCCATCGTCTCCGCTCGTCAGGCCATGCTGGCCTTCGGACAACGACCGCATGACATCGCTCCAGCACGGCCGGCGAGCTGGCGACGAAATGAACGATTTAAGTTTGCGGGGTCGTGTGCACTTCCGTATTACGATAAACGAACCGGCAAGGTCGAGCATGGAGTGTCGTGTGCCGGGTGTCAACTCGCTCGCGAAAGGAAAATTATCGGCTCTACGAGCAGCGAGTGGGGGTTCGAGGCTCGAGATAAGGTATACGCGCAGGACGGCTTTTTAAACCACTTTCGATGGTGTGAACAGGCACAGGTCCTATGGAAGTTGAGCGGCGAAGGCAACCAGCGCCCGATGGAGATGCCGTTCGCTGCTTGGACAGGAGGCTTCTTCACGAGCAGATACCAAGCATAGGGAATCTCCTCGCTAATGCACTGCGGCCAGGCTCTCTGCAAAGTATCCCAGTAGAGACCTAGCCCGGAAAGCAGACAAGCTCCCCAAACTTCCCGAGGAACGGTTCGCCGTCTGGATTCAGTTCGGCAGCTCACAGGCCGCACTTGATTATTACGCAGACCCTCCGTTCTAGCTGGTGTACGTCACTCCCGCCTCTGGTTTGACCAAGTGCCTTGAACAGTATTAGTTGATCGACTCTCCCTATCCCATTCTCTCTCCCAAACCGACTACATTTAACGTTGGTCCCCCGGCGCTCCGGACACTGGACAGATTTCGTCTCCCTACTGCAACAGCATGTATACGTCATACACCTAGACCTACGCACCTCATGACTAATAGGATATCGCAGATTAAACCGGGAATACATAGGAGGACAACTGCCTTCTTATGGCGCGGGACATTCGACGAATACAAAGAACCAATGTAGCGAATAAAAGACGCTCGGTTGTTGCGGATTCAGCTTTTACAGATCTCCAGACGCGTGCTTGGAACGGCCCAGAAAGTGGCCAGGCTCAGCTGGGCACAGGAGGAGCGATGGGGGAGAAGTCGGACAGGCGCGGCGTAGACGCAGCTGGAACATAGGTCTCTCGTTGTGACGGTGCTTCATGAACTCCGCTCGCTCCTGGGACGAGTTGGTTGCCAGCGAGCCCTAATTGACCGTCCCCAGGTTTTCGCCCGACTAGGTATGAGAGGTCAGGAAAAGTTGGTGCTTCAGGAAATGGACGGCCCTTAGTAAGGGCTAGGTATATCGCGTAGAAGGTTACAGACTTCGGAGGGATGGACAGGCTGATCATACGTCGAGCGAGCGGCGGCCATACCGGCAAGGCACTTTGTTGTAGGTAACTAGAGGGAAAGGCGAAGAAGTGATATCACTTACCTAGGTACCTAATTCATAGAATGTACCTATCGATAAGATGGGTTGATTAGGTAAGCAAGAGGGGTACCTACCTACGTCACTGTGGCTCTCCTGAGGCACCACCTGAGGCTCGCATGACAGATCACAGGGATCTGTGGAAAAAGCGGTTACGGTAGGTAAACGTGGCTCAATAGCTATTCAGGCTTTCCTGTGCGTTGTGGCAGGGGGGCTCATTCCTACGGCCACACGTGACCACGCTTGCGCGCCCACACGACCATAAAATAGGTGGGTAAATTACCTACCTACTCACTGTACAAGAGCTACGTCGGGTCTAAATTTGGCTTCTCTCTGAGCAAATTCGTTGACAGTTTTATAGTGAGCGGCCCAATAATGACAGCGTCCGAGAATCACCCTGCCCATGGAAGCAGACGATGACAATTCCTTCGGGGGCGAATGCCGATTGCAAAGCGGAAACTAAGTCGAATGCCTCGTCGTCTCTCCTGAAACCTTTGAGAAAGATACGCTTCCAGCCTATGACATCACATCATACAATGGACATGAAATCTTCGTGGGACAATACGGATAGGTTCTGTTCTGTGTGAATGGTCACAAGGTAAACTTTCTCATCCTCAGGACCGAGGAGGGATTAATTACTCAGGTAGAGAAGGTAGAAGGAGACCTAGGCCCAAAATCCACGGGCATGTTAGGAGCCTCTTCTCACGTGATCATGAAATTGGCCCACAATGCCCAGCCACATACTTACCATACAGGGAGGAGGATAGTTGTTCTCGGTGACAGATAATCACCTGTCAGACCGCGCGTTGGCAGCCTTCGTTGACCCCCGACTACTGGGAGGTGCCCGACTCGAATCACCCGAGAGCTCACCAGACCAAATAATCCCATCATTCACTCGTTCGGCTGCTTACCTCCCTGAAAATCCCCCAGCCATGGCGCCACAGGTTGCCAGTTGGGAGGAATTGCTTTGGGTGTCTGAAGAAGTCGACGAGGACACGGGGGACTTCCAATATACCATGTTCGCAACGGTGGAAGACGACATGATATACTACGGCCAGTTGAACAGGCCAAAGGCGGACATCTCATTTCAGCATGCTACCGACTCCCTCGCTCGAATTCCTGATGAGGAAATCTTTCCCCGGTGGCCCCAAGGCCTCCCTCTCACTAAGGCCCCTGAGGAGCTCCCACCAGGTGTTTTCGTCAAGCGGCCTAGGCTAGCGCTGTATGATATCTTCTTAAAGCATAAAGTCGTGCATCTCCTCCCTAAGGGGTTGATGGAAGAGGCAGAAGCAATGGAAGTGCTGGGGAGCCAACCTCACCCAAACATCGTTGGATACTATGGCTGCCATGTGCGACGGGGCTATATCACTGGGCTCGTGCTCGACCGACACCCCCATGACTTGAACAACTACCTAAAGAGCGGCCACACCATCCAGGATAAAGAGCTCTTCATAGAATCACTAGAGTCAGCAATTCATCATTTACACTCGCTTGGCTGGGCCCATAACGACCTCAACCCCAAAAACGTCCTCGTGGCAGAGGATAGGAGACCGATTCTGATTGACTTTGGCTCGGCTCGTAGGATTGGGGAGAAGTTGTCGACTAGCCGTGGTACGAAAGGTTGGATCGACTGCGAGATGAAGGATTATACGACGTCAGAGACGCGACACGACACTTCAGCTCTCACCAAGCTTCGTAAGTGGCTAGATAACCCAACATTCAGGGATTGAATAGCTGTGCTGTGCATTTCGAAGTTGGCAACCAGCAGTTTTGCATGGCTGGATAGTGAGGGTCGAATTCCGTGGCAAAAAAAACGCTGTGTCTATATGACGATGCAGTGAGAATTGAGGACCAAAGCGGAGATTCACCTATCTGTGCCGCATAGTATGTAGTAACGGCATTATTCGATAGCTTCATGTACTGGAGCATGGGACCTTGGTTTAGATGGAAGAGGAAGAAGGACATCTGGACAAAGTATTGGTTCAAAGCAGCGCAACCAAGCCTACAAGGTTGTTGAGATGCAGGAACTCGGGAAGCTCTTAGAAAAATACCTCGGGGACCCTGGCTGCCTTAGACGGAGCTTCATCTTCCTGGAACTCATACGGGACGAAGGCTCGGTTGAGTTGTAGGCGAAAGACATGGCCACGAATGGGCTTTGTGGCCAGCTCCTGTCCCGGAACGGGGTCGGTCCAACAGGATTCGGAATTGCCCGAAACCTGGACTTGGATCCCATACAGGACATTGCTTTCAGGGACCTGGAAGCTACCGAAAGTTGGTTGCTGTCCTCAGCCAAAATCACCAGATCAACGTCTCTATTCCATTCTCGTTACCTCGGTGATAGAATTGGCCCCCAATGGGCACCCATGGGTAAGTTATTACCAACTGAGTAACCCATATTTGCACTCTAGAAATGTCAGGGTGCCTACGCATGGGCACCTAATTGTATACACTAGATGAAGGTGTAGATGGCTGAAATGAGGGGTTGCTGCTTGATTCAATGCATGTTGGTTATCGCATTTGTTGTTGGTCCGCAGCACTAGGCAAGCGGCTGAAGGGTAATCGTGAATACCCTGCTCGCCAAAACTACGACTTTCCACCGCAGCCAGCAACGTCTTTTCATACTTCGACATCCACTATTAGCACGATCTAAGAAACCTACACTCTTGATAATGGCTCAGTCTTCTTGGGCCCAACAGGCAACCGACCGCTTCTTCAGCTGCCGCAAATCGCCATCGCAGATGCAATGTGACGAAATTGCACAATCCATTTCTGGCGCGTCGACGGTTAGACCTGTGGGAAGCCCAGGCTCAATGAGCTACACCGTCATCTGCAGTGGGCGCCCTGGGCCACAAGAAGACCTCATCGTATCCTTCAGAGAACCGGCAGCCATGCTCGACGAGGAGACGGTGAGGTTGGCTAAGGAGATCCACGGCGACCTTGTGCCGGAGTCGACTTGTCACGGTAATGTGGCGGGAGCCGATCCGCCGCTATCCATCTACTCCATGCCCTATCTGCGAGGCTCATCCTGCATTGAAGTCCTGGCTTTTCAGGTGGAAATGGATCCCGACGAAGAAGCCAAGCACGGAGTCTTTGTCAAGCACCTAGCCCGGTAAGCCTCATATACCTAAGCCGAGAACCATTCAGAGGCCATCTTGCTCATATCTCCAAGGTACTTTGCACGATGTTGGTCCAGCTCTCGGTCGGTTGACGGTCAAACCCGAGCAGAGAAGCAAGAAGGAATCCGTAAAAGGCTAGCCCGGCTGGCGGAAGAATTACCGTCGTCCATCCTGCCGGACTCAATGCTCTCTAAGCTCATTGAGAACCTTCCCTCGCTCTTCAGTCAAGATTACCCACAAGTCCTCACGCATGGCGACTTCTCGGTAACAAACATTCTAGTCGATGAGAATAAGTTCGAAATAACAGGAATCATTGATTGGTCTCTGGCAGCGGTTATGCCCTTCGGAATGGATTTGGACATCCTCTTCTTAACCACAGGGTTTATGACCCGAGACGGCTGGCATGACTATGCATGTAAGCCGCTGCTGCAAGACACTTTCTGGGAGGAGTTCTGGGCTGTCCCTGGGATCGAAGGGGAGGAACTTCGGGGCAGAACACAGGGTCTGGCTGAAGCTGCAGGCCAGATTGGCGCAATTCTCCGGTTAGCATTCCGGCGTAACGCCGATGGGTCACCATCTGAAGAGGTCTTGATGTCGGAAAGCAGGATGAAGCAGCTAAGGGCGTGGTTTGGCGAACAAGCGGCAAGACTTACTTGAGGCAGGACAGGACTCGGGAACACACGTCGACCCGGAACAATGGGATGACTCTTTGTCATACAAGGTCAGATTTACTAATGGTTCGAGCTACGATGGCCTCACGAACATGCGGTCTCCAAAGCTGAGATTTTGAAGCGGACCTGGTCAGAGGTATTATCTCATATGTTCTAGACCAATCCACCTACACGTCCAATTGAGAACCCTCTGGTCCAAGCACACTTTCTCCATGATTGAAAATGCTTCACGAAGTCGTCCAGTCATCGTTGAGCCTGCTCGCCATCTCGTGCCCACCTTCGTTCATTACCATCGACGGCAGCCTGTCGCCGACGAGCGGGTCCAGCGAGTAGGTTGCGTACACGGCCGTCGGGGAGCAGGTGGGTGCCAGCCTCTGGACACACAGTCCCAGCCACCTACCAATGGCACCTACCATGCTCCCTTCACATCGCCGAGGATAATTTTTAGACGAAGGGCCTCGAGCCGAAGGAGCAATGATTCTGAAATTTCGACATGAATATAGGAGTGGAAACCTCATTCATAACCCGAATGTATAAACACTGATATCCTCCCAGCCTAAGTCATGGATAACGTTAGCCATCAGCATAATGAAGTATCAGAACTAACTAACCCTTTCTCAGAAGGCCACCGCGGAGATTCTATTGCCCTAGTGAGCAGGTCTATAGAACCCTTCTCTCTTGAAAAGTTCAGTAACCCAGAGGGAGATGATCTAGTATCGGACACAGTGGAAATCCTGCCTTTTGCACGCTTCCAAGCATATCCCGGGCCCCGGCCTGGGCATTCTACTCGCACTATGGGCTGCTCGCGTTCCAGATCATTATTTTCCCCGTACCTATTCACTCGCCATACGCCCTAAGAGGCGTCGCTCGGACGAGCAAGTGCAAGTCCCCTCGACAGCCCCGCTCGTCAGTGGCTCGACAGTTATTAAACGGCTTGACTCCCCGACTGCTACGAAGGGCGGGGGCTGGATCCGCGTCATAACCGCTAACATAGAGGAATATCGTCTCCTGCGCATGCGGCGGGCGGGCTCCAAAGCGCTGGCGATAGTTTTGAAAGCTAAAGTACGTTGAGATCATCGTTTAAGGTTTCTAAGAGAAGCCCTGGCTCCAACCTAATCACCTAGGGAATGACTTGACTTAGCGAGTTCAGCATCCGTCGCAAGCTACGATTCGTAGGTTTCTATCCGGCCCAACCTAAGTAGTAGCAATACTAACATAGCAAGGATACCGTTCCAAAACTGTTAGGCAACGATACCCGCTTAGACGTGCAACCTAACCAGCGAATTACAGTTGTTTCCATTATTGAAGCTATGTCGAGCTTACCATTATGCCAGTACTCAGAGACCGGATCAGTGCCACCAGGGTTACCGCCCGAATATTCACGTTCACTTGGAGGAGCATAAGGAGCCTTAGCAGCTTGAGCTTAAGAGGAGGTTAAAAAGGCTTTTGAAGTCTTTCCGTTATGATTGGTTTGTCAAATAGGGGATCTTTTATGGCTACTATTTACTTATCTAGCATAACATAATACCCAGGAACCCATACCCATTCTAACAGGTGGTCATCCGACCGCTGTGCTATAAAGACGTTAGCTTCGCCGGTAGGCAGGATAGCTTACCAGCAACGGCTTGTAATATTTCACACCGTCGACAGGATAGATTCCATCTTAAAGGCCGGAGTCATCCAGATCCCGCCCGTCATCCCGCCGAGCCTAGCCGCGACGGTGAGGGGGAGCAACCTCACCGGACTCCCTCCGTAGCGGGACGCTCCCTTGGCACCGTTTTCCGGACAGCGAGGGCAGACCATTGACGTGCGAGCAGTCGTCCGCCTGACTCGAGGCGAGGGCACATGTATCCCTGCGCGCGTAACACCCATCGAGAACACGACCGCCGATGCCAAATAGCCGCTCTACCGTGTGGCGAGAAAGCAGCCAGGAAGACGCTAACAAGGCGTCAGAAACTCGGGCGCTTCCCTGTTGTGACACCAGTAATAGCCACCACAACTAAGGTCAACGGGGAATAGGAGCCCAGGAACACACCGACTTACGAAAATTGCCTAAGGCAACACGAGGAGAAACGTATGTAGCTATTCTCCCTACCGATCACCCCCAGAGACTAGACGCTAATAGTATATGATCGTCAGCCTTATCATGTTATGGCGGATGGATCGGAAGATCTAGCTTCGTTGGTAGAGGATGGGGAGCATCTAGCCTCACCCCATCCAGTTAGGCAAATCCTTCGTGGCGAGAAGCGTCCTTCCAATATTGCAGACTAGCAGTGAGGCTTACTCGCTAACACTACGCCGAACCCCATGAAACTTAATCTCGGTACCGATCACGTCCCAAGTGTTTTTAGGTCCGTTAATGTCTGACCAACGACTCAGCGGAGGCCGCCACATTCTGCCTACCTAGCTGTACAAACCCTGGTTGACGATAGCCTAGCAATTATCGAGCTTCGCGTGATAACCAAAGTGTAATATAGACAACGTGGCTTGGTAACTCCCACCCATGAATGAGACTGGCGGGGCGGATTCCGGAGCGTGTTTTTTTTTTTTTTGCGTTCGTATTTATCTTCCGAGCCAATATTATACGACATGAAAATCTCCGAACGAAGGGATAGGCGAGGCGGAACGGGGGACTGAGCGAGATCTAGAACCACCATCACGCAGGAAACACGTGTAGTCGAGACAGTCTCACCTGGTCCGGGGAGTCAGTAATACAAGAGCGTGTAAGACGGCTCACTCGGACGTGTCTCGCTGCCTGTCGACCCGAAGACGAGACAAGACAAAACACAGGTAATAATATTTGGCCGACTCGGTGGCGTCACCTGCTGTGTCTCAACGGCGGCGACGTGGAAACCCCTATTATCGCGCTGCTAATGCCGTGGCAGGCCGTGGCAGCCAACCGTGTAAGTCCAGTCCCCCCCGGCAGACAGATATCGGATCGTCACATATCCCGCTGCTCCTCCTAAGGTGCGACCCTGAAGACCAGAGCCTTGGGTGGCGTGCGGTCACTTGGGTCGGGCCACGGCAATCCAACTAGATCCTCCTCCCCCCGAGCATGCGACGTCGCTACGCTATCTACGCAAGGCCTACGCGATGCGGAATGCAGGTATGAGGCATGGGCAATCCCGTCTCACATTTCGAGTCTTACATAGGACATCTGACATGGGTAAGTGGAAAAGGCGGCAACCAAATCTACCGGGCGAGGCATGCATGCGCGTGTATGCACTCATATAGATAGGTATGGATCATCTTCCTACATTCACCGGGACCGCTCTAGCACCAGGTCTGGTTCCGGGGGGGGGGGGGGGGGGCATCGATCATGTCTATGCACGTATCGAGTCCGTCCGTCCAGCCGCTCTTGTTATGGCCGCCGACATGCCTGACGAGCCACGTACCGAGCTCGTCCCGTTCTGGACGTTAATATCACGCATTGCGCACCCCCCCCGCCTCCCCAGCCCGACCCAATTCCCTTCCCCGATTCGCCCATCCGGGCGGCCGGCCAGAGATGCGCATGGCTGGTTACCCGGGCCCACGTTCATTCGCCTCGCCTCGCGCCAATCCCATTCTCGCGCCGCTGGGCGCCAATGCATCTCGCGAAGCTGTCTTGTCCACGCCTTCGGAACGGTCTAGACCACCGCGTGGCAGCATGCGCATGTGTGTATGTGGACGTGGATGTACGTAGGGTAAATAATTGGGAATAAACAACATGCCTCGAACTCTCCTCCCTATGGTTCTCTTTTCTCACCTCTCTCCCTCTCTCCCTCTCATCCCTGCCGCACCTGGTCCCTCCCCCGGTCTTACCGCTAAGCTCCTATCGACGGTCTGGGCCGGTCGTTCTCCAAGCAGGCGGAACATCGCATCCCTCGCAATTCCCTCGCAATTCCCTCCCATCGCTTCCGGCTCGGTTGGCCAATTATGGCCATGTAAGCATATGGAGGTAGGTATACGCAGCAAGTACCTTCATCGCCTATACACACGCATGCAGAGGTACATATATGAACAGGCCATGAGCTGCGCGACTTTGGCACAGAGCAGCGTGAGTAGAGAGTATTAGGTAGGTAGTTAAGCATCCAGTCAGATCGTAGATCGATAAGGATAGAAGTAAGCGGCCTCGAGAAGACTCCGCCGAACCCAATGCGGCTGACAATGTACACTTGCATGTATGAGAGCGAGTCAGTTCCGCTCTACGACTTGTCACTTGCGCGGCGGGCGGGAGGCGGAGAGCGGGCGCGAAGTAGGGCGATTAGCACAGTGGGCGGACTAGGATGGAGTGTATAGGCATACCTACCTGGGCGCCTAGCCGGGTCCCATCGAGAAAGAAAGAAAAAAGCACTTCTAGGTAGACTCATCGTACGACGTGCGACGAAACCCGAGGCGAGCGAAGCGACCCTACGTAGACGTAGCCGAGGCCCAGACTAGGGAATCAGTCGATCAGCTTGCCATGGACGCCCCGCCGCCGGTCCCGCCGCGCCCGCCGGGCTACGAGCTGCGAGCCTAGGCAAGCCCCCCCCCCCTTGCCCCCGCGTCCTGGCTCTCAAGCCACGGCGGAGCAACGCCCGCGGCAGCAGCCGTGCCCACAGTCGCCGCCGTGGGGTCCCTTATCCTACGCTGACGGCCCGCCCACGCCGCTGCACGAGGCGCTCTCGGCAGCCTTCTTTGCGCGCCTCGACCCGCAGGGCGCGCGCGCCATCACGCCGGAGGTGCTCTCGTCCTTCCTGGGCGCGAGCGGGCTGCCCGCCGAGGAAAACGTCTGGACGTACGATCTACCTGTGCTCTAGCTACCCCCGGCCCCCCTACAGACCCATCTACCTACGACGCCCGCCAAGTCGTCCGGAAACGCAGCACTGTTAACCACGACCCCCCTAAAAACAGGGAAATCCAACCTGAAGCCGAGCCCGCCCTTCGCGGCGGAAGACCTCGCAGACTTCGAGCTGAAGGCGGCATGCGAGGCGTGGGCGTTTGAGCACCGGGTGGCGGCGCGGGGGGCGGCCGGGGCGGCCGCACGGCGGGATGCCGCTGATGGCGGGGGCCGGGTTCGCGGCGATGCTGGCAGTAGATAGCGCGTGAGCCGGCCCGACCCAGCGCTGCGGCGTCTGGCGCGAGCGCGGCGCCCTGCCGCGGCACTGCCTGCTGCCCGCGTCCAGTCCCAGACCGCGGCCGCCGGCCGGC